ATTTATCAATATGTCACATGGGCAATTTTGTATTTTTACCTTTCTCTCTCTTACTTTTTTCCACTACCAAAATATTTGTATCCAACCCCTATGGTGCAATAATAATAAAACGGAGGAAGTATATATAAACTGAACATGATTTCTTGAGCTCCTGCTTCCTGAAGCTCATATTTACAACACATTATTAAAATGTTTACTAATACTTTTTGTATAAGAGCTCACCATTACCATATACTGTAACTTGTCAATAAGCCTCTTGGATCCATGTAGTTACTGGTTATATGTTATCCAAATCTTAAATCTTGATGCCCATGTCTCAGACCTGAAAACTGTAAATTTTAAAGCTTGACACTATATGGAATCTCACTGACTTCCTATGTTCCCTACTGCACTTTGTGATTGGATTTTTGCTGTTTCTACTGCAGTCAATAGAAGGTGGTTTATTAATTATTTTTGTAACAAGTGAAAGCTGGAAAGTTATTTTATTATCAGCAAAATTTACTATATCCAGTATGTATCTCTTTATTCTACCAAGTACTGAAATTTAATATTAGTAATTTAGTAGCCTCTATTAAACTGCATATTTTTAAGTATGCCATGAGTAAGCTTCGAACTGGATGTAACTAGACAATTATGTAATGGTATGCCATGAGTAAAGTCAGAAAATGTTGCACTTGCTTTATTGGAAGAGAAGGAATTACCACGACAACCAACTGGTAGTTAGATGGTATCAGTGAAATCAGGCTGACCTGAGGGCTGGAAGGTGCTTGTATAAATAAATAAAGTTGTTGCTTTCCTTGTAAAACTATGAGCTATATAATTTACTAATCTATACCAAACTCCTGAATCTTCATTATATAAGTTGTCTCAGTAATTATATCCTCAATGGAGTTTGTTTCGCTAACGGGTTTTTTTCCCCCCTCAGACTTCTACACATGTTTGTCTGATAACCGACTTCTGCCCTGGAGGAGAGCTTTTTGCTTTGCTTGACTTGCAGCCATTGAAAATTTTCAAGGAGGATTCAGCTAGGTGTGTTGGTGACTCCAACACTTTTTTTTCTTTCTTATCTTACCTGTCATTTTCTCTGTCTTGTACTCTGTATCTTTGTATAAGTGAACCCACCATTTGTTTCTTGTGGTTACTAAATATATCTGTATGATCATGGTTTTTAAACTAGGTGCTTCAGCCTCTTGCTTTGTCATATATTTCATTAGACCAAATTTCTCATTTGCAAAAACTCGCTCACAACCATGGCTTTATTATAACATTTTGAGTCACAATCTTATAATTTTATTTGTATGTGTTGATTCTGCTATAGACTTTTTATTGATGCCTAATTTTCAGGTTTTACGCAGCTGAGGTTGTAATTGGACTGGAGTATCTTCATTGTTTAGGTACTGCTGACAATTGACAATTTGTATTATTGTTTTTGTACTCATTGGATAGAGTTTAGCTATTATGAATCTCACAATTTGTATCTGGTTGCTACACATGGCTGAATTTTTTATGTCATATTGTCCTTTTATTACTTATTGTTTCTAACTAGTTTTTACATTGATGTGGAGTAGGTATCATATATCGTGACTTGAAGCCTGAGAACATACTACTGCAGAAGAATGGGCATCTTGTTTTAACAGACTTTGACCTCTCATTCTTGACAGCCTGCAAACCTCATGTATGTGTAGACACAAATCAGTTGAATTATTATTAATGTCATCACTTAACCTATTTCTCATATCGTGTGAACTTTTTCTTTTTTTTTAATCTTGGCAGATAATAAAGCCTCCACAACCAAAGAAAAGAAGATCCCGAAGTCAACCACTGCCGACTTTTGTAGCAGAGCCAGCTACCCAATCAAATTCATTTGTTGGAACTGAGGAGTACATTGCTCCTGTATGTTTTATTATTTCTGTTAACTATTATATGTTTTAATTTCAACAAGTATTCCTCATATAACCTGATTTATGCATTTTAGAGCTTGTCTAGCACTCAACTGCTTGACTTTGTTACCAAAACATGATAAAATTATTGACTATATACCGGTTTTCCTAAATTAATTATCGCTGCAATCTATGAAGCAACTGTGTTCCTAACCCTTATTTATAATTGCTCAATTTCATTAATTTTCTTGAATTATCACTTACATGTAGTCTGAGTAGAAGTTTATATTATTGCATCAGGATGTCTCACAGGTTTCTAAGTCTTTCTAACAGACAATTACCTTGCTTTTTCATATTGTAGCTCTTACAAGTCTTTGTTTTTCAGGAAGTTATTACTGGAGCAAGCCATACTAGTGCTATTGACTGGTGGGCTCTAGGTGAGTTCATTCTACGCTAGTTTTTTGTTTTAATATCACTTTTTTCTTTTGTGGACACATGAAGCTCTCTTTAGGAGTTCTGAAAATGCTATCTTTTTTATATTTAATTTTTTTTATTATTTTGCTTGAGGGGCGGGGGGTGTTGAAGTGACTCTCCATGGTAGAGGTCCATTGTTTCATATATCTTTGTTGGTCTACCATTTATGTTGTTTCATCTCCATGGTAGAGGTCCATTTATGTTGGTCTACCATTTATGTTGTTCATGTATCTTTGTTTGTCTACCATTTATGTTGTTTCTTACCTGATGTATCACAAGAGAATATCAAAAGGCTTGTGAATTTATGTCTATCCAAAATTTTCCTTTGGCTCCTGCTTAATTTAGGAAATGGAGCTTAAGCTTTTTCCTCTTTTCCCCAGGAATTCTGTTGTATGAGATGCTTTATGGACGTACACCTTTCCGGGGTAAGAACAGACAAAAGACATTTGCAAACATCATGCACAAAGACCTCACATTTCCAAGCAGCATTCCGGTAAAAATTCTTGTTCTAGAATATTTTGTGTTCTTGTTTTTTACCTTTGTCTTTTTCTACTGATACAATTTATGAAAGATCTATTTTGAAATATGCATTGATACAAATATAACAAGAACTCTTAAGATGGTGTTTTATCTTATAATATTATAAAAGTACAGTAAAGTTTAACTTTGATCTTCAAAAGAAGATGCTAACTTGTTTTAGAAATGGGGTATTGCCAATAATGTATAGTATTTTCTGTCCTCAAATATCATATTTTGGTCAAAAAGCTGACAACGTGGGTATAGGCTAGCACCATAGTAGAAACTCAGGTTATATATTGTACTACTTATATGGTATATTAGGCCATAGGTGGAAGCTGCTGCTAATGCGGTAATTAGTACTGAGACCCATGAGAGGCCCTGTGAGCTTGGTTATGCTGACATAAACTATTTCTTTTTTCATAGAATATCCATGGTAATTAAAATTTTAAGTGGGGTCTCTGCTATAGGTCTATTGAAATAACTACAGTAACTTGGGCATTCATTTGATAACATGGGCAGGCTTTTTTTTAGAACTCCCCCTCTTTTTTTTTTTTTTTTTTTTTTTTTTTTTTTTTTTTTTTTTTTAACATCCCAGGAGAAGAACTTGAAGAGAATTTACATTTTAAGGTTAATATCTTTAGTTTAAATGATCCTCAAGTTCTTTCACCTGATGCTCTTTTCACCAATGGTTCGAATGTTGTGAATGTTAACCATCATATATTTGCTTCATAACTAGAAATTTTACATATGAAACATTTTCATATCAATTTGAAATTTTAAAATTTCTCGTCAAAAAAAAAGAAATTTTAAAATTTGAATGCTGTGTTGCTTTGCATCTATTGCCTGGCTCTGTGAGAAATTGATGCTCATTGCTGATAACATGTGTCTATGGATATTGCAGGTAAGTCTAGCAGCAAGACAGTTAATTTATGCGTTATTAAGCAGAGATCCTGCTACGAGATTGGGATCCCAAGGGGGTGCCAGTGAAATAAAAGAGCATCCCTTTTTCCGTGAAATAAACTGGCCTCTGATTCGTTGCATGGTAAACATTTCTCTCATCACTTGCTACATCCAGCAAAAGTTGTATAGCCTGTCTCTCTTTGACTGTGGAAAAGAGTGGTATTAACATTTCATATGTTGCTTACAGGACCCACCTAACCTGGAGGTGCCTCTTCAATTGATTAAAAGAGATCCAGGTGCAAAGGAAGTCAGATGGGATGACGACGGAGTCCTTGCTTCTCCTATGGACTTGTTCTAAAAGGTTTCTCTCGTTTTTTTTTAAGTAGTGATTCATACTAAAATAAAACCGCGCAACATTTCTATAATTGCATTTAACAGCTTATTCATTATTTTAGTTGACATGTTTCCCACATGTACACAGGATTATCAGTTGGCATAAACCAAATTATAAACTTCATTGCATAACTGAGAGGCTCATCACTGGGGAAGTGATCTTATGATTCAATAATTTTTGTGATTTGTACATAGAGGATAAGAGGAAGAGGTACATAATGGCACGAAGTAGGATATTTTTAGTGTTGCTTCTATGTGTAGTAAAAGACTGTACGATACGTATGTATATTCTGTAATCTAACGTTGTGATTGTTTGGAAACTGAGAGCTCCTCTTCCATGCATGCTTATGAATTATGATGTAGAGTTTGTTTAGCTAAATAAGCTTACCTTACTTTATTCTATGAACAACTTAGCTTGCTACGCGTAAGCACAATATAGGATCTAATATCTGTGTTTTAGAATTCATCGTGTTTTAAAGACGAGTAGACGACAGATAAAAAATGACCCTCAATTTCTGGGTAGTGGATGATGATTTTTAACCAAGTTATAACGCACCATCTATTTTGGTAAGACTGGTGACAAGATATACAAAAAAGTGAATACTTTATGGGATTTTGCAGTCAATAGCACAGTACTCCGTAGTAAACTTCATCATGTACATGATTCAAGAACCCACACGAGAGATCTCAGTTCTCACACTGCCAGAAAACACTCACAGAAGTAAAAGATAAAACAGCGATACAAGGTGAAACCTCAAATCGACAACGCTATAAAATTGAGATAAAGAAATCTACAGTATACTGCATGATAGAAGAAAAATTGCGCAGAAAAAATTGCAACAAAACTCAGTATAATAGAGTATTATTGCAGGCATATGTAACAATACAATGACAAAACACCTGTATAAGAACATTTAAAACAGTAACAAAATACAATGGATACAAAAATAATAACAAGAACCATCTAGACATTGTAGTAATTTTGGAAACTGCAACAATACACTATAAGGAGAATAAAGAGATATTTTCATTATAAAAAAATTGATTACAACTTCACTAGAACTTGGCCAGGTATAGAGGTGATAATCGAATATGAAACTCAGCGGGTGACAGCAGCCTACTTTGTGGCCTGTGCAATTATATTACTGATAGAACTTTCTTGCTCTTTTGCAGCCTCGACCAGTGAATCCTACAAAACCATATCCTCAATGTTAGCTGACATACAGCAATCGAGTACATACAACATTCAAGTAGGTATTGCACCTGTGCGGCAATCAGGCGGGCAACTGTTTTCTTGCTTGATTCTTGCAACTCTCCAGCAATCAAAATCTCGTCAAGTATATAATATGCCTATCATAACCATACCAGACAACATATCAGAAAGAAAGTGCTAACAGAAAAGATTGTGAATTGTGAAATGTCATTGCGCATGACATACTCTTACCTTGTGAAAGTTGAAGATCAAATCCAATTCACAAACCTGCAAAGGAGTTTAATTCTTCTTTAGACATAGAACTTATAACAAAATGAGAAAAGAAACAACCAGCGGGCTACTAACAAGTTGAGGCATATAACTCACACTTCCAAAATAGCGGTCCAGAATCTCAACAAAGTGATGGATAATTTCAAGAACTTCTAGTTCGTTGTCATTCTGATCAATGCACATGCAGAAATACAAACTTGCATACCTGCATGGGTTATCAATGTAAGGAAACATGGGTCCAGAATCCATTATGAGGCTCAGAAATAAGAAGAAATCATCAAAAATAGCAGAAACAATTTCAAACCAGAATCCAGAATGAGGTTCTTAAATAAGAAGATTCATCAGAAGCAGAAATTTTTTTTTGTAAAAAACACAAATCTTGTCACATAATGGCATATGCCAAGGGTGGGTAGATATCGGGCAACTTTTTGAAAATCCAAACATTAAATGTCTTCATTTTGACATCAAGAGAACTGTTGGTACATGAAATCTTGTATGATAAGAGGCAACAACTCGACGACATAAAACAAATAAGCTTATTCATCAACTACAGCAGAACTTTATTAAAAATGCGTAAGCAACCGGATAGAAGATACTACAATTTGCAAAGATGGAGGTATTTTCACAAAGCAGCAGCCATATTCTTAGAAAGAAATATAGTATAAAAGGCTGCTGGAGCCATTAAAAAAATATAAGAAAAGGTCGCTGACAGTAGTATCCTATTATATTCTAAAAAGCTCTTCAGTTCACATAATAGTGTGAGGAAAAGGCCACTGCAGCCAAAAATACAAACCTGTCCCTTCAGCAAGCTCTAAATTCCTAGTTACCTTACAATAAATTAGTAGAGCAGTAGCAATTTGAGTAGAAGAAAGAAAGGGGTGGACTTGTCTTTGATATTATGACTCGAGCTTGATGAAAAAGTATTGAAGGCTTTTAGATAAGGCTGAGAGTTTCAAATGAATCTTAACAAGGACAACTCCCCAAGAAATAATGTGGAAGAAGCTGCTTAAACAAAAGCATCAAATGGCAGGATTGGCAGGGCGGTAAGTAAAAATTCAGTTCAGAATCAAAATTTAGCATATCTTTGACCCTAATCTCCTAGCCATTGGACATGGTAGAACAAAACCTTCTTTTTGAAAGAAGAGGTAAGTAATTAACGAGTAAGATAACAGGATGGAAGTACTTTATCTATTTTTGATTGGAGTCTCACCAATAATACAAAACCTTTTACAAGCTATAGCCTATAAGTCTCAAATAATTAGAGGACATACTCACTGCTTCACCTATTTTCATAGGTCAGATATGGTTATTCTTGATTCTAAAATTCTTATTACTTAAGCTAGTCAAATTTACCGCTGACTGATTCCTACACCCTTGTAACTCTCCACCAAGAATAACTCTCTGACTCTTAAGCAACCATTATACGGTTATATCGTATAAAAGATTGCCAAGTATGATTAATTTCAACATGTTGCATGTCAGGACAGAAGTAATATCTGCCAAACATGACTAATCAATTAATTTTGGTAATACTGCAAATGAATCTCACCAGGTGAAGTTACATTTAAAAGATCTCAGCATAGAAAACATCATAACTAGATCAAAACTGAACCCGAATTTAGCAGAAAATACTGAATAGTACAGCACATAGCATGATCATTTCAATGAATGCAAGGCCAAACCTAAACATAAACAATACCTTCTGTAAACAACCTTTAAACCTTTCCAATCTACAAAGTTACAGAGCTTTGGACCCCGAGAGAGAACCAATCCACTCAGTTCGCGAACAATCTTCAAAAAATTTGCAATTTCTCGTCAAATAAACAAACATATGAAACTAAATTATGCAAAAATATAAGTAAAACCAGCAAAATTATTGAAATTGCACCTTTGTTCGTTCCTTCTGAGCATAAGGTGAATACCATTTCGTCAACCTCACTTTCCCTTGTCGATTAATAAGAACCACGAACTGAATCTGGAAATCACATTCCAACATTTCATATTAAAACGACACCAAATACCCAATTTTTCGCAAAATATATCAATCAATTAAATCTCATATCCGTAAAATTAAGTTAAAATCGATCAATTACGAGTCAAAAATCAGCATTTTACCATCAAAACAACTACATTATACAATATGATGATAACAATTCCACAAAAGTTGAAGAACACGATCAGGATAAAAAGTAAATCGCGAAATTAGGGCAAAACAACTACTAATTATTAATCACAATTCGACAAAAATTACAGCACAATTGAGCAATCTTTCAATGAGGAAGCATGAAAAACAACAGAAAAAAAACCAATTTGAAGATCAGAATAGTTTCTAAGTTTCAATTCTATAAATCAATTACAGAGAATTAGATCGAATAAATCGATTCAAAAGAATGAGAGAAGAAGAACAAGTACCATTTTCCCAGAAGATGGAAGCAGCGGTTGAACGAGGAAGAAGAGGAGAGAGAAGCAAGTGTTCGGAGGTGGCAAATGTGCAGTCGGGTCACAAATCTGATCTTTCTCAATTCAATTGGGTTGGGGTTCTAAAGTTTTTAGTGAGTCAAGTTTGAATGTGTTGGTTAGTTCACGGCATCATTTCATTCATTTGTCCACTGTGACTCTAGGTAACTGGTTTAGTCGTTTTACCAATTACGGGGCGTTTGGTAAGAGGGATGGGATTAAGTGGGATAAAAAAAGATGAAATTAATAGCTGGGATAAGGATAAAATAGTGTATTCCATTGATTAGTATGAGTTGGGATTAAATTGGAATAACTAATAAAAATACCCTTATTATCCTTTCTTCACCCTCTTTTTCTTTCTCTTTCATTTAGGTTAATAATGTCTTTTACCCATTAAATTTAGTCCCCATCTCTTATACCACCCCCTTAGTTACTAATTTGAATGATAACCCCCTTTTTTATCCACATTTTATCCCCCTTCATAATCCCCATCCCTCTAAACAAACAAAAGATTTGTTTAATCCTTCCTCTTTTATCCTATTCCCCCTCTTTTTATCCCTTTAAACAAACACCCCCTTAGGTAATTACCCCTTAAAGTCACTATTATGATGTCAACATATTTTATTGACACACTATAATTTAAAAGCGTATTAGATAACATAGATGGTTGAATTTAAATTTTGTGCTTTAATTTTTTATTCTCAAGTAAATTTTATATCGTATTAGACCAAATGTTTTTTTTTTGGTGGAGAACTAGGGTCTGTTCATATTCACTGAACTGAACTGAATTAAACTGAACTAATTGGAGCTGAACTAAACTGATTGGAGCTGAACTGAACTGAACTGAACTGAGCTGAAATGAATATTTTATGAAAGAAGGAAATTAGGAGCTGAACTGAACTGAATTGATTGGAGGTAAACTGAAACGAAATCAAGTAAATGTGAACAGGCTCTTAGACTTAATGCTAATTTGTATTAAGGCTAAAAAAGGCCTTTAAGTTCTTTTTATTAAGCCAGCTCAATTGAGAACGCGTGCTCTCTCATAAAGCAACAACAAAGAAAAAGGAATATAAATCTTTATGAATCGATTTTGGCCAATATAAAATGGATTTGTGCTAATGTATTTAATTGGAAACTTATAGCGCGATATTGACTTTTTACAATGTCATCTAATCGTATTGGTCTAATTACGACATGATTTGGAGTAGGGGTTTCTTTTGGTATGGCACACTTATTTCTAGGTATATGTCATGTGACGTATAGAGTCATACAAACTTTAATTGTTAGAATTACTTTTATATTTTTAAATTTTCTCATATTCACACTTGATAGAGAGAGTTTACATTACACTAATAAAAGAATATGTTATGAAATGAATTCAACATATGAATAGTTGATTAGGCTTAATGTCACATAGTGTGATGGGTTGGTAATATAGGCCTCCTTCATTTTTTTGATATAATATTCTGTCAAAACTACTACGTATTAAAAATCAAATAATTATATCATAACTTTTTTTTTTGGTAGTATCATTATCTTTATCCTCATCACATAAACTGCTAATGTCTTCCGTTTTACAAGTATTATACTAGTATTAATTACTCTAGAGATGCACATGGAAGTTGACTTGGTAATTATTCAACTCAATTAAGTATTATGAGTGGATGGATTGCAACAAATTTTCTAAGATCTTATACATGAATGATTGGTGAGTATCATCAGCATTATCATGCATCATGCCATGTGGTGGCATAAAACACAAAAAATATCATCATGGATGAAACATAAAAATGTATTAAACTCTTGCATGTGCCATCTACTTATCATGAATTAAACATAGAAATGTTTCACTAATTTTTAGCATGTGGTACCTACTCTATTTCTTTGCTTAGCTTGATATGGTTTCTCTTGTTGACATTATTTATGCTAAAAAAAAAATTAGTACCCAAGTCAAATAATTACTTTAATTAAAAAAAATAGGGAAAAAAAATGAAAAATCAACATATGTTTAGGAAAGATGATGAATTGATGATGGGGTCATGATGTCTTAGGCCTTTGATGACTTTCTTAGAACTTGGGCAGTATATTTAATTTTTCAGTTTTAAATTTTATATATTTGAGCAATTGCTTAAAATTGATGATTTTTGGTGAGATTATTTTATATATGGATGACTAGGAAATTAAGAATACTTCAAATATGTATCCATCATTGATATATTCTATTCAATATTTTAAATAAGGTCAACATCATATATAATAAATTCTTTTTATTACATAATAATGAATAAATGAATGAATTACACAAATTGTGTAGATCTAATTACATACTCAATCTAATATACCTACAAAAAAAATAAAAGGAGTAATTTTTTTTCCTTTTTTATTTTTTGTTTTTTGGTATAATCTAGCTAGTATTCATAAGCAAGATAGAATGCTATTGCATGTAGCATGGGATTTGCTTCCATGCACATTCAAGAAAGAAGACCTACAAAGAGGACATGTAAATTGGTTCCTTTCTACCCATTTCTCAATGCATGCCATATGAAAAACATGGCCACATTTAGAAAGCTTGCTCACAAAATCTTCACTCTCAAACTCAACCAAACAAACCGAACATGCTTCATCGTCGCAATCTCCATCTATGATCACTTCACTAGTACAACCATTGATCTTCAAATCTCTATATTGGCTCATTGGAAGATCAATTGAGCATGTCTCCATAGAATCAACACCCGGTGAACGGTCCGAGCACTCTAGGGTGTGTTGATGTAGGCAAAAGAAAAACCCTAGGATGCTAAGAAGAGCTTGTTTAGCTTGTGAGTAAGGGATGTAAATACAAGTGTAGAAAACAAGGGTAGCCATGCATAATTTTGACTCATAAAGACAAATCATTTTTGATTAATAAAATCAAACTTTTGTAAGATTTTTTTGGTAGGTTTTATAGTTTTGTAGTGGCTTTGGAAAATAGATAATGAGGATGATATGATATTGATTTGAATGAGTGATTATGGAAAAGCTACAAAGATAGAGGTTTATATAGAGGGTTAGCTTGTATTAAGATATAATTAGTATCTTAATTAGCAAGTGAGTTCTGACTTTTTGGGGTGATGAGAAGACTATTATTATATATAATTAATAATTGTATAATATATGGTTTGAAAATGTAGACTTGTAGCCTCGTGTCAATGTCATATGGGGTTAGCGTTTTTTATTAAACGGGTCGTCTTGAAAGTCTTGAATCCGTCCGGAGGATCCGGGGCCAGCGCCGACCCCACAAACTTCTTAGTACTTTTAATCACTGTGATTAAGAGGGTAATTAACTAAAGATGGAAGATTCTAACAGTCATTTTTGTCAGTTTGCCACTACTATAACTTACTAAAAGTAGAGGTGTTAACATGAGGATTTCCATTATTTATGTAATGTGTTAGTCATCAAAATCTGTGTCAACTAAAATCTAAATCACTGAAATTTTGGAATGGAGTTAATGAGATATGAGAAAGATTTAGAATATACCTACCCTAACCTGACTATCATCATATTTACGCTTTTTTTTTTTTATAAATTTTTGTATTAACATAAGCTACTGTACGAAAACTAATGTTCGAATAATAAATATGAAGATGAATCAAACAAAATATCACTTGATCTTAGCCAAAAGCCAATCATATAAGCTAGTCAAGGATCGATCATCTACTACAATTTTAAGATTCATAATTTTTGGATAAGTATGTTGATCCGGGCCCAAGAAAATTAAAACATCACTATCCTCTACGTGGATTGGTATGACACGAATACGTACTACATTGTATTAAGACAAATCAAACAAAATACCACTTGATATTAGCCAAAAGACAATCATCTAAGCTGGTCAAGGATCAGTCATCTACTACAACTTTAAGATTTATAATTTTTGGATAAGTATATGTATATTGATTGGGCCCAAGGAAATTAAAACATAACTAACCTAAAGATAGTCTATTGTGGGTTGATATGATTCATTACTAATTTGCTACAAGTACATTGAATTGTATGCATCAATGCATGTAGCATGTTCTTAATTTAATTTAAGCTAGAAATGTGGTTAGGATAGATTTTGCAAAAGCCAATTAATTTAATTTACTACGTACTACCTTGTCTTGGTATGAATTGAAAATTATTAGACCTGAAACTTTTTTATTTAAGGCGAAAAAAAAAAAAAAAAAAAAAGTTCCTGGTCAAGTCCGTTTAGGCTACGGTGACCAAGTAGTCAAGTAGATGTAGTGGAACAACCATATTCCATAATATGTCATCAACTCATCAGCAAAGAACATGGTATATATTAAAAACTGACCAGAAACTCTTGCAAGTAGGATTAGTTTATTAATGAAATTAAAAGAGATCAATATGATTGGCAATGTTCTAATAATCTCTAATTTTGCTATACAAGTTGTGAACATGGCTTCTGATGGAGATAATGCTCATAATATTGAGCCTATCATTACAAATATTAACTACTACAATAAACAAGATCAGAGCAACTCATTATCAACTGGTTGCTTGATATTTTGATGATAAGCAATCATTTAGGGTGTGTTCACTTCAGCTTAATTTCAGTTAGTTCAGTTCAGTTCAGTTCAGCTCCTAATTTCCTTCTCTCATAAAATATTCATTTCAGTTCAATTCAGCTTCAATCAGTTCAGTTCAGCTTCAATCAATTCTGTTCAGCTAAGTAAATTTGAACATGCCCTTATTTACTTTAATATAATGGCAAAATAATTAATTACTTAGGTCTAGGATAACATTGAAATGCAACTTTTGTATCGAATTGAAGTGAAATCTTGTTAATTTGGTATTACAAAAACATGTTCAAAACTTGGCTATTGAATTTTCGAGTGACTTATGTGAAAATGAGCATGATATATTATCGATAACCATTATATTTTGTCGACATCCACATTATACAAATAATGTGAAGGTCAGGGATGTTAAAACACAAAATTATGACTCCATAGTTTAATTTGTACTTAGACCTAGATTCTTGACAACCTCAAACTTATCCTACCAATTGGAGGCCACCAAAGACCTGGTGGCAAGATTCTTCAAAAGACAACTTTAAAAATTTTAAAATAACAAAGTCCATGACTAAAGTCTAAGCTTCAAATCCCCCTTTATTTTTATTTTTTTTTAATAATTAGGGCAAAAATAATTAAGCTTTCTGCAAATTTTTGTTATGAGGGATTGATGTAGGGGTATGGACTCTGTGATAGCATAATAATAAGTCACCACTATGACACCTTAAACTATCAATGCTTTTGGGAGATGAAGTATCATGTGTGCCGATTTACTACCTCCACTTGATCACTTCGCAGTACTCGCAACAAAGGAGTATTATTTGTGAGACATAAAATATTCGTTTATTGCGAGTAATATAATGCGAAGCATAGGTAGTATTATTAGTCGGGACTATGAATGACATGACGGGATTATAACTTATCCTCCGTTTCAATAAAGTTGGGACCATTCTTTACCCTAAAATGATAAATCCTAGGAAATTTTGGAAAGTCATGAAGTCAGGGTAAAGAAGCCAATTTGATAAATCTTTCATTTTTTATTTAGGAGTTGGGGGGGGGGGGGGGGTGTTGACTTCTTAAATGGACAAGTAGTGTGAAATGTAGTTAATTATAAATGCAGCCACAACAAGCTATCATGTAATAATATACTATCATAATATATATGTGCATATACCAAGAAGTAAGAAATAGTCTCTCTTCTTTCCTTTTCTGGTCCCTTTTCTTAGCTTAAAAAATATTACAAGAAGTTGACATATAAATGTAGGCAACAAACAGGTAACTTCAAATATTATTTTATAAAAAAAATAATAGGTCAAAACTCAAATGACAAGAAATATGCATGGTGCACCTAAGTTTCTAGATAATAATATATACATAGCCCTCATTCACCTACTTTGATATAGTGATAAACCATCATTTTTTTTAGCTGTAATGACTTGTATAACATGAAGTCAGTTTGATATGCTTCAAATTCACTCTTGGAAAGGAAAATAACCAAGATTACAACAACGTTACTATACAAAGCAGCCCCCCTTCCCTCATTCCCGGTTTATGTGACATTGAACGCCACAAAACTCTCATATAGACACTATACATGCATGATGTTCATATCAAAGAGGCATGTAGCACCTCGGTGACCTATAAGAGCAATGGCACGTAAATACCTATGCATACGATGTTTACATGTATCTTGGTGCAGGGTTACCCAGTTACCCTTAAGATCATAGCAAGAATGTATGTTACAGTATTTAGATATTCAGACTTTCAGAGTTGAACACCCCAGTAATAAAAGAAAATTCAAAATTATAACCAAGTAAACAGGGCAGCTAAAACGGCAGAATTAAAAAACAAGGGTGACTAGTAAACGTGGTCATGACTCATGACTTCTATTCTCTCTTCACCTTCCTAATTACTCCTTCCTTGGCAGGGGGGAGTTCTGAGGGTCAGGTGATTAAATGGATGAACTGCGTCAATGCGTCATCCATACAGTCAGCGGGTTAAAGAATTTCTGCTGCCATTGTGATAGGGAATCTACTAGTTAGTTGTTAACATAAATTATGGTACTTTTGCACGCTAATTATGGACGTGCCTACTTCAATACAAAAGTCATTATCTCTGCGCTAACAGCTGATTAAAGTATACTAATATCATGGAGAATCATTAGGGATAAACTAATATTAATGGGTGGTAACACCTTAGGAATAATACTAATGTTCATTCATTAAATTGAGAGACCTGAGCATAAAACCGCCCAGCCATGACCCCTTGGAAAAATAATACCATTTTCCTTCAACTTGAGGCTAACTTAAACTATAAGGATGCCTTAAAATAAAGACCGACCAAATCACAAAGATCTTCTGCAGTCTTAAAAAATTCCTAGACAGATGGGTGTGAGAGCCTAAATTAATAGGATGCCTTCTCGTTTCAAACATCCCTTAAATAAATGATGCATCTCTCCAGTAATGACGGACCACGTGCACTGCACATTTCAAAAATTAACAAAGTATTCATAACGGAAAACCCGTTTCTTTCTCCTGCCTTTCTAAATCCAGAATAGACTCGTATTTCATTCATTAGTTGCAAAATATGTGGGTACATGTAAGCTAGAAAAACAATAGGGAAGAGACAATTACCTGAGTTATCGCATAACTAAGTGAGTTGAAATTAGTTGAAAGGTAAATCTTGAACCTGCAGTAAGCAACCAAAAAAATTCAGACATAGTCCAACTAAATTATGTTCACTGGAAGGGGAAAAGGTCTGTTCGTGAGTCAACTTTACATGCTACTGTGCAATGTAGCATGCATTTTCTCTTTGGAAATATTGGAAAAGAAGATTTTTCAGACAAATGCAGTCAAATTTTATAAATGCAGAAAAATTAGGCTAGTCTTGAGCTACAAATAGTGGTATCCTGGCCGATGCGTCTGGGCATCAATAGAAGAAAGTAGCTAAGTGATAGGTAAAGGATTAAGTAACAAAGAAAAGACACATTCATTCAAGCAATCAAATCTATATGTTAGAACTATGATAACCAATGAGGCAGAAACTATGACTCAGATAAACTAGAAGGAAAATAAACTCTGACTTCATTAAAATAATATTGAAGACTCAGCCTTGATGTTCATTACTACAATCTAAATGCTTATCAGTCATATTTCAAGTGCATCATTCTACATAAATAATACTACGTATTGAACTTTGGAAGAAGTAAACAATTTAAATAAGAATGTTAAGTCAAAGCCAAGCATCACACGAGATTGGCTCTTTGTTTCAAGTAAACTTAGTGCTCCTCACAATGTTTCCTCCTTATGACGACCAGTTATTATATTAAGGGTCTACAAGAGACCAGTTAAAGAAACAATAAGGTTTTTACGGTTCATATTTCATAGGTCTGATAATTTGAAGATTTAGACAAATTGTCACAATATATATCTATGAATCTAGAGCTACACATTAACCATCAAGTTAAGAATCCAGATTAACTCAGTAAGTTCCTGGACTTCTAATAGCACCAAATTTCTTGCCAACTCACACCAAAAGAAATAGACTAATAGAGCAACATCACGCTGACACCAAGTCATTCATTGCACACAAGTCAGTATTTCTCAAGCAAGAATATTATCAGCAGTGTTAAACACATTCATGGCAACATTTTCAGCTCTGTAGTTTAAAACTCACAATAATGGGGAAACCAAAGATTACAGGCATTTAATATGCAGCAAATCGTACGATGAAATCAGAGAATGAGAGACTATAAGTTTTCTTATTGGTATATCTTTTCCAGGAACATAGCTTGAAGAGCACCCATTTGCAATGATATGGACCAAGCACTCACAAGGCATGATGTTTTCTGTCAATGATGAGATTTTCTGTAGCAATTTTCTCCATCAGAGTACATTAACCAAATAAACAGACAATTAAGTGAACTTGATAACACTTTTTTTCAACAGCCTGAAGGTACACAATGGCCAGAATCATACTAAACCAATTGAGTTCTTTCTTTAATATGCCTCAAAGGCCAATCATTATTATATGATTGCTGTTATAAACAATCCAACTCGCATTTTTTGTCCTGAAATAACGTAGCTCCAAACAGAAACCGGAAAATTTTACCCCATAAAAAAGAGAAGAAATCACAATAACAGGTCCAAGGAAGATCAAGGTCAAATACATAATAACATTGCCACCAAACCAGTCTTACACTTCAGGGAGTGTGCTAGACAAGGAACCCCGTCATAATACAAGTCTCATAATTAAGCGTATAACCAAATACAATGTCCTGGAACCCTGATCCCGTAGTTACTTTTGCAGTAAATTTGGTTTTAGAGGTACTTTAAGATTTTTGACAGTTAATTTTCAATGGTTTACGTACAATCAATTTTGTAAGCTCATTGTTCTCAAAACCAAAAAAAAAAAGATACTTCATGTAAAGAAGCTTGGTATAACTGTTTATCATAGTTATTGGATCATTCACATATTTTTTTTTCTTTCTTTTCTTTTTTTTTTCTTTTTTTTTTGGTTTTGAAGGGGGGAGGGAGTGGAGAGAGAGAGGTAGTTAGCGAATGACTATATAAAAAGATCTTCTTATTGATAAAATAAAGTTAGTTTACAAAAAACAAAAAATAGCACAAAATATTTCATAGGATAACTGATTCTTGATTAGACAACTACTGAAGGAGTGACAATATTGAAATACTTGGTCAGAGAAACAAATAAAAACTTCACAGGCATGCTTACAGATGATCTTTCGGCAAGGGAAGCTTAGATTGGCCTGTGCGCGGTCTTCTTAGCCCCGAAGATTGCTTCCCATACCAGAGGGGATGTTGGACCATTCTTGTCCAGATAGGTTCTAACTGCCTTCTCATCCAAAAGGAACCCCTTTTGTTTCAATGTAAGGATAATATTTTGTGCTTCTTCAACTCCCTTCTCCTTACAAAACTCAAGAACCAGCTCAGTGAATGTAGTTACATTTGGAGAATGACCATTTTCCAGCATTTCCACACAAATTTCAACAGCATCATCCAATCTCTTCCCCTTGCAAAGACCTCTGATCAAAACAGTATAACTAAATGCATTCGGTACAATCCCATTGTTCTGCATTTTCCTGAAAATCCTCTTAGCGTCATCAAAGTTCTGCGCCTGGCAAAACCCTTCAACCACAGCCGTATACACAACAACCTCCGGCATTGAACCCTTCTCGCGCATCATCCCAAAAAGCTTCATAGCTTCATGGACCAAACCATCCTTACAAAGCCCATCAAGCATTGCCACAGCATTAGGAATCAGTCCACTTTGTTTCATTTTCTTAAAAATCTCATCAGCTTTCTTAGGCGCCGCCATACTCTCTTCCTGAGGCTGCACCACAGAATCCTCCTTCGCCTTCGCCTCTTCCTCTACCTCTACCTCATCAGATTTCTCTTCCACCTTACTTGCATCACCAAGCTTAAACTTGTCAAGAAATTCACTCTCTCTCCTTTCTTTCCTAACCCTTTCCTCGCCTTTCGCCGGTCCCTGCCTATCCAAGAGCTCGCTAACCGATGGCTGATAGTTCTTCCTACCCTCTTGATCCCCACCCAAATCAACTCCTCCAGCCCCACTTCCTTCATCAAAATTAAAGGGATTTTTAAACCCATCATTTCTTCCTTGACGCCTATAATTACGATCTGGGTAATCAGTTTTTCCATTAAATTGAGGCATTTGTTGTCTATCACCTCCTGAAGACCTAAAATTTTTCTGGGGTGCATTAAAATCTCCTCTATTCTTCCCAGAAAACTTCTTATCATCATCATGATCAACATAATTATCATTTCTACGACTATTATAACTATAATTTCTGAACTGCTTATTAAAATTATGACCATCCATTGTAGAACTAAACAATTGCAATCTAAATAATAAGGGAAAAGCTGACCCATTTGAATTGAAATACTTAGAAATAACAGCAAGGTTCGAAGCTTTACCTCTTAAAGATCTCATCTTTATCTCTAATTCGAAAACTTGCAGAAATTCTTTGGGAAAAATCGAATGATGGATACAAAGAGAACTGGGGAGCTGTGACTCTGAGAGAGTGTGAGAGACGAGGGTTTTGGAGGGTTTAGACTTCAGAACTTTAGGGATTTTGAGTTTTTGAGGGTATATTAGTCATTTCATGCCCGTTTGAGTCAATGACCATAATCTATCTTATAACTCAAAACAATTTTAAGCAAATTTGGCCAATTGTTTGGGTATAACTCTATATTCAAGTTTTGAATCAAATCTCGTCTTTTATCACTCGTGTCCCTCTCTAAAAAGAAAAATGTTAAGGAAGATTTACAGGCTTAGAATTTGGTAAGCACACGTAGATTTTAGCAAAAAGATATAATATACGGAGTACTTTTTAAATTACCATTTCATGTTATTCATATTATTTTGTCTTTTTAAGTTATTTACATATGTTATGCTAACCATTCTTTATGTGCATTACAAACATATGTAGTCATAAAAATACAAGTGACTTCAGACAAAAATAGTACTCCATAAGAGAGATGAATATATTTAGGAGGGACAAAAATAGTACGAGTACTCCATAATAGAGACAAAAATAGTATTCAAAGAGAAACTTGAATTTTCGCTAAATAAAAATTTGTTTATTAAGCGGTAAAAATGTAAATAATTCAACAATTTTTTGTTAACAATGGGCCAATAGTTGTTATTTTATTTACAAAAATAACATGCTAATTAGATAAAATTGTTTATTTATTTACGATTTTATTACTTGATAAACCAATTTTGTTTATTAAGCTGACAAAATAAGACTTACTCTCTCCGTCCCTATATTGTACTTATTAATTTTATTTTATTTTTAGAAAATGGATTTTTGATCTTACAAGGTTATAATAGTCATCTTAATACATACTTGTGTCAATTACCATAATGTCCTCAATGAAAAGAGATAGATAAGATTATGCCCCAATTTCTGAATGTCTATAGAGGACTGAGAGTAGGAGAGAGACTATAGAGGTGAAGTTTGAAGCAGAGTCCTCTGTTTTTCACTCTTTTCTGCCATGCTTGCTTCTTCATAATCGAGGAACCCCTCTTCAAAACATTTAGGTAATTACCCTTTTCAATTTTCAAAGCTTAAGAATTTAATATTGTGCTCTTTTTTCTGTAAAATGAGGTCTATAATTGCAAAAAATGTTAATTTGTTCTCAATTGTTAGCTTTTGTTTAATGTAGTTTCAGCATTACGAAGAATTTCCCAATTTTAGTATAATGATGAAATTGGGTAATAGGAAATGCAAATTTGTTTGATTGCACTTATAATTTATTAATTAGAAATTTCTTACTGGAGGTAGAGTGTAATTGATTTGCTGATTTTCTATAATTAAACTGCTAATTTTTCCGAATTCAGACGTTAAAATCGAATTCTGTTGTTTATGCAGCTTAGCGAGTTCTTTTTTTTTTTTTTTTTAAATTGATACTTGTGACTTAAAGAGAATTAGGTCTATTGGTCAATTTGGAGATTAACTTGGTCTTACTGAGTTTGTAGAAGAATTTGTTTTGTTTTTGGTCAATTAGGAGAATTTGTAACTGTTGGGTCCTAAATAGCATTATAGCAAAGGCTTAGTCCCAAAAATGATTTGGGGTTGGTTAACATGAATCGTCGTAAGAACTCGTAGTTGTTGAGGGGTAGATAGCTGTTTCGTGTCCAGGTACGCGGCCTTGACATTGCTGTCATTGCACATTGGTAAATAAATAGCTCAATTTCTGATTTGTAGAAAATTATGGAGGTTAGTAGCAGCCAAAACAGCAGCAGTGGTGTATTGTGGTTCTTCAAGGATAAAGGATTTGATGACAAAAGCATTCAAGACATGTTCAAACGGTGCAAGCGGCTTGAAGGCTTGCAAAGGGAAAGAGCTTCCCAAAGTTGGGATTATTTGAGAAGCATTGGTATCCCAGATAGAAAACTACCATCAGTAGTTCTCAAATGCCCGAAAATCCTGTCATTCGGTGTGGATGAGACACTCGAGCCCATGGTTCAGTGCCTTAATACACTTGCTACAAAACCTGAAGAGGTTGTAACAGCTATTATCAAATTCCCCTATATTTTTTCTCACAGTGCAGAAGGAAAGCTGTGTCCTTTATTAGGTTTCTTTGAGGCCCTTGGGATTCCTGAAAAGCAACTTGGTAAAATGGTATTGGTCAATCCTAGAATCGTAAGCTACAGCATCGAGCCAAAGCTTACTCAGTTTGTGGATTTCCTTACCAAGCTCGGGCTTAATGAGGAAGGGATGATTGGTAAAATTTTGGTGAAGAACCCATATCTCATGGGTTACAATGTTCAGAAGAGGCTGCAGCCTACAGCAGAATTCCTAAAGAACGTTGGTCTGACAAAAACAGATCTTCAGAAAGTTGCTGTAAACTACCCTGAGGTTCTATGTCGAGATGTTGAGAAAGTTCTCAAGCCAAATTTCGATTACTTAAGGAGCTCTGGATTCGGTGACAATCAGATCGCAGCTTTGGTGTCTGGTTACCCTCCTATACTGATCAAAAGCATCAAGAACTCCTTAGAGCCAAAACTTAAGTTTCTGGTGCAAGTGATGGGGAAAAGCCTTCAAGATGTTGTGGAGTATCCTGATTTCTTTCGACATGGTTTGAAGAAGAGCTTGGAGTTGAGGCAAAGGGTACTGTCTCAGAAGAACATAGATTGCAGCTTAAATGAGATGCTGTACTACAATCGAAAGAAGTTCTGCTTGAAATATGGATCAACCTAGGAAATCCACAAGCGATGCAACCTTTTGTTTGCTTTTTCCAGTTCCTAATGGTATTTAATTTTTATCAGTTCATTTTAGTTGTAGACTACTTTCATATGATATAATATATTGCTTTGTATGATTCTGTTTCTTCAATCAAATTGTACTAACACATGAACAACCTCAATGGAGGAGGAAGACAAACCTTGCCCTTAAGGGTTAACCATGCCACATTTCTCCAAAATTTTTGGGGTTTTTCGTTTTAAAAGTAGAAAATTTTGGATAAGAAAAAAATTACATTAACACTAAAATTTTTTTGAAAATTTGGATTTTACCGCCACTTAACGGTCTTCGTCTAAAAAATCCATTAAATGGGGTTCACAGTGGCACGTGTCACCATTTCATTGGTTCTAAAAAATAAAAAGAAAATTTAGAAACAAAAATTCCTAAAACTGCCTAGCCACCCCAACACCAACCCCCACAACTGCCACCTTCTTCTCCACCCTCACGTAACGTAGCTGTCGGCGCATCTCCTCCCCTTCCCTTTACCCGACCCACTTGAACCCTCCCCCTCCCTTTCCCCCAGCCCTAAACAGCCCCATCACCGCCAAACGCCGCCCTATAACACCGCAACCCTCCGTCCCCAAAAAAGGCTACATATTCAACCATTAATGACTTAAATCGGCCGGTTTTGGGGATAAGTGGCCTTAACTAACCGATTTCGACCATTAATGGCCGAATTCGTGGCCGTTTTTGGGGAAGGACAGCTATATATTGGTGGTTTTCAGGAGGTTTAGAACTACGAGAAAGGGAGGGGAGGGTTCAGGTGGGTCGGGTTTATGCCGGGGGAGTAGATGTGCGGTCGGTGGCTCGGTTGGTGGCGGCTACACATGGCAAAGGCGGAGAAGACAGTGGTGGCTCTGGGGTTTATGCCAAAGGCGGAGAAGACAATTGGAAAATATATTGGTGGTTTTCAGGAGGTTTAGAACTAATCCTTTTAAGTAGTTTTTTTTCCTGAAAATAAATTATATTTGAGATATCACGTCTCTTGCAATCTTGGTTATTATCTTTGTGCTTTAATGTACATCTTAGTTATTCTGTTAGCCTTAAATTCTCAAGGTAATTGTAACACCCTAAGGGTGTTTTTACATGAGTTTCTCTATTATTAATTTTTTTTTTTTTTTTGACGGAAGAGTTTCTCTAATTTGAAATTATTACTTCTTATCAAAATTAATTGTACTTGTAATTTGAACTTAGGTAACCTTTATCAACCCTTATTATAAATTATTTTTCTACTCACTTATTTTTTTCCCCCTCACTAGATAACACATGCATTGTAATTTTGTAATGTAAAATAAAACATCACAAATAAGATCTGTCTTGAAATTGGAGCAATTTTTTTTTTCCAAAAAGGTTTTATAACAAATTTACTGTAAATATCATATATGTGCAAACTATTCAACTTTTTGAAAAACAAGGCTAATTAGAATTGAAGCTGCTTTTTATATATACTTTATACAAAAAGAATTGAAGCTGCTTCAATAAGTTTGATATAAAATAAAACCATTACACAATTACAGTTATAATTGTAGGATTATTATTACACACTATAATTAATATAAAATTATAATCAAAATTTCAATGTTAAAACATAATCCGCCGTCTTAATGTGAATATAACATAATAATCTATTTTTTCCAATCAAAACATCCACCTCCCTTACCCCTACAAGGCCCTGTCTCATAAATATTCCACGAACAAATACTTCCACAACTATCAACATTATCAACATCTCTTGAGTATTTATAAACATCAAATCTCTTAAACTATTTTCCCCATCTAAAGCTACAAAAGTATAAAGTTGAACCAAGTAAGTTTGGTTTGAAGCTAAAATCATATACCCCTTTATATGGGATGTTATGTGTCCCTAGATCATCGTCCCCCGATTTGCAATGAACTTGAAGATTCGACTTCCCCTTCAACTGATTATAAATATTAACCGTTGTTTTTGCCTCGCATGTACCAATTACATGGAGAGATACAACTAGGAGGAGGAAGAAAATAGCATGTTTATGCATAATTTGATACATTTTGGTGTAGGAAATTATATTATGCTGAGTTTAAAGACTTTTTTTTTATGGGATTTAAACCTAAACTTTTATTTGGCTTTTATAGGGCCATAATAATTATGAAGAGAGATTGAGAAATGGAAGATTGTTGGACTAGGAAACTCTTTGAATATAGGCTTCTATTTGTTTGGAAAATCTCCAAGCTTTTCGCGGTAGTTAAGGCAAGCAATTCATAATCAGGAGATTAATGGGGAGCATACATACGCCTAGAGTTAAAAACGAGTAACAAATTATATGTGTTTAGAAATCATATATAAGTTCCTTTAAAAAACTTTTTTAAAAATCGAGATGAGCTTACTTAATTAATTATAGCCCGTCTGAAAATCATATACAGTATATCAAATTATCGGACATGCAAATTATTGATCGTTAAAAAGTTTTTATCATTTGATGAAAATTTATAGCCATATAAATAATGGAAATAAATTTAATTTGAGGATGAGAATACTTCATGCATGCATCAGAATTACAATAATAATTCCATGTCAATCAATCTTTCTGAAATTTACTTATTTTATTAAGTTTGAGTAATTAATTAAATTGTTGCTCTTGAACATTTGATAATTAATCATATTTTTAGGTCTTGATTAAAACTCCATTGTTGGTTAGTTCATTGGTTTACTTTGTTTGATCAATTATATTTTATTACTCCCTCCACCCCTTATGAAAAACCAATTTATTGCATTTTATCAATCATTCGATCCTTATCAAATATAATGTATAGGGAAGGTGTAGGTCTTTACTTGCCAGGTTATTGTCCTTATTGATTGATAGGTCGAGCTAGTTTACTCTGCTTTACTTTTGAATTAAGGTAGTCTGACTTAAACTCGAAACCAAATATAAATCACAATCCTCCGAAAACTATAACTGTATAAAAATCCAATAGTTTAAGGTACAAGGTATGTCTAGGATCCGAGCATATAAAAATCCAATAATCTCATTATTGCACTAGGTACTAAACATATAAATTACTAATTGTTCCAAGGAAAACACTGATAAGGACCACCATTTAATTCATTAATATCACTATCAATCCCATAAACATAGCAAGGACCAGTTTGATAAATAATCCACCAACACATTCTCCAGCAAACACCTTGTTCTCTGTGTTCATTGTATATTTGAAACCATTGTGATTTGTTATCAAACACAAACTCACAATTATACTTGGTTATACCAAGTATACTAGGCGTAAACCCGAATTCGTACAAGCCTTGATATGGAACATCCTGCTCCGCTACATCCCCTCCACCGTGTTTTGATAGACAACGAATACGAGCATTGATCCCCTCCATCATGTTTGTGATTCTTACATGAGCTCGTGTCGCGTCGGACCATGTCACTGCTTGCAGCAGCAAGAGTAGGACTAATAGGACAATGATACTACGTTCATGTACACGGTTATTGTACATGATGTACATATGAGAATAGCTAGCTTAGTTAACTATCTTTATTTTATTGAAAAATAAAATTGTGTATATATTTTGATTATTTGAGTTGATTTTGTGGTTAGTAATGTTGTATTTATAAGAGAGAATCTGGCATCAATGGTAACAAAAATTATGAGCTATAGGCTATAGCTGGAATAATCTGGATATTCGATAATTGTAGACGTATATGCTTTGTTTGTATGAACCTTGGATAATAATATAACTAGTATGTGACGTTGAATTTGGATCAGCAATAATTAATTAATTATACTTAATATATTGGCTAATATTCATTCGTTAAGGAGTACACCAAAATAAATTTGTAAGAGAATTCAATTCCATAACGTACAATTCACTAACACGATTTATTTTCTTTTTGAACGTTATACAAATATACCGTAAGTCGGTAAGGTATTTTTTTTTCTAAGTACATTTTCTGTCAAAAAAACATAGCATTTTCATAATCGAGAGCTCCATAAAATATTTAAGAATTGCTATACCAATCATTTGAGCGTATTTGTGCTCAATATTTTCCAAACATAGACACGAATTTTAGTCACTAGACTTGTGCTTCGTATAATTTATGTACAATTGTCGAAATTGAATTTGGAGATTAACACACATAAATTATAATCAATATTCACAAAATGTTCACATTAACATTTTTTCTTCTTTTCCTCCCTATTAATTAGAGAATAACCCACCAATTACCCCAGCAATGAGTGCTGTAGGATCACCTAAGATTGCGGACACAATGATATTAATACCACTCCCTACAATCTCACAACACCTGATCAAATTGTCGCCGTTGTCGGATCCATCACCGCGATGACTTGTCGAAGTCCCCTTAAGACTAGGTATCCTATCCTCCAACTCCCTTACCAAGCTCTTGTCAACATTCAAGTATCTAGCCTCCCAACTCTCCAAAAGCGTTTCTTTAACACAGGATACATGGAGATTATACATCTTGCACTCAGATACATAAGCCCAACCTTGCCCTTTCTTACTACAATAATGGCACGGCCTTGATAGCTTGTTATGCAAGTAAAGATCACGTTCTCTATCATTCAGCACTTGAGGTAAACTCACACAACAAGGATGAAGATCAAACCCACACTTCTTACAATGGTACACGAACCCTTGAACTTCGTTATGGCAAGCATCACATAACCTTAAGATCGAGCCTAAGGGAATGTTGTGGAGTTTGAAATGACATTTCTTGTAGAAGGGATGGTTTAGGGTTGAAGGTGCTAAGGCACATACCTTGTGAAGGTTGAAATCGCAAGCATGGCATTTGTATGTTAACCCAATTCCAGCTTCCTTGCATCCGTTGCAATTGAATGGGATCTCGGTATTCTCTAGCTTTAGCTTGTGCTGTGGGTGAATTGGGAGGGAAAACTTCTTGTTGATTTTCATGATTACCCTTACATTTCTTGCAAGCAAGCATCTTCTTTTGGCATGCTTGTGTTCTTATATATATGGTCTAATAATAAATGATTTCAAAGTTACTGACTTTATCTATTTTTAAACAGTAGAAAAGGCAAGAAACTAATCTTTGCGTGAGATTTTGAATTTTGGAATAACTTTGAAGAAATGGTTACAATATATGGTGGGAGTTGGAAATATAACCAAGATATTGTAAAGGAGTTAGAAAAGCTGTTTTCATCTAGGGGAGTATTTCGAGCTTTTGAACCATCAAGCAACATATCTTTATCAAGAAGTTGGTCAGTATTTCAATCTTTTATAGGCAATCAAGCAACATATCTTAATCACAGTCTTCACAAAAAAGTATCATAACGGTTAAACATCGAGTATAGGTATTGAACACTCGGCCAAATGAGAACTAATATCCTCAAATTAATGCCATCACAAACAATGAAGTATAGCGCTGTTATCTTCAGTAAAAATCAGAATTGAACATTAAGATCAAAAGTTTTACACAATTTCTTGATATGCAACATCAAACTAAGGTAATTACTTTCAATTATTTACTCAAAACGTAGTACAAAGTATTAAGAACCACTGATTGAGTTTGATTTTCTAAGTCAACAAGAAGATCAGTCAGTTTTCAAAAGGCCAGAAAAGCAAGGAAGTTCATGTCATAGGCTAAAAATAAATGAAAATTTATAAACTGTGCCATCCACACCTGAGAACTGACAGCTTCAGTAATTTCTACAATTACACCACAAAACCTCAACAGACTTCTTTCCTGAGTGCACAACCTCTTACATTAGATAGAATCTTAATTTGTGATTCAAATTTTTTACTATGCATCTCCACTTTCAAACACTTTCTCAACATCCGCAATGGTACTTCGAGCATCATCGACATCTGGTCCTTCTTTCTCGCCAGACTCTTCCAGCTCCGCCTGCAAGTAGATTGATTAAATGAATATAACAAAAAAGGGAGCTTTATTTAATATTAATAGAGCTATAGTTCTGAGTAACTGTGTAATAAGACATTAGCAACAGAAGAACTACATCTCATCTTGATCACCTGTGTTATGTTGTCTATTCATTGAAATATGTTCATGTCCTAAGACAAACAGGGCAGTGGTTTCATGCCTCTAGCACTCGAGCAGAAGTTTACCCTATGAATATTGAATAATGTACAAAATTCTGGCAGCTGAGAAAGAGATATCAAACGTGGAGGATGATATAAGTTGTACCAGTGTTCCCTTCAAGTCAGCCAGTGCAGACTCCAGGCGCTTGCGACAGTCAGGAATCATCATCCTAGATTCAGCCAACACATTCTCCTGGAAGTAGAGAATAAACGAGCATTGAGAACAACAATCACAGAATCACTGAAAATAGTTGTTTCCACAGGCATATGGCTGATGTAGAATCAAGGAGGCTAGAGAGAAAAAATGCTTTTTCTTTAGAAGTTAAAAAGTAAGACTGTATTCTAGCAACTGCTACTTAATTCTATCTAAAAGGCAATATTATGGTGCAATTGAGAGAAAAATACAAACATTTTTCTAGAATGGATGTAACATTGATAACATGATAAGTCATATAGCTACAATTAGAAATTGGAAAGGTGATGGCAAAAGGATATGGGTAGCATACTACTCCCCTTTGCATCACTTCCCTATTAGAGTTGTCAAAAGTTGACCCGACCCGAAATACAGACTCAAACCCGATTATTAACCAACCCATCCGAACCCGAGAAAATGGTGACCCAAACCTGACCTGACCCGACCTAAAAACCAACCCTAGACCCGAGTAGACCCGATTATGTGAGAACTGAACATGAACTAACCTAGAGATGGCCGACCCGAATGTAACCCGTAAATTATTGACCTGAACCGAACCCGACTTGAACCGAAATTGACTCAAACCCGTTTTAATCCATCAAAACCCGAATTTAACCCGACTTGTTACTAACCTGACGTGAATTCAACCCGACCCGAATTTAACACAACCTGTTACAAACCCGACTCGAAATCAACCCGACTTGTTATTGACCTAAACCAAATTCAACCCGACTTGTTATTGACCCAACCCGAATTTTACCGGACCTATTACTAACCTGACCCAAAAAATTCAACTCGATTTGTTACTAACCCGACTCGAAATCAACACGACTTATTATTGACCCGACCTAAATTCAACCTAAATTGTTCCCAACCCGATTTCAAATCACCTTAAATGCAATTTAGACCACCTTATTATTGTTGATCAAAACATTTTGTCTAGGGAGACCAAGTCGATCAAAAAAAAAAAAGAGCATCAACCTCAAATTTAAGAATTAAATATAGTATATATTTGTTGTATGGTCAAAGGAGATAATTATCTTCCTAAATTATAAACTATAGTTCTCTAGTATATTGCCATATATATTATAGTCAAAGGAAATAATTAGCTTGATAAAAATGATAATTATCTAGTTATAGTTACTTGAACACCAAATTTGAGTTCAACTAAATTTGAATATTACCAAATTTAAGGCTAACCTGAGAATTACCCTAACCCGTTTTAACCCATGAAAATCCGAATTAAACCCGACATATAGTTCACCCGACCCGAAATGTAACCCGACACGTTATTAACTCGACCTAAACCCAAACCAAACCCGACAAGAAGTATGACTCGACGTGACCCGACTCAAGCATGACCCAACCCAAACCCGACCCACATAGGTCATGGAATTAATCCGAATTGACCCAACCCGAGTTGACCCAACCCACTCTTACCGACCCAAACCGACCCGTTTACTCGAATTGACAGCTCAACCTGAAACCTCTAAAATTTCTCAAAAAGCGTGGATATTAACCTTCTAGGAGTCTAATTGGCAGGGTGGAACCATCCAATTTGCCTTTAAACGGCCAATTTACCGGTTTACAACTTGCACCAATTTCATTAACTCAAGCCTACCTAGAAAATTTATAAAAACAAATAATGATCATATACAGATCCAAACGGCATTGTATGATCCCGAGATATATCCCTTAGAATTTCAAGACTTTTCGACACCAGACCCCGAAACCTCCAAAATTTCTCAATTTCAATATTGGAATTTTTTGAGTATTTTTTGCCCGGAAATAAAAATTGTCGAAATGTTTACCATAGTCCATACTACCCTCTGGGAGTCCAATTGGTTGGGAGAAACCATCCAATTTGCCTTTAAACGACTAATTTACCGATTTACAACTTGCACCGATTTCATTAATTCAAGCCTACCACGAACATTTATGACAACATATAATGATCATATATGGTTCCAAAGAGCATTATATGACCCCGGGATGTATCTCCTAAAATTTCAAGCCTTTTAGACACCTGCCCTCGAAACCTCAAAAATTTCTCAAAAAACGTGGATAATAGCCTTCAATTTTGGAATTTTTTTATTTTTGACGCCCGGAAATAAAAACTGCTGAAGGGTCTCAAATACCCTCCGAGAGTCCAATTGGGTGGGCAAAACCATCCAATTTGCATTTAAACGTCCAATTTACCGATTTACAACTTGCACCGATTTCATTAACTCAAACATACCATGAACATATATGACATCATATAATGATCATTTATGGTTCCAAATGACATTATATGACCCCCGAGATGTATCCCCTAAAATCTCATTTCTTTTCGACACCGGGCTCCGTAACCTTCGAAATTTCTAAAAAAAGCAAGGATATAAGCCTTCAATTTTTGAATTTTTTAACTTTTTTTCGCCCGGATATAAAAATTGCCGAAATGTTTACAATGGTCCCTAATACCCCCCGGGAGTCCAATTGGGTGTGTGGAACCATCCAATTTGTCTTTAAACGACCAATTTACCGGTTTACAACTTGCACCAATTTCATAAACTCAAGCCTATTCTGAACATTTATGACAACAAATAATGATCATATATGGTTCCAACGACATTATATGAACTTGATATGTATTTCCTAGAATTTTTAGACTTTTAGACACCTGGCCCCCGAAAACTCTAAATTTCTCAAAAAGCATGGATATTTGCCTTTAAATTATGAATTTTTTTACTTTTTTTCACCTGGAAATAGAAATTGCCGAAATGTTTACCATGGTCCATAATACCCTCCAGGAGTCCCTTAGGTAGGTGGAAACATCCATTTTCTCTTTAAACGACCAATATACCGATTTACAACTTGCACCGATTTAATTAATTCAAGTCTACCACGAACATTTATGACAACATATAATAAACATATATGGTTCCAAATGGCATTATATGACCACGAGATGTATCCCCTAAAATCTTAAGGTTTTTAGACAACGTGCCCCAAAACCTCCAAAATTTCTCAAAAAGCGTGGATATTAACCTTCAATTTTGAAAATTTTTTACTTTTTTCGCTCGGAAATAAAAATTGACGAAATATTTACTATGGTCTCAAATATCCTCCGAGAGTCCCATTGGGTGAGTGGAACCATTCAATTTGCCTTTAAACGACAAATGTTCCGATTTACATCTTGCACTGATTTCATTAACTCAAGCTTACCACGAACATTTATGACAACATATAATGATCATATATGGTTCCAAACGACATTATATGACACCAAGATATATTACCTGGAATTTCAACACTTTTCTGACACCAAGTCCCGAAACCTTCAAAATTTCGCAAAATGCGTGGATATAAATCTGCAATTTTGGAATTTTTTTACTTTTTTCACACCGAAATAAAAATTGCCAAAACGTTTACTATGGTCCCTAATACCCTTCGGAAGTCCAATTGGCTGGGTGAAACCATCCAATTTGCCTTTAAACGACCAATTTACCGGTTTACAACTTGCACCGATTTAATTAACCGAAGACTACCACAAACATTTATCACAACATATAATGATCATATATGGTTCCAAACGGCATTATATGGCCCCAAGATGTATCCCATAAAATCTCAAATTTTCGAAACCAGGCCTAGAAACCTCCAACATTTCTTAAAAACACGGATATTAACCTTAAATTTTTTAATTTTTTGACTTTTTTTCGCTTGTGAATAAAAATTGCTAAAACATTTACCATAGTCCCTAATACAATCCGGTAGTCTAATTTGGTGAGTGAAACTATCCAATTTGCCTTTAAATGACGAATTTAAAGATTTACAACTTGCACTGATTTCATTAACTCAAGCCTACCACGAACATTTATGACAACATATAATGATCATTTATGGTTTAAAACAATATTATATGACCCCGAGATATATCCCCTAAAATATCAAAGTTTTTCGTCACCGGGCCCCGAAACCTTAAAAATTTCTCAAAACGAGTGGATATTAGCCTTTAATTTTGGAATTTTTTAAACTTTTTTTCACCCGAAAATAAAAATTGTCGAAATGTTTACCATGGTCCCTAATACCCTCTAGGCGTCCAGTGGGAGGAACTATCCAATTTGCCTTTAAACGACCAATATATCGGTTAACAATTTGCACTGATTTCATTAACTCAAGCCTACCACTAACATTTATGACAACATATAATTCATACTATATGGTTCCAAATGACATTATATGACCCCGAGATGCATTCCCTAGAATTTCAATACTTTTTCGACACCAGGCCCCGAACATCCAAAATTTCACAAAATGTGTGGGTATAAAATTTCAATTTTGGAATTTTGTTAACTTTTATTCGCCCGGAAATAAAAATTACCGTAATGTTTACAATGGTCCCTAATATCCTGCTGGGTGGAACCATCCAACTTGCCTTTAAATTGCCAATTTACCGGTTTATAACTTGCACCGATTTCATTAACTCAAGCCTACCACGTACATTTATCACAACAAATAATGATCATATATGGTTCCAAACGACATTATATGACCCTGAAATATATTCCCTAAAATTTCAAGATTTTGAGACACCGGACCCTGAAACCTCTAAAATTTCTCAAAAAGCGGGAATATTGGACTTCAATTTTGGATTTTTTAACTTTTTTTCCCTCTGAAAATAAAAATTGCCAAAATATTTACCATGGTCACTAATACGCTCCGGGAGTCCAATTGGGTGGGTGGAACCATCCAATTTGCCTTTAAACGGTCAATTTACCGTTTAACAACTTGCATCGATTTCATTAACTCAAGCCTACCACGAACATTTATGACAACATATAATGATCATATATGGTTCCAAGCGTAAGACCGTGAGATGTATTCCCTAAAATCCAAAGGTTTTTCGACACCGTACTCAACCTCAAAAATTTCTCAAAAAACATGGATATAAGAACAATTTTGGAATTTTTTGATTTTTTTTTCGCCCGGAAATAAAAATTGCCAAAATGTTTGTCATGACCCCAAATATCATCTGGGAGTCCAATTGGGTGTGTGGAACCATTCAATTTGCTTTTAAACGGACAATTTATCGGTTTACAACTTGCACCGTTTGGTTTACAACGGCCAATTTAATTTACTTGCACCAAACCCAACTTGAAATGAAATTGACCCAAACCCGTTTTAACTCGTTAAAACCCAAATTTAACCTGACTTGTTAGTAATCTGACCTAAATTCAACCCGTTCAGTTCCTAACTCAACCTGAATTTAACACGACCTGTTACAAACCCGACTCGAAATTAACCCAACTTTTTACTAACCTGACACAAATTCAACCCGACTTGTTATTGACCCGACCCGAATTTTACCTTAACTATTACTTACCAAACCCAAAAATTCAACCCGATCTGTTACTAACCAAACCCAAAAATTCAACCCGATCTTGTCTTGAGAGACCAATTGGGTGGGTGGAACTGAAGAATGACCCAACTTGAAAATGACCCGACCCGATTATGATCCGCAAATTATTGAGTTGAACTGAACCCGACTCAAACCCGAGAATGACCCGACCTGATTCTAACCCGCAAATTATTGACTTGAACTAAAACCGACTCGAACCCGAGAATTACTCTAACCCGTTTTAACCCATGAAAACGCTAATTAAACCCGACCTATTGTTCACCCGACCCGAATGTAACCCGACCTTTTATTAACCCGACCCAAACCCGATAAGAAAGATGACCCGACGTGACCCGACTCAAGCATGACCCAACCCAAACCCGACCCGCATAGGTTATGGAATTAATCTGAATTGACCCGAGTTGACCCAACCCATTCTTACTCGACCCGAGTTGACCCAACCCATTCTTACCCGACCCGTTTACTCGAATTGACAGCTATATTCCCTATGAGAATCAATAATAATAACCTAATAATGGCATCATTGATCATTTTACAATGAATATTGGGAATTAAGCAAAAGCCTTTGGCGTGAGCTTCAAAGCCTAAAATAATTTTTTAAGTAGGACTCTGTAATCTGGGATAAAGAATACATTTTAGACTCAAGTTATCCAAATAGTTACCATAAGTCTTTAACTGCTTTGTCATCATATATTAAGACTAAAACAATCGTGCAAAACCAGCTCACATTTAATCAAAGAACGGTGGCCCCAAGGCCCCCAACTCCCAAGTCTGTGCATGTAAAAAATTTCAATAGAATTGAGGTAACTTTTGTGCTATTGCTTAACATAGTTAACAACAGACCCTTTGAACCCATTTTTCTTTCACTAACGTCTCAATAGATCTAAATAATCAAAGAAGCAACTAAGTTCCTTTCTTAACTCATCATGTATAAAAGTTCTGCCTTAACCAATGTTTCTCAGAAAACTTTCGTAATAAACTAGCCTATGGTAAAGAGACACTCTTGGACTCCTGATAAAAAAAAATTAGTCTGTCATTCTTAAATTGAGAGGAGGGCAGCTAATTGTTTAGACGTGCGAGAGGGAAAAGAAGTGAGAAAATATATAAATAGAGGAAATCAGTTAGGGAGGAAATGAGCAGAAAATCATAAAATAAATTTAATTTTTGTTTAAGTTGGTTCATGGGACTGTTCAGCCATACCTGTTGCTTAAGGTCATAAGGATCAGCGCTTCTCTCCTTCATCTCAGCTGTTTTAGCAGCTTCTCTTTTGACCTCTATCTCATACGAGTTTAGCTCTTTAACAAGGCGCTTACAGGTGCTAGTCTTTATCTTCAAGTTTCTCAAGGTTGACATCCTGCCATTACAATCCACAACCCAACATTAGAAGACCCGTACATCCAGACAAACCACTCATCACTCATCAGAGTCATCACCAATCAACTCAAAAAGAAAAAAGATTATATGAGTAAAATCTATGGCCGAAGCACAAAAATTCTCATACGAATTATAAATAAAGCATGTCACACTTTTTTTACAAGATCTATAATCATCTTTATGAAGCAGTCTATATGCTGGTCACTATTGAAGGGGTGGGGGAAAAGTAATAATAGTAAAAAGGAAAACAGGGAAAACATGTGGAATTCAAGGTTTAAATTACTAATACATTGGGCATGTAACAACTTCATGCCTTTCTCCAACCCTCACTCTAGCATCCTGCTTAGGCCCGTCCCTGGAAGAAGGGGCAGCCGCCCTGCCATCGAAGGCAAATTTGATTCTACTATCAACTAAGGCTTAAAAAATCACATAACTTTAGGGATTAAAGGTCCAATTTCATAGTTCCATCCTAACATTAAATGCAATTTTATTCAATACCAAATTAGGCTAAAAATTCACATAATTTTAGATAATAAAGGTCCAATTTCATAGTTATATCCTAACATTTAGCACAATTTTATTCAATAATCAAATTAGGCTCGAAAATCAAATAATTTTAGGGAATAAAGGTCCAATTTCATAGTTGCCAACCCCAAAGGAAAATTATATGATTCAATTATCAAATTAGGCTTGATAATCACATACTGTTAGGGAGAAAAGGTCCCATTTCATCGTTCCATCCTAACATTAGTGATAAATTTGATTCAATTATAAAATTAGGCTCGAATAATCACATGATTTTCTTCTCTAGCAAAAATGATATTTCGTAACCCTAGAATGACAAATGGTTCAACAATCGACTTTTGAAGAACCCTAAACTGACTATATTGAGATAAAATCAACGATATATCCTAGAATGTGAAATTGATATTCAATAATTACAAAAAGAAACAACATCTTACCTCAAAAGCTGCTTCAATGGAGGATAGAATTATCAACGGAGAGCGTGGAGTGCGCTTCGATGGGGATCTTACAGAGAGATCGAGCGGGAGACTGGGAGAGAGAGGGGAAAAGCACAAATACTCCCTATAATTATGTAACTTTTTTTTGTGTTTTTTTTTTTTATTTTTTTTTTATTTGATAACCTAAATCGCGTTTTACAACACACACCAAAAGATTAAACGGGTAACTCTTAATCAATCGAGTAACCTCTGATTGAGTAATCCTTGACCAATTGAGTAACTCCAGACCAAGTAGCCCCTGATTGAGTAACTCCTAAACGAATAGTTTCTAACCGAGTAAACCATGATCGGGTAACCCATGAATAAATAACTCTAATTACACGGTGTGGTTAGTCACATATGAAATTTTTTGTAACCCAAAATGTACTCTTACTTCGTAGTACTTTGACTAAATAATGATTAAACGTAAACTACTTTCTTATATTGGTTGGGTTAATAAATAATTCTCATCGTATCGTATACGTACAATTGGTGGAGGTTTATTTTACAAATTATCTGAGGGTAAAAATGGCTAATAACAATAATGGGAGTTAAGACAATAATTGGGTACTCAATTATTGATTTTTTCACCTTTTGGGTACTTAGTTGTTTTTTTTTTCACCGTTTGGGTACTCTTACCCATTTTCCGGCCAAAAACAATTAATTCACTCAAACAATTGAGTACCCTTGATTAAAAATTGAGTACCTTGGGTTAAGTCATGTGGGCCCACCCAAAAAAAACCACGGTTTGCTTCATCTCTATCCCCTTTTCATATTCCTTTATTCTTGCCTTATCTTGAAATTTGTCGCGAAGGTTGGTGAAGAACACGAGCTCGATTGTGGCCAAATTTGGGGAAAACAACAAGAATCATAGCCATTTGTTGAGGTATGTTTGATTACGCAATCATGTAGTTGTTAATTTGTTAAAAATTTTGATTTTTTTGGGCAATTGATTATCGTTTTGTTGCGATTTAGGGTTTTTGGTTTTGTGGGTTGAGAACGAAATTAAAATGGTGATTTGTTATTGTTTTGTCGAATTATTTGTGCTTGTGATGTTGTATGTTTCTGCTATATGTGAGTGTTGTTGTTGGATTGTGGGTAAATGTTGTTGATTTCAGAATTTTTCATAATGGGTTTTGATGTGTTTAGGATATTTGGTAGCTGGTTTTCAAGAGGAAAATTGGTGGATTCGAATTAATGGTTTCATATAGTTTGGGTTTATACATGTCAATTAGAGTGATTTTAATGCTAGGTAAATATTATGCTTTTGATTTTTGAATGGCAAAGTAGTGAATTTGAATTAATGGGTTATGTTGGCTTGTAAGTGTTTGATTGGTGAAATTAGAGTAAAAAATTAGGATATTGTTGATTTTGAAAAGCCCAAAATTCAAGCTATTGTAAGTTTGTTATAATGATTGCTACAATCTCTATTGAAAATCATCAATTGGAGAAAGTTTGTATACACCCGATTGATTTGTATGCTATTGATTTGGTCTCTTATGTATATATATACAATCTCTATTGAAAATCATCAATCTGGACTGAGTTTCTGATTTTGCAATTCTTCAACTAGGAAGTTGTATGGATGACAGTGGAGTTCACAATGTCATTTTTTAAAAAAAAAATATTGGCGAATCGTGGATGATGAAATAGTTGAATTAATTATTTTTTTTAAGAAAATCTTAATCATGTATGGTGAAATGTGAGTTAGGGTGAGTTAGTTGGCCTGAAAATTTGGTATAGACCCTAAAGGGTGAAAAAAAAACGTACCTAAAAGGTGAAAAAATCAAGAATTGAGGGCCTAATTGTTGTCTTAACTCCAATAATGGTTCATTTAACAAACCCCCTAGTGATATTAACGGTATTGTTATTTGGCCGAAACCTCAAAAATTTCTCAAAAATCGTGGATATTAGGCTTAAATTTTGGAATTTTTTGACTTTTTTCACCCAAAAATAAAAATTACCGAAATGTTTACCATGATCCCTAATATCCTCTGGGAGTCCAATTGGCTGGGTGTAACCATCCAATTTGGCTTTAAACGACCAATTTACCAGTATACAATTTGTGTCGATTTCATTAACACAAGCCTACCACAAACATTTATGACAACAAATAATGATCATATATGGTTCCAAACGACATTATATGACCCCGAGATGTATCCCCCTAAAATCTCAATGCTTTTCGACATCGAACCACGAAACATTCGAAATTTCTCAAAAAAACGTGGATATTAGCCTTCAATTTTGGAATTTTTTGACATTTTTTCGCCTGGATATAAAAATTGCCGAAATGTTTACCATGGTAGCAAATACCCTTTGGGCTTCCAATTGGGTGTGTGGAACCATCCAATTTGCCTTTAAACGACCAATTTACCGATTTACAACTTACACCGATTTCATTAATTCAAGCCTACCACAAACATTTATAACAACAAATAATGATCATATATGGTTCCAAACGGCATTATATGACCCCGAGATGTATTCCCTAGAATTTCAAGACTTTTCGAATACGGGCCTTGAATACTCCAAAAATTCTCAAAAAACGTGGATATATATAGCCTTCAATTTTTTATTTTTTTTTTACTTTTTTTCACCCGGAAATAAAAATTGTCGAAATGTTTATAATGGTCCCTAATACCCTCCGGGAGTCCAATTGAGTAGGTTGAACCAACCAATTTGCCTTTAAACGACCAATTTACCGATTTACAACTTGCACCGATTTCATTAACTCAACCATACCACGAACATTTATGACAACATATAATGATCATATATGGTTAAATACGACATTATATGACCCGATATGTATCCCCTAAAATTTCAATGATTTTCGACACCGAGCCCCAGAACCTCCAAATTTTTTCAAAAAGTGTGGATATGCCTTCAATTTTGTTATTTTTAAATTTTTTTTTCTCAGAAATAAAAATTGCCAAAATGTTTACCACGGTCCCTAATACCCTCTAGGAGTCCAATTGGTTGGGTGGAACCATTCAATTTGCCTTTAAACGACCAATTTACCGATTTACAAGTTGCACTGATTTCATCAATTCAAGTCTACCACGAACATTTATAACAACATATAATGATCATATATGACTTAAAACAGTATTATATGACCCCGAGATGTATCCCCTAAAATCTCAAAGCTTTTCAACACCGGGACCCGAAACCTCAAAAATTTCTCAAAAAGCGTGAATATAAGCCTTTAATTTTGGAATTTTTTGACTTTTTTAGCTCGGAAATAAAATTTGCCAAAATTTTTACCATGGTCCCTAATACTCTCCGGGGGGGTCCACTTCGGTGGGTGTATCTATCCAATTTGCCTTTAAACGGCCAATTAACGGTTTACAACTTGCATCGATTTCATTAAATCAAGCCTACCACGAACATTTATGACAACATATAATGATCATAAATGGTTTCAAACGGCATTATATGACCCCGAGATGTATGCCCTAAAATTTCAAGGCTTTTCGACACCGGGCTTCGAAACCTCCAAAATTTCTCAAAAAGCATGGATCTTAGCCTTCAATTTTGGAATTTTTTGACTTTTTTAGCTCGAAAATAAAAATTGCCGAAATGTTTAACATGGTCCTTAATACCTTCCAAGAGTCCGATTGAGTGGGTGGAAACATCCAATTTGCCTTTTAACGGCCAATTTACCGGTTTACAACTTGCACCGATTTCATTAACTCAAGTTTACCACTAACATCTATGACAACATATAACGATCATATATGGTTCCAAACGACATTATATGACCCCCAGATGTATTCCCTAAATTCTCAAGACTTTGCGACATCGGGCCCTAAAACCTCCAAAATTTTATAAAAAGGTGGACATTAGCCTTCAATTTTGGAATTTTTTGACTTTTTTTCGCCAGAAAATAAAAATTGCCGAAATGTTTACCATGGTTCTTAATACCCTCCGGTAGTCCAATTGGGTGGGAGGAACCATCCAACTTGCCTTTAAACGGACAGTTTATAAGTTTACAACTTGCACCGATCCGATTTCATTAACTCAAGCCTACCACGAACATTTATGATAACAAATAGTGATCATATATGGTTCCAAATGACATTATATGACCCCGAGATGTATTTTATAGAATCTCAAGGATTTTCGATACCGGGCCCCGAAACCTCCGAAATTCTCAAAAAGCGTGGATATTAGCCTTTAATTTTATAATTTTTAGACTTTTTTCGCCCGAAAATAATAATTGTCGAAATGTTTACCATGGTCCCTAATAGCCTTCGGGAGTCCAATTGGGTGGGTGGAACCATCCAATTTGCCTTTAAACGGTAAATATACCGGTTTATAACTTGCACCGATTTCATTAACTCAAGCCTACCACGAACATTTATGACAACAAATAATGATCATATTTGGTTCCAAACGACATTAAATGACCTCGAGATGTATCCCCTAAAATTTCAAGACTTTTCGATACAGGCTCCGAATCCTCCTAAATTTCTCAAAAAACGTGGATATTAGCCTTCAATTTTGAAAATTTTGGCATTTTTTTCACCCGGAAATAAAAATTGACGAATTGTTTACCATGGTCCCTAATATCGTCCGGGAGTCCCATTGGATGGGTGAAACCATTCAATTTTCCTATAAGCGACCAATTTACCGGTTTACAATTTGCACCGGCTTCATTAACTCAAGTCTACCACGAACATGTATGACAACAAATAATGATCATATATGGTTCCAAACAGCATTATATGACCCCGAGCTGTATCTCCTAAAATATTAATACTTTCTACAACGGGCCTCGAAACCTCCAAAATTTCTCAAAAAGCGTGGATATTAGCCTTCAATTTTGGAATTTTTTTTATTTTTTTCGTCCAGAAATAAAAATTGCCGAAATGTTTACCATGGTCCCTAGTATCCTCCGGGAGTCCAATTGGGAGTGTGAAACCATTCAATTTGCTTTTAAACGGTCAATTTACCGGTTTACAACTTGCACCAATTTACAACGACCAATTTAATTTACTTGCACCGAACTCGACTTGAACCGAAATTGACCCAAACCCGTTTTAACCCGTCAAAACCCGAATTTAACCTTAGTTGTTACTAACCTGACCTGAATTCAACCCGACCCGTTCCAGACCGGACCTGAATTTAACCCAACCTGTTACAAACCTGACTCGAAATTAACCTGTCTTGTTATTGACTTGACCCAAATTCAACCCGACTTGTTATTAACCAGACCTGAATTTTACCTTACCTTTATTACCAAACCCAAAAATTCAACCCATCTGTTACTAACTCGACTCGAAATTAACACTACTTGTTATTGACCCGACCTAAATTTAACCCAAATTGTTCTTGACCCAATTTCAAATCACCTTAAATGCTATTTAGACCACCTTATTATTGTTGATCAAAGCATTTTGTCTTGGGAGACAAAGTCGGTCCAGGCCAACAAAAGAAAGTAGCATCATCCTCAAATTTAAGAGTTAATTAAATATAGTATATATTTTTTATATGGTCAAAAGAGATTATCTTCCTAAATTATATACTATAGTTATGCCATATATATTATAGTCAAGGGAAATAATTAGCTTGGTAAAAATGATAATTATTTATGTATAGTTAATTGAACCCGAATATGACCTGACTTGGAAATGACCCGACCTGATTGTAACCTGCAAATTTTGACTTGAACATGACCCGACTTGAATCCGAGAATGACCTGACCTGGAAATGACCCAACCTGGTTATAACCCGCAAATTATTGACTTGAACCGAACCACTTGAACCGAACCACTTGAACCAGAGAATGACCATACTTGAAAATGACCTGACCTGATTATAATCTGCAAGTTATTATTGACTTGAACCGAACCCGACTCAAACACGAGAATGACCCAATCTGATTCTAACCCGCAAATTATTGACTTGAACCGAACCCGACTTGAACGCGAGAATTACCCTAACCCGTTTTAACCCATGAAAATCCGAATTAAACCCGACCTATTGTTCACCCGACCTAAACCTGACCTGTTGTTAACCCGACCTAAACCCGACCCAAACGCGATAAGAAGTATGATCTGACGTGACCCAACTCAAGCATAACCTAACCCAAACCCGACCTGCATAGGTTATGGAATTAATTTGAATTGACCCAACCCGAGTTGACCCGACCCAAACCTGACCCGTTTACCCAAATTGACAGCTCTAGTTATTTGTGGTTTTCATTTAACAATATTTTCACTTGTAATTGGTTTAACACTACCATTCTAAGTTTCCTTAGAGGTTCTACTTAACCAAAACCGACATCACCATTAGAAGTGTTACAAAATCATGAAACAAAACAAAATTAATATTTAAATCAACACGTACCATAAATTAGTTTACAATTTAATGTTATTCATGGAAACTGTTAAAAAAAATTTACCTTCATTCCATACATCAAAATATATTGGAAACGAAATGGAAAAATAAAAGGGGAAAAGGAATACTTTAAGTGTTAGCTTTTCATTTGTTTGGTCTTAAACCTTTTAAGCAAAAATTTTGTAATGACAATGGTTTAATTAAATTTGTTTCCAACAAAATAAACACCCTTACCAAACATGCTTTCACGGGGATTAACATTTTTTTTATTAAATTTGCATACAATATTAGTAATAATTAGAGTTATGAGTGAAGCATAAAATGAGATATGTTGCCAGTAAAAAAAAAGGATACATTTATTCGATTCTTAATAATTGTAATTCTGTATTTCTCATCTTTCCGTAATCGATTATTTGAGACTTGTAATTCACTTTTAGGACCGTGTATGGTGCGTGTATTTGAGGTTGTATTTTTTATTTTGGCAAACAATTCACAAATCTAGATGCAAGTATTTTGTTACTATGAACATGCAACAATTTTATTTTTCATGTTATCCAATGTACTATTGTTTGTTGTTCATTAGCGCTTGAAGTTGTTAAGTTTCTTTTATTAATAAAAAAATTCTCTGATCTTAGTCTTCTTCTTACAAAAAAAGTTTAATCATTAATACAATTAAAGTAATATATTTACAATAACATTGTAAAAAGTTTATGATATTACTTGTGATTTATTCACAAAATACTAACTTTAAAGGAAATATACTTATTGAATATAATAAACATCTACTATTGTAATAATGAGGTCTTAGCATATTGATTTCTAGTTTAAATTCCACCTAGAGGCTAGAGGTCAATACGAACTAGAGGTTAATTGAGCGGGCCAGACCATGCCAAAGGTAAAAAAAAACCTGCCCATTCCACGGAACGGGCCGTAAAATGTGTGCCCAAACTAGACAAACCGGGCAGATTTTTCAGGTCAATTTCGAATCGGCCCAAAAAATCTACTAAAATTGTATAAATCGTTTTCCCAAGCCCAACCAATTTTTTTTTTGAATCGACCCGATTTCGATAAAAAAAGTCTAAAGGCCGTCCAAAATCGGGCCGGGCTCAACTTGATTAGTCTAATACGAAATAGGCCCTAATTTATTGTGACAAAACGGTAAATCAACCCGACGAAAAATCCTACTCGTATCTCCCTTTACCGGCACAACAGTTAGGTATTAGCGACCGAAGAAATTCTCCGGTGATTTAGGTTTTGGCGCGCAGCTTACCCAGTGTCCATTGTCTAAAGTTTCTTAGAATATTACCTTGGATTACTTCATATTGTTTTTAGGGTTCTTTGATTCATCAGTTTACCAGGTAATTTGAATCCTTTTTGTTTTTCATTGTTTTATATGTTTATTATTGTTGTTTTATGATTATTACTTTATGGATTCATCTTGCTTCATAGCCAATTATACATAATGTAGCATATTTTGTGTGGAATTTGGAAAAACTAATGTTTTTTTTGTTTAAATTAAGTAATTTTTCCTTCTAATTTTGATATTTCTCAGTAAGGTTAAATTATCCTGTGCTGTATTTTGAAGAAATGTGAAGATTTTAGTGAATGTTCGTATCAAATTTGTTCGAGTATTATGATTTATGAATGAGCTTGACAATTCATGTGTGTTTTGTTTGATGAGTATTTATGAACTTTTTTTGAGTAAGCTATGTTCTTCTAATTTTGTTCACCTGCATTAATGATTTAATTTTTCGCGGTTATATTTTGAAGTAAAGTGAAAATTTAGCTGAATTATGGTCCTAAAATTGGTTCCTGGTATAAAACTAGACCTTTTTTGTACTCAGTAATGAGTTGACTAGCATATCGCTGCATATAAGTGCTATTGGTTCATTTGTTTTACCTAAATAAGGAAATAAATAAGGCTATTGGTTCATTTGTTTGAAAATTGTTTTTATTGCAGTGATATTGATGAGCATGAGTAGGCAAAGGTCCGTGGGCGGTGGGAGTCAGCTTGTATTGGATTACCTGAAGCGAAAGCACACCGAGAATCCTAATTTCTATTATGCAATTCAGGGGGATCATGATCCTTTGACTGCCAATATTTTCTGGATTGATGCTGCCTCCCGCATTAACTATACCTACTTTGGTGATACTGTGGTTTTCGACACCTCGTACTGTAGCGATGGTTATAAAGTACCCTTTGCAACATTTACGGGATTAAATCATCATGGACAGCCAACACTTTTTGGCTGTGCCTTAATGCTTGATGAATCAGAGGCTGCCTATGTTTGGCTGTTCCAAACATGGCTTCATGCGATGTCAGGTCAAAGCCCAGTCTCGATCACAACAGAGCCTGCTAGGTTTGTGCAGATGGCAGTATCTCAAGTTTTGCCCAATACCCGGCTTCGTTATTGTAAATGGAACATGTTTAGAGAGACACAAACCCATTTGGGTCATGTGTACCAGTCACATCATACTTTTGAGGTAGAGTTCAGGAAGTGTGTTGATGACAGTGAGACGATTGGAGAATTTGAATCAAGGTGGGGAACACTTTTGGAGGAGTATTATTTGATAAATGATAAATGGATGCAGTCAGTTTATGATGCTCGGCGTATGTGGGTGCCTGTTTACATGCGAGACACTTTCTTCGGCGAGCTCTATGGTGATGAAAATGAGGGTAGAAATATATACTTTGATGGTTTTATAACTTCTGACACCACATTACAAGGGCTGATAAAAGATTATGAAAAAGCCGTTGGGAGTTGGCATGAGAAGGAACTACAGGCAGAAGATGATACGAGTAATACAATGCCTATGCTGAAGACCCCATCACCAATGGAGAAACAGGCTGCTAATGTTTACACCAGGAAAATATTCATGAAGTTCCAAGAGGAGCTTGTTGAGACACTTGCTAATACAGCAACGGAACTAGAGGAATCAGAAGGAGTCACCATGCTTCGTGTAGCTAAGTTTGGGGAAGATCATAGAGCTCATATTGTTACGTACAATTCTCTAGAAACAAATGCTAATTGTAGCTGCCAAATGTTTGAATTTTCAGGTGTCATATGTAGGCACATATTAGCAGTTTTCAGAGCAAAAAATGTTCTTACTCTTCCTTCAGAATACTTATTGAAAAGATGGACAAGAAATGCCAAAAGCGGAGGTTCATTAGACGAACATTCTGTCAGGGAACTAACCAATGCCCGAGAGTCTCTGACTATTAGATATGACAACCTACGGCAAGAAGCCATTAAATTTGTGGAAGAAGGTGCAAAATCTATTCAGGTTTACAATGTAGCTATGAGTGCTCTGGAGGAAGCTGCAAAAAAGGTTGCTTCTGTGAAGAACCAAGGTCATGGAGTTTCACAAGGTCGCTCTCTGGCAAATGTTGACAGTTCAGTGGCATCCGTCCAACCTGCAGTAAGTTTAGCTTAAGCTTTGGAAATACCATTTACATTACAATGTCTTATATGCTGTAATTTTTAACTCTACCCTTTCTTCTTTATAGTAGATTCTTCCCTTTATATATTCTTGATAAGTACAAGTACTTACATGTGCTGCTCTTGAGAACTTTAAAACCTTATACACGTAGCACCTGTGGAAACTTTAATGTAGTATTAGTGGAACAATTTAATTTTACAAGTTATTGGCTAGGCAGTGGCATCATACTTCTTCTGCTAATTTGAAATTTACTGGCAGATTAAGGTTATCTTCTTTTGCATTTGTGAATTATGGGTCATTTCCAACTCAGTATCGTTTTAGTGGAAACTGGCAATAAAGCTTTTGCTTGTGACTGCACCAATGGGTTAACTGATGACATTTGACACTTAGAATAATGCTGCAAGAATATGATGCTGCTTTGTTGTATGTTGCTGATAAGAGTACTAATTAATTGTTATGCTACAGGAAGAGAAGGTTAAGAAAATCCAAGAGTTGACAGCTGAGTTGGATATTACAAACAAGCGGTGTGAGGTTTATCGTGCAAACTTGCTGGCAGTTCTGAAAGATATGGAGGACCAGAAGTTAAAGCTTTCTGTTAAAGTCCAGAATGCAAGACTTAGTTTGAAAGAGTGAGTTGCCAAAAAACAAGCCAAGAATTTTCTTTAACTTGGTTGTAGATATTAGTCATTAAGGACCATATGGTTATTAGCAAATTGACATAATTCTAATTCTGTATTCTTGTGAGTTGTAAGGCGCATTCATATTATGGACAATGCAGTATGATAGACAAACAACAATTTTATCCTTCATAATCAGTATTCTGCTGATCTAATCATTCCTTGCATCCTGCAGCTAAAGGTTCAGCTAGCCTTTAGTATCCGGCCATCATTGCTTGCTAAAGGTGCCCTCAGAGAACAAGTATCCCGGAGCTTCATACTTTCATTCTATTTCTTCCCAAACAAGGTGCAGAGTTTTTCTTTATCCTCAAATTTTATGCCTTTTTTGCTGAACTTTGTTTTTGAGTTGTCTTAGCATTATAATATAGCTGGAGCCTGGAGGTGACCAGATGGCTCTGTTGTTCTGAGATCACCTGACTTAGTTTGTTGCTAGTGCTGGCCCAACTTGGGCCCAGTAAGGCTGGTGGGTCATGGGCCCAACCATAAAATCAGCCTAGCATTAACTGGCCCACTTAAGCCCACCCGGTTTGGCCTAGCCTTTTCTGGTGGAATTTTCAATTTTGACAAAAACATAAGGTCTGCCTGAAGCTCTGAACATGCCTGGAAAAGGCATGTTACCTCGTCCAAGTGTCCAATACTCCAACCCAATTTCCTTACTACCCAATCCTAGGTCACATGTCCATAGCTGGGCTTTGTTGTGAACTAGTCGAGGGCTTTAGGCCCACCTAGACTGGTTCACTCTGGCCACTTTTAAATTGAACTTATATGACTACAAGATCTCTTGCAGGCTGCATTAATGAATATTAATGTTTACAATACTACTTTATTGGTCATATATGGTCATCTCCTTGCATGCTAGAACTTTGTACTGTGTATAGAATTACTTTTGAGAAGGTTTGTATTTTATAAAAGACCATCATACACAAAATAGAACATGTTTGTGGATGTTATACTTACCTTAAAGGTAGAATCACTTAGCTTGCTTGCTAATAGCTACCGTACATGCTTAATATGTCCCAAGACTGCCTTATATTCCTTGTTTTTGTTGGCTTTACCAACATGACACCAAGCTACAAGAGTTAAATGATTGATAGTCTGGTTACAACATGACACCAACCTTGTAAGATTTCCAAAAGAGATTTCTATACGGTCATGTCTATCTCACAAGATTTTACTTTTTGATTAAAATTATGTACTACTGATCAAAATTAACATATTTTTACTGATTAAAAGAAATTTTACTTATATACTAGTTATTCGTTATTTGAGACCACTGATTGATTTTTGAATTGGTGTCTTTAATAAATTTTTTAGCTTACATAGTTAAATATTTTTTTGGAAAAAGTCATTTTAATAATCCCAACTTCGTCCAATTTTCTTTAAATAATCTCAACTACAATAATCCCAACTTTTACCTGCGTTTTCTTTCTTCAAGTGAAAGAGGTTGAGTATAAGGGACTAAAGATTTGTGAGTTTAATAATAATAATAAAAAACTACGGAGTTGTGGTAAGATAATGTGTAAAAGTGTAAATATTGTAGGGTACTAGGGGTAACCTATTAGATTGAAAAATGTAGTGGTGAATAGAAAAATACATAAGCCAAGGCTAAACAAGTAAAATTCCTCGAGGTGATCTATTTAATTCACATAAACGTTAAATTAATTGTATGACATGTAATGCCATGAACCAAACACTAGGTCTAATTTGACTTTATTTTTAAAGATAGGCAGTTATTTGGAAACCAAAAAGTACTTCCTCTGTTTAGAATTAGTTGCAACACTTCCCTAAAATGGATGTTATTTTAGCTGCAACGTAACTGTATTTAGTAGCATTGTGAAGACCAACACCCACTAACTCTCCTTTCATTATATAAGGGCTTTTTTTGTCCAATCTCATTCCCCATGTGGGAACCAAAGTCCACATTTGAAGAAAAATTTCACAACATAATAAATCTATACTATATATTAAAATGTTTATAAAATTGTGTATGTGCCACGTGTTTTTTTTCTTACACCTGTATAGCGTCACATCATCATTCAACGGCCTTTAGCATCTTGCCACATCATCTCATCTAATGATCTTAATTAAAAATGCATACAAAGAGATTTGAACCCCCAAACTCATTGAATGGAAACCAAATGCATTACCATCTTAGCTAGAATTAATTCATGTTTTATTAATCAAAATTTATATATAAATACATAAATGTATTAGAATACAGAATAAAAACCAAAGAAATCCAAAATAAATTATTAATGTCAATATATTCTAATTTACCCATGTTAAATAAATTAATAAGTCTTTTAAACCTTCTAATATAAAAATAAAATTATTCAAAGTATCAATCTGGGCAAAGCCCGCGTCACACACTAGTTATGACATGATAAAAAACTCCTTTAACAAAACTACAAAAGGCAATAAATATGAAAATCAATCCGGATACTTTCCAATTAATGCTACTTCATCTATGGAAAGAAATCAAAGTATATAGTAACAATTCATATTCACATTAATTTTCATACCTCACATTTAATACCATTTCTAATTATTGATCCAATGGTTCATTTCTAACAAAAATAAAAAATAAAATAAAATAAAAATAATATAGTCAAAGAGCATTATTTGTTCAATTCACTTATTCTCGCTCTTCAGCTTTCCTCCTTTTCTCTCACTCTTTCTGACTTTCTCTCTCTTATTTTCAACACACTGGATTGTCTTCTACCGTTTTTACTCAAGAAGACAACCCATCTTTCTTCAAAACTCATTTCTATCAAATTCAACCCATTTTCTCGGTGAAATTTACTCATCGACTTAATTATTTTTCGGTATACTTCTTTTTCTCTAAATATTTTGATTATATCACTTTTTCAATCCTTTATCTTGGTTTTATTTGTTAAATTTGGTTCCTTTTGATAATTTGATGTTTCAATTTTGATTGATTTGCGGTTAGCTTATGTATTTGTTTCTCCGATTTGAATTCTGGGATTGTTTCATGAATGTGGTTTTTGGTTTGGTGGTGTACTGGGTGTTGATTAAATTGATTGTTTCATTGGAATTGACTGTTATTATTATTACATTTGATATGCTGTTTTTTTTAATGGAAAAATTGCCCGCAATAATTCGACCTTTTGGCCGTCCGCTGAAAATAATCCCACCTTTGGATTATTTTTTAATAATCCCACCTTTACCCCTAGTCCGCTTCCAATGGTCCTAAGGTAAATTTTTTTTTTTGGGTTTGAAATACACGTGTCACTATACAATTTGACCAAAAATTTTAATAAAAAAATGAAAAAAAAGTCAGCCAGCCACCCCTTTATCAGCCCCAGGCCCAGCCCCCTAAGCCACATCACTTTAACCACCACCATCCCGACCTCCCCACCTGACCGTAACCCACCACCATCCCCACCTGAACGCAACCCACCAAACCGAAACGCCACTCCCAACTGACTCCGACCGGAACCCTAGCCTAACCAACCCCAAAACTCCTTCGAAACCCATCAACCCCATGCCCATTCGAAACCCCACAAACCCTGATTCCAAGTTTCGGCACACGAAAAGAGGGGCTCAGGTCGGGGGACAGGTAAGGGGCCGGAATCGAGACAGAAAATGGTTTTTGAGGGTGGAGGAAGGTTGTTCTGTGTTTTCGTGGGGGAGAGAAGGGCTGGTGGTTCGGGGTTGGTTGTGTGGCCGGAATAGGGTGATAGAGGGGGCAGGGGATGTCGGGAAAGCTGGGATTGGTGGCTAGGAAGGTCGGCGCGCCGGGAATGGTGGTTGGGAAGGTCGGTGCGCTGAAAATGGTGGCAGGGGAGGTGGTTTTAATATTAATTAATTGTTTTTTTTAATTTTTTTTAATTTTATTATTTGGACTAATCGGGTGTCGACACGTGTCAAGTAACTTGCTAAAGCAAGTTAAGTAACTGGTTGGGACCAATAAAAAAGATCGGGGGGTAAAGGTGGGATTATTTTCAGCGGACGGACAAAAGGTCGGATTATTGCGAACAATTTTTCCTTTTTTAAAATAGTTTTATTCATTTAATACAATGTATATAGTTGTGTTAATATAATTTCTCCAAATGTAGTTATTTAATCTTGCATGTGCTGGTGGAGCATTAGTTGTATTTATGTTTAATCTCGAATTTTGAGGTTGTGTTGTGTGTTGTCGGGAGGGAGGGATGTAGTTTTCGTATACGACTGGAATACTAGGGCTGATGACCCTTTCAAAAACGCGACTTTAAATAATGGGTTTTTAATATAAACCTAGTTTTAATGACAATGTCCACAATTTTTGTTTTGGTTATAAAAATGACTTTTACTTTATATTTCATCATATGACTAAAAGACTATATGTTGCATTTTGTATTGAAATTTTAAATTGTATTAATATTAGAATTTTGGAAATCTTTTCTGTTTCAATCAATGAGGACATGAAATTTATTTGAGGCGAAGAAGAGGCATGATATTAGAGTAAAATAACAAATGTAATAGAAAGGAAAATTTGTTATTAAATGGGCATGAAATTGGAAGAAAATAAAGATTGAGTTAAAGAGAGGAAGCATAAGAAAGGCCCCCCTTCCCCTGCCCCCACCCCCAAACAAAGAAAAGAAAAAAAAAGGTGTTCAAAGAGAGACACGTGGCATTCTAGATTTTCTTAAAAAAGAACTCTTGTTAATTGTAGCTCCTAATCTGAATTTATCAAACAACCTGAAATTTTTGGGTTAAATTTTTATGTTATTTATCGTAATTATGTTCATTGGGCCTATAAACAGGTTTTGAAAGTTAGGATATGAGAGTTTGACCACATACAAGTTCAAATCAATAAAGGTGAAGTATCTTATTAGCCTTTTAAAGTTATAAGGTAATCTTTAGTGTTTTGATCCCTACTAGTCCGATTGTTTTGTTTATTTTAGAGTTTCATCTGTAAAGGGGGCCACTTTCCAAAATACTTTTTAAGACCCTAAAATCCTACAGCAGGGGTAAGAGTATGTACTGTACAATGTACACTGCCTGGTGGAACTTTGTATATTCTGACAAATATTTATTATAGCATAGGTTGCATTTTGTTAGTCTAACATAGCATATAAGTCTCAAGTTCATAAGGTGTCTGTATCAATGTGTTCCCAAGACAAGATCAAGTCACTTTTGCCACAGAATAGGGCTTGGAATGTTACGCTAACTCGGCTGAGTTTTGCTGAGTTTCTTATGCTGTAAACAAAAACTAAAGTATTTGCACAGATTACATGCCTGCAAAGTGAACTTCCACTTTATTACATGAAAAATCATTTGAAATGTTTTATTTGGTTCTGTATCAAGTTTACGAGCTGTATTATTGAAATGTTTTATTTGGTTCTGTATTTAGTTTACAAGCTGTATTATTATGTCTTTATTTTTTTACCATCAACTAATTTTTTCTTTACTAATGTTTTAATTCTATGCAGGTAAGTTGTGCGGGTGGGGTTTGGAATATAAATCAAATTTTCTAGTTGGAAGTTGTTGATACATCTTTGATTTGAGAAGCACAATGTCCCTAATCAGAGGTCAAAGTAGTGATGCTGAATCCAGTACTGAGAGCATTGAGATCAATCTCAATTCTCTTTCTCTTAACAATGGTGTGCTTCTTGTCTTTCTGAAGTTGTATGATGAATCCTCATTAATTTGGTTTTCAATAATTGATTCTAATGTGTTTTACATATGTAGTATATATATGTAGCTGATCAGGATGTATGCTTAAGCATAAGCAGTAATTCTGATCAGTCTAGCCCATGCATGACACAACATAATCACGGGTCACCCCTTCATTGCTGAAGGAACCAAACCATGTTGGCATTGTCCCAAGCTTAGTTGATAGTAATTTCAACAAAGTCCCTGGTTCAACTGGGAATGATCTCTGACATAATACTGACCAGGGTCTTTTAATGCAGGAGGTGCAGCTGTCGGTAATGTAGCTGTCGGTAATGTTGCTGAGCCAAGATTGTCAATGGGCTCCTCCTCTAATGTTGATTATTCTGTAGGAGCTCCCAGCTCTTTGGGGAAGCAAGAGGATATTAGCTCAGATCCTAAAGTCAGCATTCAAAATATAGCTGACGAGACAAGGGAAGTACCAGGTGGTTCAAGACAGACATTTGAAGTGGGAAGCTCTAGTGGTCCTCCTCAAGCAGAAAACAACTTGTCGAATAATCTTTCAGTTCATTTGAATGATTCTTCCTCCCATACATCATTGATGTCATCTTGGAATATTAATCAGATGAATGTTCAAGAACATCCTGTCTTGGGAACAGGCGCTGGTCTTCACTCAAGCTATAACTCCCATCCTCGTCCAATCGCCAGTATCCTTCCTGTAATGCCTCATGAAAATTTCAACCAAGGGCTAGCCATCAATACCTTTCAGATCTCCACACTGTATAATCCACTCCTTGCATATGGGAATCCTCTTTTTCCTTTAGTTCTATATCCCTCACAATCACCATTGCCTATGTGGCAGTGGCTCAATGATATTTCTGTAAGTTCCAGGCCTTACACCTCACCAGACATGCCCAGGATGGTGCTTGCTCCTAGCTTTTCTGGAAATCTGTCTCAGTCGGCTTTTACTATCGACTCCAGTTTAAGGGCTGGCAATATAATTGAGAGTGGACTTTTGCCTGACCTACAAGGCCACTCACATCATCTGCATCATCACAGCCTAGCCGTTGGAAGCTATGATACTCTTGGTGGTGATTATATTCATCAAATGGAGCATAATTTATATTACCATCAGTGGCCCTCCCTTCCCTGGGCTCCTCTAACCACTAATCCAGCTGGAAGGCAGCAAACAGCATTAGATTTCCTGCCAGGGTTTGTTTCTCCTGGGATTGGTCCAGGATCAGGTGTTGGGAATTTTGTTTTCACTCCTAGTCCAAATCCTGCTACCTATGGGCATCATGGACATGACATTGTCGGCCAGAATTCTTATTTTTCGGGTCCATCAGTCACCCAATCTGGTCATCATCTAAGTCTTGGAGTGCACCATGCTTCTCAGTCTACGGAGGCTGAAGTAGAAAGACATCACAGGCCAATGTCCGAGGTTTGTGAACTAGAGTATTCCCTTTTCTAGATTTACTCAAGCCACTTATTTTATTTATGTATCCTATATTTTAGATTGCCTACTTCACCTAACATTGTGGCAGGCAGAATCTTTGTTTTTTAATTTGCTGAGCTATTTTCAGTTATTATCGTCCATTTTTCTTTTTATTACATTACTTCCTCATTTCAGAGGAAAGCCATTTAATTTTTTTTTTTTTTTTTTAAACTTTTCCTGTCCAAAGGTGCATCACATGTTTTTAGATGAAGGCAGAGAATTTCTCAAGCTATATTGCTATGCTTGTTATGTTGTTGCAGAGTCAGTTTGCACAATTATTATAAGGAATCTATGAGACCTATTATGAACTGATACTAGTTGATCTGAATTAAGTAGAAATTAATTGATGCATTCTGTGGATTTATTTGATTTGACATTAGCTCCTCATATCCAATATGTTTTAAATTTATGGCTGTGCATTAATTTGCATTTATTGTTATAATTATCCTTCATTCCTTCTCATTTGGATTACAAGTTACTGTTTCCATAATTTGACTTATAATGTTAATGATGGAATCATTACTGGAAGCAAGTCTATTAGCTAAGTCCAAGCTTTAAGACTAAGGATATTATTTGTAGTGGTAGATTACTTAAGGGGAAGTGGAGTGCATCAAATGATTGCAAATAAATTTGGAAGCAAAGTAATTAAGTAAGGCAAACTAGAAGGAAACTTTTATGCTTTAGGAAACGTCAATAAGGATATGCAAGATTTAGACTGCAAGCTTGATATTACATGTCGGTGCTTTCTAGTAATCCATCTGTTACACATTTACAATTCTTCCATTTATCTATGTGCTTTAGGTTTGGGTAGCATAACCATGTTTATTGACTTTTCCATTCATGTATGATAGGTTTTGTTGGTAATAAAATTTAGCTTTTTCCAGTTTTAGTTTGCTATGGGTACAGACATACTGTACAGAACTATAGGTTGGTGAATACTTGAAGAGAAATTATTTAGTTCTTAAAACATCAACACACATGGATATAGTTTGACAGACCAAGTCTACAACTCAAGGACTGTGTAGATGATTTTCTGATCAACCATGAGTCTTGTGGCTGTTTGTTTGGTTTTGGTTTTGGTTTGGACACTAATCATTACCTCTTTTTTGCATAAATAATGGCAAAGGCCAATATTTTATGCTTCGCCTGTAGGGTTTATTATTATTTATTTTTTATTTTTTTATGCTTAAGTGTCTAAATCGTCTTAATGTTTATGATATTACGTCTTAGAGTTGGTATATTCCCCTTGAGTTAGGATGTTGTGTATCCTTTGTAAGTATTCCCATTATGGTAGAAAAGGGGTATCTAATCAATTGTAAGACATTGTTTCCAAGTATATTTAAGATTTCCTATCACCTCGTCTTGCACCCTACAATCAAAGCGGTAGGAACTACTGACTAGTAGCTCATGAAGAAGATTCTTTGTATCTGAAGATGATAGCGGAAGACTGAAGAAACATGCAAGACACGAACATCACCTATGGTAACTTGTTCTTGCCAAAAGTGGATATCCATATGAAAGTGATTGGCGGGAATCGGATTGCAATTAAGATTTATACATTGTCACTAGATATTGCAATGGTCTAAATCGTCTAATGCTTATGATATGGTGTGTTAGAATTGGTAAATCCCCCTTAAGTTTGGATGTCGTATATTCTTTTAATGTATGTCCATAACGGTAGGAAAAAGGTGATTATAAGAGATTGTCTACACAAGTATTCTAAGATATTGTTAGGTTGATATAAGAATTAACACTTTGTTTAGATATAAGGAAATGGAAGGAAAAGAAGAGAAAGGGAGGAGGATAATTTCTCTTGTTTGGGTAAAAAATTTAAGGAGGAAGGAGAAGGAGAGGGAGAGATATATTTTCTCTCTCTCTCTCTGTAATACGCATTATTCCTCCAAATTTGGAGGAAAAATGGAGCTTACCTTTCCCCTCCCTTTCCTTTGTTTCCTTCTTTGCTATCCAAACCAAGTGATAGGGAAAGGAAAAGGAAAGATTTGGAGAGCTTTGGAAGGAAAATGGAAGGTCACTCTCCCTCCCCATCTCCCTTTCTATATACCCTCTATTCCTTCGCCTCCCTTTCCATTCACTATATGCAAACATAGCGTGAATTTTCATAGACATTTGTATTTTTTGGAATTAAAATTCCACATTAATGCTCTTTGGAATTGGCTAAAGTTTGTTGTTGTTATGAAAACATTTTGCAAATCATGGGAATTGAGTTATGTTTTGCAAAGGGGGGTCGGTAATGTAATTCCTATGTTTTGTGCACATAGGAAATTCCCATGAATTTGCGTTTTCTACATTTTCACTTTTTGTGGCCAACCAAACTAACCCCCTATCCAAATTCACATAAATTTTAGTTCCCCTATTTATACCAAGCAGTACTTAGCTATTTTATAACTTTCTTGCACCTTGCAACCTAAGTAATAGGAGAACGATAGCCCGATTGGATCGGTAGATCAAAAGCTGATGAGGTAGATTCTACTTGTAGAATTTGAAGATTTTGCATAGCGTAAGAGGAAGGAATATGCTAGACACGAGCAACCCCTAAAGCAACTTGTTCTAGGCTAAAGTAGAAATCCATTTGAATGTGACTCGTGGGCACCTAATTGCTATTGAGGATTACACATTGTCACAAATCACAATGATGGGCTAAATTGTCTTAACACTTGTGATATGATGTGTTAAAATTGGTAAATTCTCCTCCAATTAAGATGTCGTATACTCTTTTAATGTGTATCCCTTGTTATAAAGGGTGATTTTAAGGGATTGTGTACAAGAATATTGTAAGATATTCTATCAATCTCCTGACCCTATAAATGCGGTTGGAGAACGGGCACCCGATAATCAGATATGTATTAGTTGATAGGGAAGACCTTTCGTGAAGAAATTGAAGATGTTTGCTTAAAGAGGAAGGAATATGCTGAACACAAACAAACCCTAAAGTAACTTGTTCTCGTGCTAAGTGGAAATCCATTTGAACGCGATTTGTGCCTTCGTAGGCATCAAATTGCTTTTGAGATTTAGTCATTGTCACAAAATGCCATATTAGCTCCAATAAGAGGCCATTGAAGCTTAAACGGTATATTACACATACAACAAGTCTAGATCAATAGAGTTACTTACGTTTGGAAAATGAAGAGACTAGATTGTTACCCAAGAACACTCCATAGTCGGAAGTAGAATGATGGATAAACATGTAATTTACATGTTTGATCATATCAGACTTGGAACGAATATCCCTAATAGACCATCGACACACGGTTCTTTTGAGCTATAAATTTCAAAAGAGAGTGTACTTTAAGAGAACACATCTTAAAAACTCAATGATAGCATATCATTTGAATAGCGTCATTGATAGTTTTTTTTTAATTAGTATTTTTGTAAAAAAAACTAAAAGATTCTTCTTTGATTAGGATCTTGAAAGGATTTATACATTCATTGTGCAATATCTACTTTCAAGTTGACCACCTTTCTACAATTGCTCATGTTGAATGACAGAGTGATATTGTAATGGCATCTTGGTGTTTTGGAAATAGCAACACCTTGGAATAAATTTACAAGCAAACTCTAATTATCACCTGTTTATCATCTCTTTGATATTGTTTTTGTGATAGCAAGCTGATGTGCAAACACCCACTAATTTCTTTATTTCTCTTCTCAATAGTTGTTTATTTATTTTTTTATGAGACTTATCCAAGCTTTATGTTACCTTATTCTCTCCTTTAAATCCTATACTTCCTGTGTATATTTTAGGTTGATACTTTAGGGAGCTTTTACTGACACTATAGTAATATTTATCATCTGTAGGAGGCACATGGGTCGTTACAACCGTTAACAAATATTTGCCTTTCTTCTTATAGGTCTCTTAGGTTGAGACTTTGCGAAGCTTTTCCATGTTCTAGTTTCAACTGTTCGAAGCCTCAACTTTTACCATTGATGCAATGTTTCATTGTCATGTATGTCCTTTGTTGCTAAGAGATCATGTACACCATTCTAGACATGTCAAGTTGTCAACACAACAACTTCTTAAAGATATACAAGTAGAATGTGTTGTTAAGAAAGATTGTTCATCTGAAAGATTCACCTATTTTATTCCAATGCATTAGAAAACATTTATTCCTATGAAATTGTTTTAGTGACATCCCTGAACAAATAGGCATGTTTTCCTAATTCTCTTTCATAATTTTATCTATCATGCAATGTTGGGTGCTTCAGTACTTGAGTTTGATTGTCACGTGGATGATTCTGTCTAAACAGAAATCTAATTGGTTGAACACTTAGAACTGTTGTGAAAAGGATTCTGGTACCTGCCATATTTGTACATATGTTTTTGGACGGACATCTTGAATATTTATTGTTGAAGTATGATTCTTAATTTCTTATCGGTAACTTGCTGATAATGCCATAGAATATCTCTAGGTGAGAACTTCTTTCAGGGATACTTACTATGGCTAGCTGCTCGTAGCATTTCTAGATTGAGATGGTCAGGTGGACATTAGTTTCTCTTTCCTATCTGGCTTGACCCTCTGAAATTGAAAGCTCTCAGACGGTTTGCTTGCTTATTCTGACTTTTCGCTCGTAATTGGACATAAAGGGCCTCCAGCCGAGAAATGGAGTGAGCGGATGAAACTATGTAAAAGAAAAACTGACCCCCCTGGTGGAGTACAGTCCCTGGCTGGATCTTCCCTCATTAAAACATGTTTCGCTATTAGAACTAACAGCCTTTGCAGACACTAACTTAAGTCGTTGCCTTTACCTTCACTTCTTGTTATGTAATCTTTACTCATACAGGATCAGCTGGCCTAATTCAAATTTATTACGTTGTATTTCATTATGTTACTTCATATTTTCAGTGGTTCTGCATCATTTAAAATAGCAATAATTTCTTTGTTTGTTCATGTTTTGTGTTTACATTTTTCGGTCAATACCTTGTATTTCTACTATGCTTTTGTATCATCATATTTTTTTTCATGCTTTTCCTATGTTATTTGTCTTGCCTTGGTTAATAACTTATTTTTGCTGACCTATGGAGCTTAATGCCTTAATGTTTGCTCTTACTTGTGTAGCCACATCTTCAGAATATTGTTGGTGCACAGATTGAACACCAGATGTACTTGGTGCAATCACAGGTATCTTAGAATAATAGCTGTAATTAAATCGTGTTCTTATAATTTTCCTCAGTCACCTAGCATCATATATGGTATCATCTGATTTATTTCCATTCTCTATTTGATGTTCTGCTTAACTAGTAAAATCTTTCCCTTCATAATAAATTTTATAACAATGGAGAATTTATAGCTTCTTCACTCAATATAATTAACAACATATCTTTATTCTTTTGGTAAAGTCTTGTTAGTACCAAACATAGGAACGTATGAAAATCTATAAACTTTAGGATGCTGCATCGTGTGTTTTTAAGGAATTTGGAAAAGGTTGTCATGAGAATTTAAATAAAGTGTAAAATATCAAAATATTATGATATTTTAACTTATTTCTTCCCCGCTTCTCAATTTCTTCTCCTCCCTTCCCTGGGTGATTTCATGCCATCTTTATCCGTGTATAATTGATTTCTTCAATGAAAGCGAACTCTTTGGCTTTATGTTTTCTTATATCTTCCTTTCCTGAATATGCACCTACTAGTTTTCATATTATATGAACAATATAATTATCTTTTAAGAACAAAAATAGAGGAACTCATAAAAAGGGTGAGATTCTGATTCAGCTGAGCTTTCCAGGATGCTGTTGGCAGCTCCTTCTTCCTAAGGGGGTAGTTTATTGCTAATTTACGTCAAGAAGGCTCCCTTTTACATAATTTCCCTAATACAGTTTCTTTCTCTCTTTTTTTTTTTGGCTCTGATTTTATCTTCCTCTCACTTTGCTTACTCTTATACAGTTGTACTGCATAAATATTGAAATACAAATGTACTGATGTTCCACCGATTTTAATTCATTTGTATCAGGCAGCACTTATGCTTCCAGTGCACTATGTGCATCACATCGCAATTGGGTATCCAGTGGGAATGTTTCTGCAAGATATGCACCATGTTATGAGACTTGACGTAGAGAATATGTCGTATGAGGTAATAGTTGCCTATTTATTTTCCTCTAAGGTCAATTTGTGGGTCACCTTTTATTCCTAACACAATGCTAGTTATGTTCCAGGAGTTGTTAGCTCTAGAAGATCATATTGGGAATGTTTCTTCTGGTTTAAGTGATGAAACCATTATGGAGCTTCTAAAGTGGAGATATTATGAATGTGCTGTCAAAGAACCTATTTCAGATGATGAGATATGTTGCGTATGCAGAGTAAGTATTGATTTTCTAGTCATATCATATAAGAGAGTTGCTCCCTCTATCTGACTTTGTAGACTTGTAGTCTATGTTAATCGGACTCTTCATTTCACCTCACGTACCAGTGTCGGACCCTCGACACTCGGACATGGGTATGACACCCGGACACTTCACTTTTAGTTCATGGATTTTTTTTTCGCAAAATAGCCGAGTCTGACGCTTGGACACGTACCCATGTTGGACATGGGTACCCGAGTCCAAGTAACATAGCTTGTAGTCGCATATAGTATTTTAGGATGTCTGAAATTATTACCTTTTTCAACATCATTATGGTTTGCGACTAGAAATAAATATGTTTCTCTTAAAAGAACGTGGTTGCTGATAGAAGAGATTTAAGCTTAGAATTAATATAAAGGATTTTTTTTTTATATCACATCATATCTATGACTATGTGAATTATTTATTTGAGTAAGAGAATTGGACTGACTGGAAATGTCGCAGTGGATGAACTCATGAAGTGAACCTTTTCTTGCCTTTACTCTGTTATACTCACTTGAAATGTGTTATGTACCAGATTCTTGCGACACAATTAATATTAATTTAACACAATTAAGGGGTAAGCTTGAGTATTTTGATTAATGAGCAACTGAATTACAAACTAACAAGGATAGGCATACCTTTAGGCTATGAGTCTCTCAGTGACTTTAGGCCACAAATCTCACAAGGAACTTCACTCAATTTTCTGGATAATTACCACTGCTCTTAAACTACAATACTTATACTCAAGACTTAGATAATACATGTGACATTAATTAACTAAAATAGAAACCCACAATGACCATGATTAAAGGAAGCTGCTTTCTTTCCTTAACTTCCCTTTAATGGCCTTTGTCCGGTTGCTCCTTGTTTCCTGCCTCCTCTGACCTTGGCTGCCCCAACTCCTTGGACCCACTAAAATAGAAACCCACAATGACCATGATTAAAGGAAGCTGCTTTCTTTCCTTAACTTCCCTTTAATGGCCTTTGTCTTGTTGCTCCTTGTTTCATGCCTTGGCTGCCCCAACTCCTTGGACCCTTGTTGCCCTCTCTTTGTGTGCCTCGTATACACCAACATTGGTGGTTGACTTGCGGTGTTGACCCCGTTGACCTAGTTCATAACTTCACTCCCCCCTTTGAGTTTCACCTTGTCCTCAAGGTGGAATGACGGAAACCGCTGCTTAATGGCGTCATACTCTTCCCATGTGGCTTCGAACTCGGGCAGGTCTTTCCATTTAATTAACACCTCGAGACCCGGAGTGGTTTGTTGCTTCCCCCAGCGCACTTCCATGAGTTCTTCCGGCTCTACTATCATCTCCAAGTCCGGCGACAATTGTTGAGGAATGAGGGGTTGGCAGGTGAGGCTCCCCATGGTGCGTTTAAGTTGGGATACATGAAAAACAGGGTGAATTTTGCAATTTGTCAGGCAAACGGAGTTTGTACGCCACTCGCCCAATTTTTTCCAATACTTCGAAAGGACCATAAAACCTTGCCGCAAGCTTCTCAAAAGGCCTCCTTGCGAGGGATTTCTGACGGTATGGACGTAATTTTAGGGACACCTTTTCGCCCACCTCAAACAGCCCCTCCCTTCGGCTCTTATCGGCGTTACTCTTCATGACCTGTTGTGCCCGATTGAGGTTCATACGTAGCTCGTGCAAAATTCCATCTCTTTCCTTCGATGCCTCCTCTAAGCTGCTGACCACCGTCTCATTAGCCCCTAATCGCCATAATTTCGGAGGGTCTCTCCCATAAACAATTTTGAATGGAGCCATTTTAGTCGACGTCTGAGGGTATGTATTATAAGAGTACTCCGCCCACGGCAGCCACTTAGCCCACGTTCGTGGTTGTTTTGCAATGAAACACCGAAAGTACGACTCCTAACACTTGTTGACGATCTCCGTTTGACCGTCGGTTTGGCGGTGGTAGGCCGTGCTTCTTTTGAGCTGTGTGCCCTGCAATCGGAAGAGTTCCTTCCAAAAAGTACTCATGAAAACACGGTCTTGGTCGGAGACAATTGATGAGGGAAAACCATGAAGTTCAACAATCTCCTTCACGAGATAATCGACCACCTTAAGGGCATTAAAAGGGTGCTTTAGCCCAATAAAGTGGCCATATTTCGACAACCGATCAGTAACCACCGGTACGGTGTCAACCCCACGCGACAACATCAACCCCTCCACAAAATCCATAGAGATGTCTTCCCAAATTGCATTGGGAATCGGCAGTTGAAGCAATCCAAGTGGACTTTTGGTGGTGGACTTGCTTCGTTGGCAGACTTCACTCTCTGACAAACTTGTCGACGACCTTCCGCATCCCGGCCTAGAACCAATTAGTGGATATACGGAGGTAGGTTTTGATCTCCCCGTCGTGGCCTCCCACCGGTGTAATGTGATACTCGCTCAAGAAGAGGGGGATAAATTTAGAGTTAAAGGCTCGATCCCCTTCAATATGAAAACCCTTGGGCCCGCCTTTTCCCTCCTTAAGGCCCTTAATGATGCTGGCAACCATTTATCAACTTCAAGTTCTTTCTCCAATTCGGCCCAGTCCACGAATTGTGAGTGGACCATGGCTTTTATTTCAGCCTTACAAAAATCACCTTCTTCACTACCTGGTTTCCCTTTGCGAGACAGAGCATCAGCGACTCGGTTCGCGGCTTCTGGTTTGTATTGTATTTCGAAGTCGAATCCCACTAATTTTCGAATCCATCTTTGATATTCGCTCTCTACTTCGCGTTGGTGTATCAAAAACTTCAAACTTTGTTGGTCCGTTTGAATCACGAACGTCCTACCCAACAAGTAATGTCGCCACTTAGTCACCGCAAGAGCTATGGCCATAAGCTCCTTTTCATAAATGGACCTCCCTTGAGCACGAACTCCCAACACCTTGCTGTAATAGGCGATTGGTCGCCCTTTCTGCATCATGACCGCACCTAGGCCAAAACCCGAGGCGTCCGTCTCCACAATAAACTTCTCCCTAAAGTCGGGCATCGCCAAAATGGGTGTGGTAGTCATGGTTGCCTTGAGTCTATTGAAGGCTTGAGTGACCGCTTCCGGCCAACCATACGGATCCTTCTTTAATTGCGAAGTCAAAGGTTCCGCAATTCGAGCATAGTGATGCACAAACTTGCGGTAATATCCCGTAAGCCCCAGAATCCACGGAGCTCCTTGAGATTCCTTGGCACCTCCCACTCGAGAACCGCTTTGATTTTCTCTTGGTCTATGGGAACACCTCTTTCAGAAATCACGTGGCCTAAGTAAGCCACCTCCTCCTTCCTAAATTCGCATTTCTTCCAATTAGCATAGAGGCTATGCTCCTCTAATTTTTGCAACACCAACTTGAGATGTTCCCGGTGCTCCTCGACCCTCTACTATAGATGAGGATATCGTCAAAGAAAACCAACACGAGTTTCCTAAAAAACGGTCGAAACACATCATTCATCAATGATTGGAACGTTTGCCGAGGCATTAGTAAGCCCAAAGGGCATTACTAGGAATTCATAATGTCCCTCATGAGTCCGGAACGTCGTGTTGTGTGTGTCCTCCGGTCTCACTCGTATTTGATGGAACCCCGATTTCAAGTCTAGCTTGGAGAAGATTTTCGACCCATGTTATTCATCTGGTAGCTCATCAATTACGGGGATCGGGTATTTGTCGGGGATGATTTCCTTGTTCAAAGCCCGATAATCCACGCAAAACCTCCACGACCCGTCTTTCTTCTTGACCAACAACATCGGGCTTGAGAATGGGCTGCTTGACGGGATGATTCCTGCCTCAAGCATTTCTTGGATCATCCTTTCATAGGGCCTTACTGAAATTGGATCACAACCCTCCCTTAAAATAATTGAGTGTTCATGGCCCCTTTGTGGTGGAAGCCCACTAGGCAACTCAAAAACCCCCTTGACCTGATCCAATAACTCCTTCGGGTGCGCCTGATTTCGTTGGGCCTAGCCCATCCTCTTCTAACTTGTTAACTTCCATCAAAATCCCTTTTCTCTTTGGCCATAACTCTCATCATGGCCTTCAAAGGAGACTTGGGCCTTTTCCAACGATGGGTCGCCAGTAAGCATCACCGGTGTTCCCCCAATCACAAACTTTATCACGTGGGTCCTCCAATTAGTGACCACCAACCTAGTTTTTCTAACCATTAGACCCCTAAGGCCCTAAGATCACCTCCGCATTGCCTAGTGCTAAGGGTAGAAAGTCCTCTACCACGGTGACCCCCCATTCAATTCCACGTTCACACCCTTACATACTGCGTCACCACGAACCGTGTCCCCATTTCCCAAGGCAATCGAAAATCCCCCACCTTCTTCCACCCTAATCGCCGCATCCTGCACCACTTTTGTGGAAATAAAATTGTGAGTGGCCCCCGGGTCCACCAATGACGATCACCTCTCTTCCTTGCACCACACCCTTCAATTTCATCGTTTTAGGATTAGACAATCCCACTATCGAACATAGAGACACCTCCATCAGAGGTTGTTCACACATCACAAACTCATCTTCATTCTTGATTTCTTCCTCATCCACCCCTTCACTCACGATTAAGATGCTAAGCTCCTTCCGCTTACACCTATGGCCCACACCCCACCTTTCGTCACACTTAAAACACAACCCTTCTATGTTTCCAATGACCCCCGCCACCCCTGCCGCGGTCTCCGCCGTCCCTCTAGCCGCTGTGCCACCCTCCCGAGTCAGGGGGTGGCCACTCTTGCTCGTCCTCTGGCCTTCCTCCTACAGGCGTCTGAATCCGGTCCTCTTCTAGCTGTAGGCTGTTCTCGCCGTTGAGGTGAACCACCGGACGTACTGGCTGTTGTGGCTGGCTGTGTTTCGCCGCCTTCAAGTCAACCTGCAACTTCGTGATCTTCGCACGATCAATAACCCCTTGAGTGTCGACATCGACACGGAAACGGTCTATATGGCCCTCCAGCCGAGTGGTGGCAGCCGCCAGGGCATCCTCCATCTATTTCCGGTCGTCCTCCATTTTCTTTCGTTCCTCCTCCAAGGCAGCTTTCACCGCCGCCGCCACTACTCTGGTGAGGGAATCTCCTTGCGGCTGGAGTTTTTCTTCGATGCTGCCTACTGAATTTTCAGCCCGGTGAGGGCTTCCTCCACAGCGGTCAGGCGTTGGGGTGTTCTGGCCTCCTTGATCGGTGCTCTGATACCAAGATGTTATGTACAAGATTCTTGCGACACAATTAATATTAATTTAACACAATTAAGGGGTAAGCTTGAGTATTTTGATTAATGAGCAACTGAATTACAAGCTAACAAGGATAGGCATAACTTTAGGCTATGAGTCTCTCAGTGACTTTAGGCCACAAATCTCACAAGGTACTTCACTCAATTTTCTGGATAATTACTACTGCTCCTAAACTACAATACTTATACTCAAGACTTAGATAATACTTGTGACATTAATTAACTAAAATAGATACCCACAATGACCATGATTAAAGGGAGCTGCTTTCTTTCCTTAACTTCCCTTTAATGGCCTTTGTCCTGTTGCTCCTTGTTTCCTGCCTCCTCTGACCTTGGCTGCCCCAACTCCTTGGACCCTTATTCCCCTCTCTTTGTGCGCCTCGTATACACCAACATTGGTGGTTGACTTGCGGTGTTGACCCCGTTGACCCAGTTCATAACAAAATGTTGCAGTGCATGAAGTTAATCTTCTCTTTCCTTTACTCGGTTTGTTGTACTGACTTGAAATGTTGCAGTGCATGAAGTTAACCTTCTCTTGCCTTTACTCAGTTTGTTATACTGACTTGAAACGTTACCATGACATGAGGTCAACCTACCCTCTTTTCCTTTCCTTTTTTATTTACTGACTTGAAACGTTATCATGGCAGGAAGAGTATGCTCAAGGAGAAGAAATTGGAGAGTTGAATTGTGGTCATGAGTTCCATACAAGGTGTATCAAACAGTGGCTCATCATCAAAAATACATGCCCGCTCTGTCAAATGAAGGGCTTGGATGCATAGCACGCTGCAGGAATGAAATTTATTGCTGTAAAGTAGTTTTATAAACATCTTTAGCAATTTGCTGAAGTTACTTTGGTTTAGCATCTTTTTATATTGGTTTTTTCTATTGAAACTTAATAATGTGGACGTTGTAAGTGTATATGGACCCACAGTCATATAAGAAGCAACACATCTGTTGCAAATAGTACAATAATGAAAATCCTTTCTTCGGAATTGTACATTCTTCCTTTTTTCTATATCCTTGTTGAATACTTGACTGTGCTACTTCTGAATCTTTGAAATCTTTTACATGTAGAACATGTGGAAGCATCAATGCTGAGTTGATAGACCATGATTAGTTTTACTGGCTAGGCATTAGTGCCAATTTGCTTCTGCTTATTTGAGTTTCACTGGTTTATCCTGCTTTTGCATTTGTGAAATATGGATCCTTTTAACTCAAGGTCTTCTTTCCTAACCTGCATCTGTCTGCCATGTCTAAATGGAATGACCATGCTGCATTGCTGCTTATGATCAAACTCCATTACTATGCAAAAGCATCATTGCTTACTGGCAGTGGCTGGCTTATTATGATTTTGAATGTTATTTTACTTGTGCAGTGGAAATCAAGCTTTTTTTTTTTTTTTTTTTTTTTTTTTTTTTTTTTTTTTTTGTGATTGCAGTGCTGCACTAATTATTACCTAATGACATTTGACATTTAGAATAGTGCTGCGAGAATATGATGTTACTTTCTTGTCTTTTGCTGATAGTTTACGTATGAATTGTTATGCTACAGGAGAAGGCTAAGAAAATCCCGCAATTTACAGCGGAGCTGTTGAATATCACCAAGCAGTGTGAGGTCTATCATGCACAACTGCAACTTGCTAGCAGTTCTGAAAGATGTGGAGGACCAGAAGTTGAAGCTTTCTGTTAAAGTCCATAATATAAGACTAAATTTGACAGAGTAAGTTGCCAAAAAAAGAAAGCCAAGGATTTTCTTTAACTTGGTTTAGATATTAGTCAATAAAGAGCAAAAAATTATTTTTAAAAAAAACTCATATGAAACAAAATGTGACATACTTCTAATTATGTATTGATGTGTTGTGAGGTGCATTCGTATTATAGACAACGCATCATGATAGATGATAGTCGAAATGCTCTTTTACAATCAGAATGGTTGCTAATTTTATCATTCCTTGCATTCTGCAGCAAAAGGTTCAACCAGCCTTTAGTCTCCGGCTCATCGCTTGCTAATGGTACCGTCAGTGAACAAGTGTTTTAGAGCTTCACAGTTTCACTCTCTTTCTTCCACACAAGGTGCAGAATTGCTTTTTTCTCTCTAAAATTTATGCCTTGTCTTCTGAACTGTGGTTTGGTTTTGAGTTTTTGGAGCATTATAATCTAGCTAGAGCCGGAGGTGGCCAGAGGTCTCTGTTGTTCTGAGATCACCTGACCCAGTCTGTTGCTAAGACCTGGCCTAACGTGAATCTAGCAAGGCTGGTGTGTGGTTCATGGGCCTAACCTTATAAAAGTCAGCCTGGCTCTAACTGGCTTTTAAAGCCCAGCTGGTTTGGCCTGGCCTTGCTCTAATAGGCCCAGAAAAGGCATGTTAACTGGTCCAGCCCAATTTCTTTACCAGCCCAATCCTAGCTCTCAAACCCACAGCCTGGCTTTGCTATGAACTAGTCGATACTGAAAGGCACACCTAAACCGATTCGTTACTTCGTTCCACTGGCCACTTTTACGTACATCTCATATGCCACCTATTGTGCAGAGTCCAATGTTAGTAATATCCATTGTGTGGAATTTTCAAAAAATATACGTAGTACATAACTTGTTTGGTTCGCTTGATTTTTATATATACTAATTACTTTGAATACCACTGATCAAAATTGAAAAATTAATTGATTTTCACTGATTAAAACAACTTTTACTTAATTACTATGGAATACTAGTCATTTATTGTACGAGGGCACCAATTTTTTTACTAATCAAAATTGATTTAGAGAGAGTATAACTAATTTTTACTTATTGGAATGCAACTAGATTTTTATTGATTAATGCTTTGTTTTTATTTTTTGAGGTGAAGTGAGAGGGGTAGGTAGAAATGCAAATATACAAAGTTAAGTACATTGAGTCTTCCGTACGTAGACTATTTTAATACGAAGTAGTTCAAAGAAACCCTCGGTGAGTATGAAGGAACACATGGGTGTTGCAAATAATACGGTAATGAATCTCCTGGTCGTTCGAGTTGTATATTTTCACACTTCTAAATCACTCAGTTCACCATGTGTTATGTTCATACGACTTATGAGTAGTATATTAGTCCATGACTTATCATTTCACAATAATTAAAGCAGTATTGTAATCACCAATGTCATCGGAAGCCGTGCAGTTTCACTCATCCGATGCCATTGCTGCACTATCCAATCACTTTTCGCCATATATATGTATACTAACCAATAATCACACTAAAAAATAAGCAATGGTAGTTAGATAGTTCAAGGATAATGCTTATATGTAGCCCTAAGGGCTATGTATAGCATTTTCTTAATATTTATACTCCGTATTTCTGTAATAAACTATAAGCATGATTAGTCAATGATAACAACCAATCATCACACAGTAAAAATTAAATTAAGTGAGCATAATATTTTATCTACAGTAGACTGAGCATGATTAGTCAAAGATAATAACCTGCATCCAATCACCATTCGCCAGTTCGCAAGTTAACAACTCAGCCACACATGGTTAAATAAAAAAAAAAATAGTAAATAACTAATTAATGGTAGAAGGTGATAGACTTGTATTCTTATATTATAAATAGTGCTAGTTTAGATGGAGTTTATCACACATTCTCACTTGCACTTTACAGTCATTAGATTTCCTTGTTTTCTCATCCCTTTGTCTGCTTATCTCACTGAAACTCCAAATGGCTGAGTTCGGGATTTGCCTTGCTGAAAAACTCATTGAAATTATCGGGTCTGCAGTCATCAAAGAGATTTGTGACATGTGGGGTTACGAAGCTAAACTTGATGAGCTCATGAAGATTGTCTCCGACGCTAAGGATGTGCTCCGTGATGCTGAGGCCAAGGTGTAGCTCCCCGACAAAACACGCCGCTATATTGAGGAGTTGAAGGATGCAGTCTATGATGCTGATGATTTGTTCGATGAGTTCTTAACCCTTGCTGAGTTGAAGCTCCTGGATTGCAACAAGGATAATAAAATCCTTGGAAAGGTATGGCGCTTTTTTAAATCTAAGAAATATGGAATTAGTGAAGCTCACAGAATGTCTCGCCAGGTTAAGAAAATTAAGAAGCAGTTGGATGCTATTGTTAGTGACCATAAAAAATTCGATCTTAGTGTAGATAATAATCCTATTAGTAATAAGAGGGAGGAAACTTGTTCTTATGTGGATGCAAAGATTATAATAGGGAGGGACAACGATATAAAGGCTGTCATTGATATGTTGTTAGGTCCTAATGATGTTAATGAAAATTTTCGTTTCGTGACTATCGTAGGAATGGGAGGATTGGGTAAAACTGCTCTTGCCCAACTTGTGTGTAATGATAAAAAAGTTGAAAAAGAGTTTCCGGATCCCAAGTTAAGGTTGTGGGTTTGTGTCTCTGATCAAGGTGGGGAACAATTTGATGTCAAAGTTATTCTTTGTAAGATTCTAGAATTAGTTTCTGGTATAAGGCTTGATCGTACCTCCACATTGGAATGGGTGCAAAAGCAATTTCAAGAGCAATTAAAAGGAAAAAAGTACTTGCTTGTTCTTGATGATGTATGGAGTGAAGATTGTGAGGAATGGCGTAGGCTGCAGAGCTTCTTAACATTGGGCCAAGAGGGTAGTCGGATTATAGTGACTACACGTTCGGAGATGATTGCAGAAATTATTGGGGAAAAATATACGCACAAGCTGCAAGGTTTGTCTGAAGAGAACTCTTGGCTCTTGTTTGAGTCTGTAGCATTTAACAAAGGGGAACACGAGCAAGTAAATTATCTTGAATTAGTTGATATCGGGAAGAAGATTATTGAAAATTGCTCTAATACACCGCTTGCTATAAAGGTGGTAGGAAGCCTTTTATTTGGTCAACCTCTGAACAAGTGGCAGGCATTTGAGCAGAGTGGGTTGGCTGGAATTGAAAAAGGTGGTAATTAAATTATGTCTATACTAAAGCTTAGTTACCACAACCTTAGCCCTTCTTTGAAGAATTGCTTTAGCTATTGTTCATTGTTTCCCAAAGATTATCAACTTGATAGGAAGGAGTTGATTAGCCTTTGGATGGCACAAGGATACATTGTGTCCCTGGACAGAGATCAAAGCATAGAAGATGCTGCAGAGGAACATTTTTTGATTTTGTTGCGTAGATGTTTCTTCCAAGATGTAATGAAGGATGAATATGGTGATATTCAGTCAGTCAAAATTCATGACTTGATGCACGATGTTGCTCAAGAAGTGGGGAAGGAAGAAATTGGCGTGGTAAGTTCTAATACTATTAGAGTGAGTGATAAAATTCGTCATGTGTATTATGTCGGTGATAGTTGTCCACAAAGTTCCTTACTTGAGAGTAAAATTCGTTCTTTTATTTTAAGTAATGATATAAGAGGTCTGATGGATCCAAAAATTGGCAATTGTGTTTGCCTAAGGGTGTTGAACTTGCAGTTTGCAGAGATTAGAAGTATACCCAATTCAATAGCTAAGCTACTGCATTTAAGGTATCTTAACTTATATTGTAATAGTAGTTTGGAGGTACTCTCTGATTCTATTACTAAACTACATAACCTCCAGACATTAGTTTTAAACACTTGCTATAATTTGAGGGAGTTGCCCAAAGATTTTAGCAAGTTGGTCAAACTTAGGCACTTGGATTTAAGTGGCTGTAGTGAGTTAACTGGTATGCCTTTAGGCATGGATAAATTAACTAATCTTAGATACTTGAACTTAAATCTTTGTTGGGGGTTGAGTAGTATGCCTTCAGGCATAGATAAGCTGACTAGTTTGAGGGTGTTGCCATTCTTTGTGGTGGGTAAAGGTGAGAGGGTTTCAGCTGAGGAGCAAAATATAGGACTCAAAGACCTAATAGGCTTGACCAACTTAAAAGGTGGCATAAAGATCGAAATCGGTGAAAATTACGTTAATGATGGAGAAGGAGACTATTTGAGGAGCATGAAACATCTCAGTGAGGTTCAAATCGTTTTTTATAAGGATGAGTTACAGTCCTTATTACAAATAACGAGGAGCATGGATAATGATGATGGATGTTTAGAGTGTGAAGCTGTGATGGAAAAGTTAAAGCCACCTTCTAATCTCAAGGGGTTCATCTTGGAAAATTATGAGGGCACAACTATTCCAAGGTGGGGTAGAGCAGAGGATGATTGGGCAATTTCTTTCCAATACCTTGTCAACATCGAGATTAAATTTTGTAGTGAGTTGGAGCAGATACCATTGTTAAGTAAATTGCGCTATCTAAAATCCCTGTCATTTTGGAGCTTGCTGAAGTTGGAGTATATGGAGAATAGAAGCAACAACACTAGCAGGGACGGAGAAGAATTGACCACATTCTTTCCCTCCCTTGAATCTCTTCAGATTAGCGATCTTGGATGTTTGAAAGGATGGTGTAGGGGAGAGGAATACAAGGCTGAGAAGGATGATGATCATATCTTGAGTAGTAGATTGACATTTCCCTCTCTCTCAAAATTGATGATTGAATATTGTTATAACTTGACGTCGTTTCCCTCCTGTCCAAGCCTGGAAGATTTGAAATTCTGCTGTAACAACAAAAGGTTACCAGTTAGAGTCAATGAGGTTGACTGTGATGGAAAAGGTGAAGCCAGATTAAGGAAGGTGGAAATCGACGAGGTGGGCTATCTCAGGTCAATACACTCACTTTGTCTTACTGTCCTCGACATAAAATTCAATGAGAACGTAGAGAGTTTGTCAGAATTTGGAGAAGTATTCAAGAGCTGCGCTTCTTCCCTAAGAAGTCTGAATATTTCACTTTGCTCAAATTTGAGGAGATTTGGAAGAGGCGGGTTAGAGCATCTCACTGCCCTGGAGTCATTAAGATTTTACAAGAATGATCAATTGAGCTTCGCTGAAGACGAGGTCGATGATGACGGCATGCCTTGGAAATCCCTTAATCAGAATCTCCGTTCCCTACAATTTAGCTCCCTCGAAAATATGAAAAGTCTGCCCAAGGGAATACAGTACTTGAACTCCCTTCGAAGCCTCACCTTTTATGATTGTGAGAATTTCATTGCCCTGCCTGAATGGATAAGCTGCTTATCGTCCCTTCAGTCCCTGTCAATTAAACAATGTAGTGCCATCAAGTCAATCCCTGAATCAATGCGGAACCTCACTTCCCTTCAAAAACTTATCATTGATAGCTGTTCAGACCTAGCAGAAAGTTGCAAAAAACCCAATGGGAAGGACTGGCCCAAGATTAAACACATCCCCTACATTGATTTTACTCTGTAGCTGATTTGAGTAGGTACGCTCTAATTCATTCTCTCATTTTTTTTGTTTTTATTTTCTATTTCTTAGTTCCCTGCTTTAAAACAGTTTGTCAAATGTTTTCCACTCTCAATTTCTATTTTGCATCTCTTTTTCTTCCTGAGCTAAAATTTAGCATGAGCAACTTTTTTGTGTGTGCCTCCGGGGTGATACTAATTTTTAGGGAGATCCAATGCCTATCTGTTTTCAGTTCCGTAGTCATTCCCGTAGTAAACTTAATAAACATCTAACTAATTTGTCTTTTCATTTATCTTTCTATCTACTTATCTAGCTATAGGCTATCCTTTATTTAAATCTACTACATGCCATTATTTTTTTAATAGATCACAACAGGTACTAGTTTACAGATTTTCGTCTAATACAATAATCTGTGACCCTTTTTTAACTTCTAGGAGGTCATGATTGCTCAGCTTGTTGTGATGGTCACCTGCTGTCTTGCTTATAATCAACTAGCGTAGACAATTTCTTCCATAAATTTAGACCGCAATTGTCCCCCACCTTCAGGTCTCTAACTACTTTTCTGTTCAGTTACATGACTTACATCTGTATGTTTGTGCAGCAATTTTATCTTGTGTGACTGTACGAACTCTGGGCATTTGGGTAATGCTTGTGTGCATATCGGATCAATGATGAGAAGATTACAGCTCACTGGGTTGGATTATAAGAATAAATTCATAGTGAAAACTAGGTGAATTTCCTGACATTTCTTGCATTTTTAGATGCCTAGATTTAATATACAGCATTAGGCGATTATATTGACCAGAGGGTGTACTACCTTATCTTATGTTGGTTTGTTTACCTGAAAATGGCCGCTTATGTTTCCTCTCAGGTACTTGTTGATGAGTATCAGATATGCAGTGTTTTGGTATTAGTCCAATACATGTCAGAGTAAGTATCAAATGCATTATGTTCTTTCAGTTTGCCTCATGCTTGGGTTCTAATTTTTTGTTCTCAATTTGTTAACTCCTTGCCCTTTTATTTTGCAGTGACTTCTTGATGAGGTCCTATGACACTTGTGAAGCTGTCAATGACATAATTCTGTTGGCCCTAGCGTTTTTTTCTGATATAGATTATCCTAAAGTCTATCAGAAGCCTTTTGCTACACCGGTACCTGTGTATTTCTGTGAAACTTAATGCAAATTCCTTTCAGGTAAGATCTGGAACTTTTTGGAACTTACCTTTTTACTAAATTTCGCTGCTTTCTAATATCAAGCAGTGAATACTTATTTATATAATGCCACCTTCTTTCAGAAAGAAGCTCAAGCAGATGCAGACTCTCTGTTGTGAAATGCCTCCTTCAAGAGAATTGATTGCAGTAGCTATGGCTCTCAATCTGTTAACATATCCGTTGGTCACGTGTTCGAATCAGCAAGGCTGAGCTCTATGCCACCAGGTCCATCCACATATCTCCAGTTTGCACGGAACAAGAAGTACATATGTTTCTCGGTGTTATGGGTGTAGCCTACTTGTAACTCAAGCTAGTATGCTTTTATCTTGAGTCTGTGAGTCCAGACTCCAGAAATGGCAGCTTCATGGTTTTTATGTCCAACTTGGAATTCATGAGATGGCTTCTAGAAGAAGCTTGAAGGGGTGTGTTTAATTGTTGTAACCAAAAAGTCAACAAGGTGGATGGAAGAAGCCAGAAGCACACCCACAAAACAGAAGAAAGAGAGAAAGGCAGAGGGTTTCAGAGAAGCTGCTGCAGTTCGGATTTCTCAGCATAAAACTGTTGTTTGCTGCCTTGCCAGAGTATTGACCGTTCACCGTTGCATCGTCTTAAAATTTGTTCAGCTTGTCTCAGAACTCTTTTGTTTGGTGACTTTTTTCAATTTTGCACTTCTATTATGTTTTTGTCTTATGTTTGTATTTGTTAGTTGGTTGTAAAATCTATATAGACTAATTTTGGGTTTCTTTTGCCCTTAATTTTATCATAATAAGAGAAGAAGAAAGGGTGGATTCCTTACAAGTCCCGTGGTTTTTACTCTTCGTATCGAAGGGGTTTTCCACGTATACATCGCGTGTCCTTGTGATTTAATTCTTCCATATTGCTGCTTGCTCTTGTTGTCCGTATTGGTTGATTTTTGCTTGGTAAATCATTTGATTGCTCTTTTGAGGTGAATTGGGGTTGTTCTTGGTTGATTGTCTAAAACTTGATCCTTGTGGATGTTGTGTAACTACACAGGTCCTACACTAGGTTTTCATGCTGCAGCCTGCAGCTATGTTTGATAAATTCACGTTATCTAAAGTTTGATTTATCCTGATCGGTGTATCATCTTGGATTGATCGAGTTGCCTTTATTTTTGCTACGAGTTTGTAAACCTGAAACGACACTTGATAAAATTTCCGTGCCTAACGAGTTGTTGTCCATGTACACAACATTGACCTCTCTGTGCTAGTTATAGACTGGTAGCTCCGTATGATCGAATTGCAGGCATAATCTGTCGGCAAATGTTAGAAGCTTTCAGGAACAAAAATCAAGGCCTTGCTTTATTTAGTAGACTTAGAAAACATATACAGTACAAGTTTGGTTTTATAAGCTTATTTTGTTGTTTATATTTCGACATCCTGGGTATTGGGAAGGCCCTTCCTTAAAGTTAAACCCCTCCTTAGGGTCTTTGTATTGTACAAGATATTCTTTACTTGATAAAAAAGTTTCTGAAAATCATTAACATATAATAATTTCTCTCTTTTTTTACTTGAGCTTGGATTAATTTAGCATGTGCAACCTGTTTTTACTGGGGCTCTCCTTTTTGTATCAACGGCATGACATTGGATTTAAGCAATCATAGCTGTTAGTCTGCTAGTACAAAATTTCCTCTAATACTGTTATTTGTGATCTCAACATGTAGGATATCACATGATTGCTCAGCTACTTGTGATTATCATCTGCTGCCTTGCTGATTATCTTCTAGCGCCTTTAGGCATTGTACTCTATTGATTCGTCTACATTTGTATGTTTGCGTGACAAAATTTTTGTTGATGTGATTATGTATTTGATCCCTAATGTATACCAGACTAGTGATATTTAGTTAATGATTACAAAGTACAGATTTATCCCTAATCTATCCAACTAAGTACAACCTTGCCACCTGAAAAGACTTTTTCTGAATTCTCTCTCCTTCTCTCTCTGCTTTCTCTCTTTAAAAAGTACGTTTGCTGACTTAAGCGTCAAAGGGGCTTTTCCGGGTCACACCCTCAGGCAGCTAACCTACTCTCTTTTGTAGGCTAAAATCTCGGATATCAAGACAAAGCCTTCATATATACCCTTGCTAGGTGGAGCCGAAGGACATTTAAACATTTATTGGACTTAGTTTATAGGACATCTTGATATTATTACCTTAACACCCTTGAGGAGTATTCTGTTTCTAGAAACAATTACAAGTACGAGTACTATTTTAGTGTTGCAATTCTATGAGGCTATATTGAGAAATTACCAAAATAAATTGAACTAAATTAAACAATGGTTCCTAGGGATGTCAATTCGGTTAAACAGTTCGGGTTTGGGTTGGGTTTATCAGTTTCGGGTTATAACGGGTCGGTTTATAACGGATTGAAATAATAAGCGGGTCGGTTTGGGTCGGTTTTGAAAATTATCGGGTCAGTTCGGTTTGGTTTTTTTAATTGCAGTTTCTATTCGGATCGGGTCCTTATCGGGTCGGGTTCTAGTCGGTTCGGGTCATAATCAATTTGGGTTGAACTGGGTCGGTTTGAAAACGGGTTTAGCCCATTTAATGTGGGTTTCGGTTAAAAACAGTTCGGGTCTTAATCAGGACGGGTCGTAATTGGTTCGGGTCATAATCAGTTTGGGTTTAACTGGGTCGATTCGAAAATGGGTTTCGGTTCAAAATAGATCGGGTGAAATCGGGTCCAACAATTATTGTTTCGGTTATAATCGGTTTAGATTGAACTTGGTTGGTTTGAAAACGAGTTTACCCAATTTGAAACGGGTTTCTAATCAAAATCATATCGGGTTAAAATTGAGTCGGATGATTATCGAGTCGAATTAGTCAGATAATGGGTAGGAACGAGTCATGTTATAATCAAGTCAAGTCATAAATAAGTTGGGTTTATCGAGTAGTGGGTTGAAACAGATTAGATCATAAACATATTGGGTAACAGGTTGTAAATGACTCAGTCATAACGGGTTACGGGTTTTAAACGGTTTGGTCATAACGGGCTACGGGTCGTAAACGGTTTGGTCACAACGGGTTACGGATTATAATCGGTTCGGTCACAACGGGTTACGGGTTGGAACGATTTAGGTTTATCGGATTTTTATCGGGTTTTAACGGTTTTCGGTTTAAAACGGGTCGGGTTACTATCGGGTTTAAACGTAATCGGTTTGGGTTACTTTCAGTTTTGGGTTGTAACGGTTTGGCTTGATAACGGGTCCGGTTAGTAACGGTTTGCACAAATTCGGTTTAGTTCAGTTTCGGTTTGGAAAAAATTGGGTCGGGTCAGTTTTCGATTTCCAAAAAACGGGTTTTAAACAGTTCAGTTCCTTTTCGGATCGGTTCGAAACAGTCGGGTTTAACGGTTCGGGTCAGAAACTGACAGCTCTAATGGTTCCCTTCAAAAAAAACATTAAACAATGGTTTCCTCAGAAAAAAAAAATGGTAATTGAATTGCTAGCTAGCCTTCAGTATGTAGTAAGCACAGCTCAGAAACTGGTCCGAACTTCAGATATTTTCCGAAAACTATTCCACCTTCACTCCTCTCGTCTCTCACTTCGCCGTTCGTTGGTTCAAGGTATGTCGCCGGAAAACAGAATTTTATTTATTTATTTTTTTTTTAATTTTCTTATATAGGTTCTAGTTACCAGAATTTAATTATATTTTAGGATTGAAAGGTATCACACTGATTGAATTAGGAAATTTGATCCAATTTGTACATCTAGGGTTTGGTATCACAATTTAAGTTAAAACTATTTTTAAGGACACATAAACTTCCTTTTTGCAAATTAATGCTATTGAAATCTTGCAATGGTTGAACCTTAAACTGGAGCTGAGCTAGTAATTTAGAGTAGTTGGTTTGGATTTGTAAAATCACAGATAAAAACTAGTGGTTTTGCGGTTTTGCCGATTAAGAGTTAAAAAAAAAACATGTATTGAAACTTCCATTCAAACCTATCTTCTTGTACGAAAAAAATGTACTAACCGAATAACCATTGTATCATTGTATAATAAAACAAACCAACTTTGCACATAAAACGATAATGTATGTTCATTGGATTTGATCTTGACTTAACTTTGACCTCATATATACGTTAATTTATAAAGTAAAAATATTTATGTAGTGAATTCTTGCTAGATTTGTAGTAATGTGTAATTTTCATTTTTTTTTTCATTAAGAATCTAAGGTATTTAACTATTAAACTTTGCACATAAAACGATAATGTATGTTTTGAACTTTTTTCCTCATCTGATTTTGATCTTAATTTATTTTTCTGATTTGATCTTATTTTTTTTTATTTGATATAAAATGTATAATAAAGTTTTAAAATAAGGTGAAATAAACATGACATTAGTTAAATTAAATATAACCCTAGTTAATTCATGTCGAGATTCTAGATACAATGCTCATGTATAATAACTTTATAATTCTGCCAATATAACAATACTAGATCATACTCGTGCATTTTGCACGATTTATTTATTTATTTTTTATTATAATGCATACAAATAGTTTTTGTCATTTGTGTAAAAAAGATTATTGGCAATTATTTTTTTTTTTTTTGAAAATTGTATAGTGTAGATTTTAAAAAATTTAATAATTGATGACATCATACAGAAAAATAGAGGGAATATTTTTAATGTGAAAATGACACGTATGCTAGTTTTAGGGGTTAGCAATGATTTGTTTTAATAATAGTTAATAGATATGGAGTACTTTACAATTAGAACAAACAGTCAAACACTCATGTTACTCCTTGTTACTTCATGTCTAGTTTCACGTTTTTCATGATTCTCCCAATCAATAATTCTCCCAATGATCATGTTACTTCATGTATAGTTCCACGTTTGTCATTGAAAAGAATATAATCGGTCATGATTTTGGCGAAGTCGTGTAATAATATATTACTCCGTACTTGTACATGGTTTAATTAATTTCAAAATTCACCGGAATTGATGGATCTCAACATTTACTTTTGCCAGCTTTCTTACAATGTTCATGTGCTCTTGCTCTTTGCCTTTTTTTTTTTTTTTTTTAATTCTAAAACATAAATGAAAATTCTTTAAAGCAATGCAAGGCCTTGAATACAGAATACCTGTTAATCTATTCTATTGCTCATCATTCCCCTAACCTGCTCATCTATCATTCCACTGATTCCTCACTAAACACCTCAATGGCTGACCTTGGAATCACCCTTGCTGAAAGGCTCATTGAAGTTACCGGGTGTGCGATCATAAAAGAGATATGTGACATGTGGGGTTACAAATCTCAACTCCAAGACCTCATCAAAACTGTGTCCACCATCAAGAATGTGCTCCTTGATGCTGACTCCAAGCGTGAACTCTCCCACGAAACACGAGGCTATATCGAGGACCTCAAGGCTGCTGTTTATGATGCTGATGATCTGTTTGATGAGTTCTTCACTCTTGCTGAGCTCAAGTTGCTTGATGGCAACAAGGATGATAAATTCCTTAAAAAGGTACGTTGCTTTTTTTCTGGTAAGAAAAAGGAGGTGAGTCAAGCTCATAGAATGTCTCGTCAGGTTAAGGAGATTAAGGAGCAGTTGGATAGTATTGTTAGTAACCATCACAAATATGGGCTTAGTGTTGACTATAAACCTATTTGTAGAAGGAGGGAGGAAACTAGTTCCTACGTGGATGCTGGGGATATTATTGGGAGGGAGGATGATAAAAAGGCTGTCATTGATATGTTGTTTAGTCCCAATGATGTTTATGAAAGTTTCCGCTTTGTGACTATTGTGGGAGTTGGAGGATTAGGTAAAACTGCTCTTGCCCAACTTGTGTGTAATGATGAAAGGGTTCAAGCAGAGTTTCCAGATTCCAAGTTAAGGCTGTGGGTTTGTGTATCTGATCAAGATGGAGAACCATTTGATGTCAAAGTCATTCTTTGTAAGATTCTAGAATTAGTTTCTGGTTTCAGGCCTGATAATACCTCTTCAATGGAATTGGTGCAAAAGCAATTTCAAGAGCAATTCAGAGGAAAAAAAATACTTGCTTGTTCTTGATGATGTATGGAATGAAGATTGTGAGAAATGGCGTAGCTTGTGCAGGTTCTTAATGGTGGGTCAAGAGGGTAGTCGGATTGTGGTGACTACACGTTCGGAGATCACTGCAAAAATTATCGGGAAAAAACGTGTGCACAAATTGCAAGGTTTGTCTAAAGAGAATTCTTGGCTCTTGTTCGAGTCTGTAGCATTTGACAAATGGGAATACGAGCATGAAAATCATCTTGAATTAGTTGAGATTGGGAAAAATATTGTTGAAAAATGCTATAACATCCCGCTTGCTATAAAGACGGTAGGAAGCCTTCTATTTGGCCAACATGTCAATAAGTGGAAGACGTTTGAGCAGAATGGATTTGTTGGAATTGGAAAAGGTGATAATGAAATTATGTCTATACTAAAGCTTAGCTACTACAACCTTAAACCCTCTTTGAAGAATTGTTTTAGCTATTGTGCACTATTTCCCAAAGATTTTATGCTCAGTAGGAAGGAGTTGATTAGCCTTTGGATGGCACAAGGATATATTGTGTCTCTAGACAGAGATCAAAGCATAGAAGATGCGGCAGAAGAGCATTTTCTAATTTTGGTACGGAGATGTTTCTTTCAAGATGTAAAGAAGGATAGATATGGTGAAATTGGGTCCGTGAAAATCCATGACTTGATGCATGATGTTGCTCTAGAAGTAGGGAGGGAGGAATTAGGTGTAGTAAGCTCTAATACAGCCAAATTGGGAGATAAAGTTCGTCATGTGTATTTTGTTCATGGTACTTTTTCACAAAGTTACTCATTTGATAGTAAGATACGTTCGTTTATTTCAATGCAGCCTAGATTAGGTGATCTATTGTATGCACATATTGGAAGTTGGATGTGTCTAAGGGTGTTGTGCTTGAACTCAATAGGTATAAAAAGGTTGTCTGATTTAATTGGTAAGCTGTTGCATTTAAGGTATCTTGACCTGTCTTGGAGTATACATTTAGAGGCACTGTCTTATTCTATTACTGGGCTACATAATCTGCAGACATTAGATTTAAATGGTTGCAAAAATTTGATGGAATTGCCAAAAGATTTTAGCAAAATGGTAAAACTTAGGTACTTAGATTTAAGCTTTTGTACAAAGTTAACTGGTATGCCTTGCATGGATAAATTAACTAATCTTAGGCACTTGAATTTAAGTCATTGTCATGAGTTGAGTATTATGCCTTCGGGCATGGATAAATTGACATGTCTTAGGCACCTTGATTTAAGTGGTTGTCGTAGTTTAACTAGTATGCCTACAAGCATCGGGAAGTTGACAAGTCTTAGGCACTTTGATTTAAGTAATTGTCATAGTTTAAGTAGTATGTCTACAAGCATTGGTCAGTTGACAAGTCTTAGGCACTTTGATTTAAGTAATTGTCGTAGTTTAAGTAGTATGTTTACAAGCATTGGGCAGTTGAAAAGTCTTAGGCACTTTGATTTAAGTAATTGTCATAGTTTAAGTAGTATGCCTACAAGCATGGGTCAGCTGACAAGTCTTAGGCACTTTGATTTAAGTTATTGTCATAGCTTAGCTAGTATGCCATCAGGCATGGGTAAGTTGACTAATCTTAGGGTGCTACCATTCTTTGTGGTGGGTATGGAAAAGAGAATTTCTGGAAAGGAACAATGTATGGGAGAACTCGGAGACCTTAAACCCCTGACCAACTTAGAAGGTCGAATATGGATCAAAATCGGCAAATTTAACAAGAATGATGGAGGAGGAGAGTATTTGAAGGGTCTGAAATATCTCACTGAGGTTGAAATCGAATTTTCTGTGGATGAGGATGGAAATAATGAATGTTTTGAGTGGGAAGGTGTGATGGAAAAGCTAGAGCCACCTTCAAATGTTAAGAAATTCACCTTATTGATCTACAAGGGTACGACGATTCCAAGGTGGGGTAGAGCATCGGATAACTGGGCACTCTCCCTCCCACATCTTGTCGAGATCCAACTTAATATATGTTACAGCTTGGAGCAGATACCCTTATTGAGTAAACTGCGTAATCTGAAGTCACTGTCACTTTATTGTCTGTTCAAGCTGGAATTTATGGAGAATACAAGCAGTAACAAAGGCAATGACGAAGAAGATTTGACGGCATTTTTCCCCTCCCTTGAATCACTCAACATTTGGCATCTCGATAGTTTGAAAGGATGGTGGAGGGAAGAGGAGTTGATTGAGAATGATGATAATGGCCGTATCTTGAGGAGTAGCTTCACATTTCCTCGTCTCTCCGAATTGGTTATCCGTGAGTGCCCTAAGTTAACTTCCTTTCCTTCCTGTCAAAACCTCGAAGATTTGGACCTGGATGAGGTTGACTATTTTGGAAATTCACAAGGTGACGTCACACTAAGGGAGGTGAAGATAGATGACGTGGGTCTTCTCAACTTAATACATTATCCAGTCAATAAACTCCACATACATGAGAATAAGAAGGTGGAGAGTTTATCAGAGTATGGGGATGTATTCCTGAAATACAAATACACTTGTTCCCTACGATGCCTTGAAATTTCTTTTTGCTCAAATTTAAGGACACTTGGAAAAGCGGGGTTGGAGCATCTCACTGCCTTGGAGGAATTACACTTGGATTGCAATAATCAACTAAGCTTCTCTGAAGATGATGACGGCATGCCTTGGAAATCCCTCCAACACTGTCTTCGTTCCCTGTCTATTTCTTATTGCAGTGCCATTAAATCACTTCCTGAATCAATGCGGAACCTTACCTCACTTCAGAACCTTATTATATTCGAATGTCCAGAACTAGAAGAAAGAACCTTATTATATGCTAAAACGGGGGTTGCAGTGATTCTTGATTAGTCCAGTCGCATACGTGTTAGAGTATGTACCTACTGCAATTTGTTTTATCAGTCTGAAGTTTATAATGCTTGGTGATCATTGTATTAACCCCTTTCCATTGAGTCTGCAGTGAATTCTTGATGAGTTCCTATGACAAGGGTGGAGCTGTCAGCCTGTCACTTGTCAATGTCGTTTTGAGCAAGACTAGCTTTTTGTTCTTATGAACAAATATGGCTTAGAATATCCTGATTCCTATAAAATGATTTTTGCTCCACCAGTCCTAGTGTATTTATACAAAACATAATGCAAAGTCCTTCAAGGTAAAGATCAATCACGACCTTATTATTTGCAGCATCTATTTACTTGATTTAGCAGCTTTCTTGTTATCAAGTAGTCTTACTTATTTCTGTATATGCTACAGCTGCTTTCAGTAAGAAGTTCAAGCAGACTCTCTGTTGTAACGCCTCCTTCAAGAGCATTGATAACAATAGCTATGTCCCTCAATCTGATGTTAACACATCCGTTGATCAAGTATTCAGATCAGTAGGCTGAGCTCTATGCCTCCTACAGGCAAGCCCACATTTCTCCATTCGTACAGAACAAGTAATGTTACATATATTTCTCAGCTCGCAGGCTGCAGCTATGTTAGATCGGTTCTTTTTTATTTGTTCTTTTTTATTGGTCCATTTTTTTACTAGCAGTTGTTAGATTTTGCTCATAAGCTCAGTTTTTCGAGATCCTAGGCATTGGGAAGGCCCTTCCTAGAAGGTAAGTCCCTCCCTAGGGTCTTTGTATTGAACTCGATCGATATTCTTTGTTTAATACAAATTTCTTACCTTTTAATTTAAAAAAGAATCATCAATCTTACCTCCTCTACGAAGAACGTACATATTAATAAGATTCTCCTTTTTTGCCTCTCTTTATCTCAATGTACTACGTATGGTTTCCTTCATTATGCAAACCTTGTTACAGGTAGGAACAATTGAATTGATGATGTAAATGTAAATCAACTTTTGGTAGTCTAATGATTCATGTATCTTGGATTGAAAGTATATACTCTGAATTCCGGTAGTCTCAAATTAATTGCTTTATGTTTATTACTAAATTAGAACATCAATATCTTATATCTTCACAATCGCATCCAAAGCTATAATATCTACTACAGGTCACAATCTAATGTCAAGTTTCATACAAACAGTTTTATACGTCTTATAACCATATATCATTGATGAATTTATAATTATTGTCAAAAAGTTATATAATCGGCACAATGGACAAGTATTCTTCCCCTCAAGAATCCAAGAAACAACACACTCCCCATGAAAAACATGAGAACAAGGAAGAAACGCGCCTTCTTGTTCACAATCATCATCGGACTTATCAAACTCCTCCAAGCAAATCGAACAACCCCTCGATTCTTTACTTGATGAAAACCCTTCTTTATTCATAGGCCTTAACATCTCTCTTTTCCGTAGGAAACTCTTCACTTCCATCTTAAGCTCTTCATCTATTTCACAATCCTCATTCATATCTTCCTCGAAATTATTATCATTATTAACAACATCCTCGATATCCATATCCATAGTCTCAGCCACCTTGACTATCTTGACTATCAATGCAAGAGAAGTACGCGTTTTAGCTTCAACATCTTCTAGAAGTTTCTCACAACTTTGTTCAATTGCTTCATAGACACATTCATCAGAATATTCATCCTCGTAAAGTTCTCCAAGCCACTCCTTAACTTCCAATTCTGTAAGCTCATCTTCGAAATCAGTAAACCTATCTAACACACGCGTAATAGTTGTTACTCCGTTAGGGATGCGGCTATCACGGTAACATATTTGGATTGTAAAGACGTCGTCAAGTTGGCGATTAAGGAGGAAATTGACCTTGAATACAATAAGGAGGAATTCATGGTTTGGGTGTTCATGGAAATATTAAAGTAATAACTATTTGTGGTTTTTTCACTTTATTTTCAAGAATAAAGAAAATTACAAGTGCAATTTGTATATCTAACCTCTAAAATGCTCAAAACAAACCCTTAAAAAAGAACTTTTCTTTAAACGCAAGGAATTTCCTAAATTATGCCTATTATATCTTTCCAAGTATTAATGGGAATTCTATATAGATTTTGTATATCTCTCTGATTTTGTATATCTCCTTATTCAATATTCATATTTGTAAAAACAAAAAATATATTTCCAAAATGAGCTGTAAAAAAAAAATAGTCAATAAGATGAATGTAATAAGATAGTGAAAATAGCGGAATGTCGTAAGGGACTACGGCTAATGTGTAATTTTTTTTAATATGTTTTTCAAATAGTGCACCCAAATCAATCAAATTTAGAGTATATATTAGGGCTTGTTTGGCATTATTTTTTGTTTGGCATTGAAAACAAAAAACTAAAAATAAGAAACAAGAAAAAGGTGTTTCCACTTTTTTGTTGTCATTTTTCAAAAATATCATGATTTTAATAAGTTTGTCTAATTTTTGTTTCATTATATGACATATATCATATAAGTTTGAAAATAAAAAACCAAAAAACTAAAAAACACAGCGATGTCAAACGAATCCTTAGTTATCTTCATTTATTTATTTATTTATTTATTTTTATTTTTACAGCTATTTTAGAAATGTACTATTTTTTATATTTCCAAATCAATCAAATAGGGACTATGCGCGGCTAATAATCATTCAGTTTGTTAAATTAATTTGTACGTAACTAATATACTTTTTTTTAAGTAATACTCGGTAATAAGATAATAAAATATATTTTCTTTCAAAAAATAAAATAAAAAATAGATAAGTATCCTTGGAAGATTATCGGTATACTAGTCCAAAAATAAAAATTAGGCATATCCGCGTGCTTGCTTGGTGGGCAAGTCGATTAGCCACTTACATATTTTCTATATATATATGATCATTATGTATTATGGATGTTGAAGTAATAATATCAAAAATCCTTTTATTAATTAAACTTTATATACTCTTTAACATCTAATTAAGCCTTTCAACCTCAACTTTGCCTAACATGGCAGTAATGGCGTTTATATCCCCAAATAATAGTCGAGGAGTAGAAATTTCATCTTCGATAATGGAGGAAAACAATAATGCTACTAATGATGAACAAAAGCCAGTTGATGATGTCTTTACTGTCCACCTATCGTACTACGAAGACGGCCTTAACGACGTACCAACAAAGAATGTAAGTTTTGAGTTTGCGAGAGAGTCGCCTTGTTTAAATTGGGAACGGAAAGATGCCGTCATGAATTGTCTCAAGGATAATGATATTAATGTTGATGATTCGGATTCTATTCTTAATGTTGTGGTACAAAGTTGTGACCTGCTGCTTGATTATGTTCGTAACTTTGGTCGTAAGTCACTTGTTATGTACGTCAAGGTCATAGTGTACCATGTAAATGACGAGCAGGAGGATGGTGACGATCACGAGTACGACTATGATGATGAGCTGATGGAGGAGGAAGAGGAGCCTATGTTCTTGGATGATGATATCGTCGACAATGAGGAGATTATCGAGTTTCGTCTAGAAGCAAGTGGAGTAAGGTTTTCTAATGGTTATTCAGGGGCTAAGGAGAATTGCACGATTTGTTTAGAGGAGTTTGGGAAGTCGGACAATGTGGCGATGCTTCCTTGCTCTCATGTATATCACAAGAATTGCTTTTTTGGTTGGATATACGAGAGAAAAAGAACATGTCCGTTATGTCGATCAAAATTATTACTGTTGCATTAAATCTTATTGGGGTACTTTAATTTGGATCAAATTTCAAAAGAACATGTAGGAATAATTTTGCTGTGATCGAAGACGTGATCGGATGGATTGATTTAAGAATTCTTAAAAGTAGGTTTAGAAGACATATATTCAGTACTAGTATGAAATTTGATTTATTAGCTTTACTTGTTAGGTTTTGTTAAACATGATTATTCCAGACCCTAGGTATTGGGAAGCCCCTTCCTAGAAGGTAAATCCCTCCCTAGTGTGTTGGTATTATACATTATTTATACTCAATATTTGTTCAATTTCTACCTTTTATTCAAAAATATATATATGTTATCTCTAATTTAACGAGGTTGCAACTAGAGCTGTCAATTCGGGTAAACGGGTCGAGTTTGGGTCGGGTAAACTCGGGTCGGGTCAATTTGGATTAATTCCATAACCTATGCGGGTCGGGTTTGGGTTGGGTCATGCTTGAGTCGGTTCACGTCAGGTCATACTTCTTATCGAATTTGGGTCTAGTGTAGGTCGGGTTACATTCGGGTCGGGTGAACAATAGGTCGGGTTTCACGGGTTAAATTAAAACGGGTTAGGGTAATTCTCGGGTTCGGTTAAGTCAATAATTTGTTGGTTAGAATCAGGTTGGGTCATTCTCGGGTTTGAGTCGGGTTCAATTCAGTTCAAGTCAATAATTTACGGATTATAATCAGGTCGGGTCATTTTCAAGTCGGGTCATTCTCGGGTTCAAGTCGATCGGGTTCGGTTCAAGTCAATAATTTGCGGGTTATAATAAGGTTGGGTAATTCCAAGTCAGGTAATTCTCGGATTCAAGTCGGGTTATGTTCAAGTTAATAATTTGCAGGTTACAATCAGGTCGAGTCATTTCTAAATCAGGTCATATTCGGGTTCAACTAACTATAAATAGATAAACATCATTTTTATCAAGCTAATTATTTCCTTTGACTATAATATACATGACAACATACTAGGGAACTATAGTCTATGATTTAGATTGAATTAATGAAATCGGTGCAAGTTGTAAACCTGCAAATTGGTCGTTTAACAGCAAATTGGATGGTTCCACACACCCAATTGGACTCTCATAGGGTATTAAGGACCATGGTAAATATTTCGGCAATTTTTAATTTTTGTGGAATAAAACGTCAAAAAAATTCCAATATTGAAGGCTATTATCCACGCTTTTTGAGAAATTTTGGAGGTTTCAGAGCCCAGTGCCGAAAAGTCTTAAAATTCTATGGAATACATCTCGGGGTCATATAATATCGTTTGGAACCATATATGATCATTATTTGTTGTCATAAATGTTCGTGGTAAGCTTGAATTAATGAAATCGATGCAAGTTGTAAACCGGTAAATTGGTCGTTTAACAGCAAATTAGATGGTTCCATACACTCAATTGGACTCCCGGAATTTATTAGGGGTCATGGTAAACATTTCGGCAATTTTTATTTTCGGGCGAAAATAGTAAAAAAAAATATCAAAATTGAAGGTTTATATCCACTTTTTTTGAAAATTTTTGGAGGTTTCGGGGCCCAGTGTAGAAAAGTCTTGATATTTTAGGGGATACATCTGGAGGTCATATAATGTCGTTTGGAACCATATATGATCATTATATGTTGTCATAAATGTTCGTGAAAGGCTTGAACTAATGAAATCGTTGTAAGTCGTGTAAATTGGTCGTTTAAAGGCAAATTGGTTGGTTCCACCTACTCAATTGGATTCCCGGAGGGTATTAGGGACCATGGTAAACATTCAAAAAAATTTATTTTCGGGCGAAAAAAAGTCAAAAAATTGAAGGCTAATATCCACACTTTTTGAGAAATTTTGGAGTTTTTAGGGCCCGGTGTCTAAAATTTTTGAAATTATAGAGAATACATCTTGTGGTCATATAATGTCTTTTGGACCCATATATGATAGTTACTTGTTGTCATAAATGTTCGTGGTAGGTTTGAGTTGATGAAATCAATGCAAATTGTTAACTAGTAATTGGTCGTTTAAAGGAAAATTGGATGGTTCCACCCAACCAATGGGATTCCCGGACGGTATTAGGGATCATGGTAAACATTTCAGTAATTTTTATTTCCAGGCAAAAAAAAAGTCAAAAATTACAAAATTGAAGGCTAATATCCACGCTTTTTGTGAAATTTTGGAAGATTCGAGGCCCGATGTCGAAAAGTCTTGAAATTCTAGGGGATACATCTCGGGGTTATATAATGCCGTTTGGAGCCATCTATGATCATTAGATGTTGTCATAATTGTTCGAGGTAGGCTTGATTAAATGAAATCGGTGCAAGTTGTAAACCGGTAAATTGGCCGTTTAAAGGCAAATAAGATAATTCAACCCACCCAATTGGACTCCTGGAGGGTGTTAGGGACCATGGTAAAAATTTCGGGAATTTATATTTTCGGGCGAAAAATGTCAAAAAATTCCAAAATTGAAGGCCATATCCACGCTTTTTGAGAAATTTTGGAGGTTTCAGGGCACAGTGTCGAAAAGCCTTGAGATTTTAGGGAATACACCTCAGGGTCATATAATGGCATTTGAAACCATATATGATCATTATATGTTGCCATAAATGATCTTGGTAGGCTTGATTTAATGAAATCGGTGCAAGTTTAACATGATTAATTTTATTTTTATTATTATTATTATCATTATTATTATTATTATTATTATTGTTATTATTATTATTATTATTATTATTATTATTATTATGTTTATTATTATTATGTTGTTTGAAATATATTTGTTTTTATTGCTTGATTACGCATTTTATGCATGTTTAAAGGGAATTTGTACTTGTAATCACGCTTAATAAGATAATTAATAATCTTGTTTTAGGGTTAATATGATTATAATTCAAGTTATCGCCAATAATATATATATTTGTGCATTAATATTCAGCCAACATAGATAAACAGGTTTAGGATAAACCTATAAATTGCAAGTTAGTAAAAAAGCGCACATGAATACGAGAAGAATAAAGTAGAGGCCTATTTTTAGGTCAGGTTCTTTCTCTTTTAGATTGAATTTGTACCTTCATCCCCGAACACCAATCATGGTTCCAGACCTATTGGAGTTAACGATCTCATGGATCGTTAAGGGGTGTAACCTGGCATTCACCCTGTAAACAGTTTACAACTTCCTAAAACTTGTTGGCGACTTTTTTGCTCTATCTTCTTTCCCTTTTAACGCCACCGTACTTTAGTGTATGATCAAAGTGGGATTCAAGTTTGGGGTAATGCTTGAAATATTCCCTACAGTAGGCTTGAGTTAATGAAATCAACGCAAGTTGTAACTCGGTTTGGCTGTTTAAAGACAAATTGGATGGTTTAACCCACCCAATTGGAATATCTGAGAGTAATAAGGACCATGGTAAACATTTTGGAAGAAAAAAAAAATCGGAGCAAAAAAAAAGACAAAATTTCCAAAATTGAAGACTAATGTCCACGCTTTTGGAGAAATTTTGGTGGTTTCGGGTCAAGGTGTCGAAAATTCTTGAGAATTTAGGGAATACATCTTAGGGTCATATAATGATGTTTGGAACCATATATGATCATTATATGTTGTCATAAATATTCGTGGTAGGCTTGAGTTAATGAAATCGGTGCTAGTTGTAAACCGGTAAATTGGTCGTTTAAAGGCAAATTGGAAGGTTCTACCCACCCAATTGGACCCCCGGAGAGTATTAAGGGCCATGGTAAACGTTTCGGAAATTTTTATTTCAGGGCAAAAAAAGTCAAAAAATTCCCAAATTGAAGGCTAATATTCACACTTTTCGAGAAATTTTGAGTTTCGGGGCCCTATATCGAAAATTATTGAAATCTAGGGGATAAATCTCGGGGTTATATAATGCCATTTGGAACCATATATGATCATTATTTGTTGTGATAAATGTTCGTGGTAGGCTTGAGTTAATGAAATCGGTGCAAGTTGTAAACGGGTAAATTGGTCGTTTAAAGGCAAATTGGATGGGTCAACCCACCCAATTGAACTCCCAGAGGGTATCAGGGACCATGGTAAACATTTTGACAATTTTTATTTCCGGGTGAGAAAAAGTCAAAAAATTCCAAAATTGAAGGGTTATATCCACGCTTTTTGAGAAATTTTGGAGGTTTCGAGGCACGGTGTTGATAAGCCTTGAGATTTTAGGGAATACATCTCTGGGTCATATAATGTCGTGTGGAACCATATATGATCATTATTTTTGTCATAAATATTCGTGGTAGACTTGAGTTAATGAAATCAGTGCAAGTTTTAAACCGCTAAATTGGCTGTTTAAAAAACAAATTGGATGGTTCCACCCACCCAATTGGACTATCTGAAGGTATTAAGGAGCATGGTAAAATTTCGGCAATTTTTTTTTTCGGGCGAGAAAAAGTAAAAAATTTCCAAAATTGAAGGCTAATGTCCACGCTTTTGGAGAAATTATGGTGGTTTCAGGTCACGGTGTCAAAAATCCTTGAGATTTTAGGGAATACATCTCGGGGTCATATAATGATGTTTGGAATCATATATGATCATTATATGTTATAAATGTTCGTGGTAGGTTTGAGTTAATGAAATCGGTGCTAGTTGTAAACCGGTAAATTGGTCGTTTAAAGGCAAATTGGAAGGTTCTACCCACCCAATTGGACCCCCGAAGGGTAATAAGGACCATGGAAAACCTTTCGCCAATTTTTATTTCAGGTCGAAAAATTCCAAAATTGAAGGTTAATATCCACACTTTTTGAGAAATTTTGAGGTTTTGGGACCCGGTGTCGAAAAGTATTGAAATTCTAGGGGATATATTTTAGGGTTATATAATGCCATTTGGAACCATATATGATCATTATTTGTTCTGATAAATGTTCGTGGTAGGCTTTAGTTAATGAAATCGGTGCAAGTTGTAAACCGGTAAATTGTTCGTTTAAAGGCAATTGGATGGTTCCACCCACCCAATTGGACTCTCGGAGGGTATTAGGGACCATGGTAAACATTTCGGCAATTTTTATTTCCGGGTGAATAAAAGTCAAAAAATTACAAAGTTGAAGGCTAATATCCACGCTTTTTGGCAAATTTTTGAAGTTTTGGGGCCCGATGTTGAAAAGACTTGAGATTTTATGGGATAAATCTCGGGATCATATAATTCCGTTTAGAACCATATATGATCATTATATGTTGTCATAAATGTTCATAGTAGGCTTGAATTAATGAAATCGGTGCACGTTGTAATTCGGTATACTGGTTGTTTAAAGGGAAATTGTATGGTTCCACCTACCCCCAATTGTACTCCCAAAAGATATAAAGGACCATGGTATAAATTCCGGCAATTTTTATTTCCAGGCAAAAAAAAGTCAAAAAATTCAAAAATTGAAGGCTAATATCCAAACTTTTTGAGAAATTTTTGAGATTTCGGGGCACGATGTCGAAAAGTCTTGAAATTTTAGGGGATATATCTCGGGGTCTTATAATGCCGTTTGGAACCATATATGACCATTATTTATTTTAATAAATGTTTGTGGTAGGCTTGAGTTAATGAAATCGGTGCTAGTTTTAAACCGGTAAATTGGTCGTTTAAATGCAAATTGGATGGTTCCACCCACCCAATTGGACTCCCGAAGGGTATTAGGGACCCTTGCAAACATTTCGGCAATTATTATTTCCGGGCGAAAAAAAGTTAAATAATTCCAAAATTGAAATCTATGCTTTTTGAGAAATTTGGGATATTTCGAGACCCGGTGTCGAAAAGTTTTGAGATTTTATAGGATAAATTTCGGGGTCACATAATGTCGTTTGGAACTATATATGATCATTATATGTTGTCATAAATGTTTGTAGTAGGTTTGAGTTAATTAAATTGGTGCAAGTTGTAAACCGGGAAATTGGCCGTTTATTAAAGGCAAATAGGATGATTCCACCCACCCAATTGGGCTTCCGGAGGGTATTAGGGACCATGGTAAACATTTCAACAATTTTTATTTTCGAGCGAAAAAAGTAAAAAAAACTCCAAAATTGAAGGCTAATTAATATCCAAGCTTTTTGAAAAATTTTGAAGGCTTCGGGGCCCGGTGTCGAAAAGCCTTTAGATTATAGGGGATACATCTCGGGGTCATATAATGCCGTTTGGAACCATATATGATCATTATATGTTGTCATAAATGTTTGTCGTAGAATTGAGTTAATGAAATCAGCGCAAGTTCTAAACTGGTAAATTGGTCGTTTAAAGGCAAATTGGATAGTTCCACCAACCCAATTGGACTTCCGGAGGGTATTAGAGACCGTGGTAAACATTTCGGCAATTTTTATTGCTGGGCAAAAAATATTCAAAAAAACTCCTAAATTGAAGGCTAATATCCACGCTATTTGATTGTGTTTACGTTTGCTTCCTAATGTAGACTGGACTAAAGAAATCCAGGTAAAACTTGCTTGCAAACCTGACTGACGAGATTGCAGTCATTGTTGCTGGTTCGATTGCAAATAAGTTCTGGAAATTCATTGTGAAAACTAGGTGAACTTTCTGCCATGTCTTATTTAAGAAGCCTAAATGCTGTATAATTTGCAAATTACATGTAAATTACAAAGAATGATATATTGATATACTTGTATGATGTACAAGTAAATTAAAAAGAATCAGGATAAAAATTAAAATTTTATTTTCCTCAATAATATTCACTCGATCCCTTATCTATTCTCATTCTTTTATGGCAACTTTTTGAATTTATTTGTAATAATAAAATAGATAAGTCAAACTTGGAATCCTTGGAAGATTTGTAGTACACTAATTCAAGAAAATCACAGTGCTTCTTTCCAATAAGAAAATTAAGATATTTTTATTTATTTTTTTCAAAAAATAAAAATCAGGCATATCCGCGTGGGTAATGAAGTGCTAGCTTGGTGAGTAAGCCACCCACTTACATATTTTCTATACATATAATTATTATGTATGAATGTTGAAGTAATAATAACACAAAGTATCAAAATACTTTAACCTTGATTTTGCATAACATGGAGTGTTTAACATCATCAACAATACGAGGGGTAGAAGTTACATGTTGGGTGATGGAGCCAAACAATACTACTAGTAATGATGACCAGAAGCCGGTTGATGATCTCTTTACCGTTCACCTATCGTACCAAGAAGACGGCCTCGACGACGTGAACGTGAAAACAATACATGTGAGTTTAGAGTTGAAGAGAGAGTCCACTTATTGGGAATGGCAAGATGCCGTCATGAATTGCCTCAAGGATAATGATGTTGAAATTAATGCTTGGGATTATATTGTTGATGTTGTGGTACAAAGTTGTGAGATCATGCTCGATGATGTTCGCGATTCTGGCCGTAAGTCACTTGTTATGTACGTCAAGGCCGAAGTGTACCATGTGGATGACGAGGAGGGTGGGGATGATCACGCGTACGACGACTATGATGATGAGCCGATGGAGATGGAAGAAGTGGAGGTTCCTGGTCTCGAGGAGGAGGAAGAGGAGCCTATGTACTTGGATGATACCGACAATGAGGAGATTATTGAGGTTCGAAGGAAGACATACATAGAATTTTGTCTAGAAGCAAGTGGAGTAGGGTTTTATGATGGATATTCAAGGGCTAAGGAGAATTGCTCAATATGTTTAGAGGAGTTTGGGAAGTCGGACAATGTGGCGATGCTTCCTTGCTCTCATGTATATCACAAGAATTGCTTTCTTGGTTGGATATATAAGAAAAAAGAAACATGTCCGTTATGTCGATCGAAGTTATTACGTGTTAATTGGGGTACTTTCAAATAACAAAGGGATATATAATTTTGTTTTGAAGACCAGCTGATTCGATGATTTTAAAGCAAGCAGTCTGCTTAACTTGATTTTATTAGCTTAATTGTTATATTTTGTTAAACATGGTTGTTCTAGAGTTCTAGACCCTAGGTATTGGGAAGGCCCTTCCTAGAAGGTAAATCCCTCCCTAGGGTATTTAATTTGTATTGTTCATTTGTACTCGATGTTCTTTGTTCAATAAAATTTGTTACTACCTTTTATTTAAAGTTAATACTCCTATTTTATCTTCAATTATAATGGGGTTGCAACAACATATTTATAGTTCTTAAGATCCCGTTTAATTTATGTGCAGTAATCTCTTCACTTTCATGCTAAGCGTACACTGATTATTAGCATATTTTTTCTTAATACTTTGTTTATTTCTTAATACAGAGTATATGGTTTAGTTTAACTTTTATTTCTTGTTGGTTATTACTTTCTAAATTTCTCAATAATAATTGTATTATTAGTATTTTCTATATTATTTTCTCATATTAACTTTGACCACGGCATGGCTAATATAATATGTAACAGTAAAAATCATTATCTAATTATTGTTTTTGGGTTAATCAATGTAGTAGATTATTAAAAAAAATATATACTGGTACTTTTCTTCTGATTTTTTTTATAATTACATTTAATTAATAGTTAATCGAGTTCATTAGCAAATGTGGGAGGTGAACGTGATGTAACTATCGTGAAATGACTGAAGTACGACTAACTTAATTTTTTTTGTATAACATTGTAAAATAAATATCTCAATTATTGGTAATGCATAACAAAACATTATGAAAACTGCATATTTGAAAACTAAAAACTAAGACGGATCTAACAAGTTCCCACGACTATCCTATTATATTGAGGTGAGTAAATCATCTCCTTAGCTTAGGATAAAAATAGTTTTAACGTACAATTTGTTAATGAAGCCGATAGAATAAGTGTTGAAGTTGAGAGCTAAGAGCATCCATTTCACTTAAACAGCTAAGTACTACTAGCAATGCAATAGAAGCTGGTCAAGTTGTAGTTTACTACGAGTAGTACTGTACGTAGAAAACGAAGGCGTGGAGCCGAAACTTGAACAATTGACCAGATGCAAAGCACATAATTAAGCTGCTATTTCCAAGTTCAAAGTTGTGAAAATCAAGCTTGATTGTCGGAGGGAAGGTAGACTTTAATTAAAAAGTAGTTTGAACATGCAGATGTTGGTACAATGTAAAACATGATTATTAAACTGTTGCATAACTTTGCTTTTTCTTGTCCATTTCTATTCTATTTCATGGAAACCAACTGGAAGGTATTGATTTCTATTCAAAAGTGGAGCCTCATTTCGACAATAAATCTACTTCTTCATCCCATCTCCCCATTCTATTCTCATCACATCTCATTGAAATTCTATTCCCAAATCCCAATGGCCGAACTCGGAATCGTCCTTGCTGAAAGGCTCATTAAAGTTACCGGGTCTGCAATCATCGAAGAGATTTGTGACATGTGGGGTTACAAATCTCAACTCCAAGACCTCATCAAAACCGTCTCTACCATCAAGAACGTCCTCCTTGATGCCGACTCCAAGCGGAAGCTCCCCTACGAAACACGAGGCTATATCGAGGATCTCAAGGCTGCTATTTATGATGCTGATGATCTGTTCGATGAGTTTTTCATCCTTGCTGAGCTCAAGTTGCTTGATGGCAACAAGGATGATAAATTCCTTAAAAAGGTACGCCGCTTTTTTTCTGGTAAGGAGGTAAGTCAAGCTTATAGAATGTCTAGTCAGGTTAAGAAAATTAAATTGCAGTTGGATAGTATTGTTAGTAACCATCACAAATTTGGGCTTAGTGTTGACTATAAGCCTATTTGTAGAAGAAGGGAGGAAACTTGCTCCTATGTGGATGCAGGGGATATCATTGGGAGAGAGGATGATAAAAAGGCTGTCATTGACATGTTGTTAGGTCCCAATGATGTTCAGGAAAGTTTTCGCTTTGTGACTATTGTGGGAGTTGGAGGGTTGGGTAAAACTGCTCTTGCCCAACTTGTGTGTAACGATAATGAAGTTGAAGCAGAGTTTCCGGATCCCAAGTTAAGGTTGTGGGTTTGTGTCTCTGATCAAGATGGGGAGCAGTTTGATGTCAAAGTGATTCTTTGTAAAATTCTAGAATTACTTTCTGGTAAAAGGCCTGACGATACCTCCTCAATGGAGTTGGTGCAAAAGCAATTTCAAGAACAATTAAGAGGAAAGAAGTACTTGCTTGTTCTTGATGATGTATGGAATGAAGATTGTGAGAAATGGCGTAATCTTTGCAGGTTCTTAACGCTAGGTCAAGAGGGTAGTCGGATTGTGGTGACTACACGTTCGGAGATGACTGCAAAGATTATTGGAGAAAAACATACGCACAAGCTACAAGGTTTATCTGAAGAGAATTCGTGGCTCTTGTTCGAGTCTATAGCATTTGATAAAGGGGAACACGAGCACGCAAGTCATCTTGAATTAGTTGAAATCGGGAAGAAGATTGTTAAAAAATGCTACAACATCCCACTTGCTATAAAGGCGGTAGGAAGCCTTCTATTTGGGCAGCCTGTAAATAAGTGGCAGACATTTTACCACAGCGGGTTTGTTGGAATTGGAAAAGGTGATAATGAAATTATGTCTATACTAAAGCTTAGCTACTACAACCTTAAACCCTCTTTGAAGAATTGTTTTAGCTATTGTGCACTATTTCCCAAAGATTTTATGCTCAGTAGGAAGGAGTTGATTAGCCTTTGGATGGCACAAGGATATATTGTGTCTCTAGACAGAGATCAAAGCATAGAAGATGCGGCAGCAGAGCATTTTCTAATTTTGGTACGGAGATGTTTCTTTCAAGATGTAAAGAAGGATAGATATGGTGAAATTGGGTCCGTGAAAATCCATGACTTGATGCATGATGTTGCTCTAGAAGTAGCGAGGGAGGAATTAGGTGTAGTAAGCTATAATACAGCCAAATTGGGAGATAAAATTCGTCATGTGTATTTTGGTCGTGGTGCCTTTTCACAAAATTACTCATTGAAGACTAACATACGTTCGTTTATATCAAGGGGTAAATTAGGTTATCCGGTGAATGCACAGATTGACAGTTGGATGTGTGTAAGGGTGTTGGTTTTGCGGGGTGCAGGTATAGTACAGTTTCCTGATTCAATTGGTAAGCTACTGCATTTAAGGTGTCTTGACCTTTCTTTTAATTATAATTTAGAGGGACTATCTGATTCTATTAGTAGACTACATAACTTGCATACATTAGATTTAAATCATTGCGGTGGAAAATTGAGGGAGTTGCCAAAAAATTTTAAGGAATTGATAAATCTTAGGCATTTGGATTTAAATACTTGTAAAAAGTTAACTCATGGATAAATTGACTAATCTTAGGTACTTGAATATAAGTTATTGTCATGAGTTGAGTTGTTTGCCTTCAGGCATGGATAAATTGACAAGTCTTAGGCACTTTGATTTAAGAGGTTGTTATAGCTTAACAAGTGTTTCGGGGTTTTCTGATGTCCTGCGGGAGAGTTACAATTCCGAGACTGGAACCGGACGCCTGTACCTGCAAAACAACGGAGACTCCTGGTGGTGGGAGCTCCGCCTCCGACGGTCAAGTTAGTACTTGATTAAGGAGTAATTAATGCGGAAATTAAAGTGATTGGGTCTCTCTAGGTGAGAGTGTTTAATGTGTGTAATCTGCGTTTTTTAGCATGTCCCCCCTCTTAATGAGGATTAAGGGAGGTATTTATAACCTTGGGAAACGTGCCAATCTAGGTTTAGGTTAACCTTGGGCTGATTGGGCTTCCCTCGGAAGTTGGGCCTAGGTGGCCGGATATCCCAGGTGTCATGGGAAGGACACGTGTCGTGTCGTAATTGGTCCATAGTGGACGGATCATTGATTGACACGTGGCAGGCTCCTATTGGCCCATGTGACGGACACATGGCGGAACCTGATTGGTCCACTTGTCAGATGGTGATTGGTGGGAAAAATCCCCTAATCATTTGCCCCTCGCAGGTGGCACGTGACTGGTCACGTGTTACCTGTGACAGGTATCGCCCTGTAACAGGCGGCGGCCTGCTACAGGTGTCACTCGGCGAGAGGCCGAGAGATTCTCCCGCCAAAATTTTGAATTCTTGAAGTGACCCTTCGCCTTCTCACTTCGCCTATATAAAGGGGTGTTGACTTCGGTCATTTTTACACTTGAAAACTTTGTGAGTGAACATTCGGACCCCTGAACTTGCTCTGACATTTTGGACCCTTTCTGCCTACCGCCTGCTCTGACAAGCCGACTGCAAAGGATTTTCAAAACTTCATCAATCGTCACTCGTTCAGGTAACCGTCGGTCCTCTTACTCTTAATTTTCTCTACTTTATTCTTTTTTGAAATGGCATCACGGAAGCACACGACACGACCTAGGTTAGTGATCAGCCGGTCACCGGGGACGGCTGAATCTAGGACTAGGAGTGCCGCCTGCCCTTTTCTGGACCCATCTTTTCCCTTTATACAAAGTCCGACTGTATCTGTGTCTATGCAGAGCATGATGGCCAGAACAAAAAAGACCGCCAGGATCTCAAACTCAGACGGCTCCTCCCACAGGGTGCCGATTAGTGAAACATCTGACCAGGCGCCAGATGTGGAAGTGAAACAAAGCGGCTTGAAAGCCGGCAATTCTGAGGGAGGAGTCAAAGTGACCCCTTCCCATTTTACAGTTGACAATTCTACATTCTCTCCTGCTCCTTTTAAAGGAGAGGAGGCGGGCCCCTCCGGGAGAGGGGAAGAGTCGTCCTCTTCGGACTCGTCAGAGGACGATTCCGAATCTAGCTCTTCTGGCCATGCTTCCCTGGACACAGAAGAGAAAAACAGTCGCCTACAAGAGGCGAGGCTTTCTCACGCAGTTGAGAAGGGGGACGATTGGGCGGAGCCATCCGCCTCTCACCGAGAGCAAAATACCCCCTACTACTGTACGGTACCTCGGGGCCGGATCACGGCCATGCAAGAGAAAGTGGAGAGCTTTATCGCAAACCACACAATGGGCCCCGGCTTTTTAGTGTTCGTGCCGGATCCAGAAGACACAGTCGTATGGCTGGCTGGTTCCAGTTATGATGACGGCTGCTTTGGCTGCTACGAGGCGGCCATCAAGGCTGGGCTGCGCTTCCCACTACATCCGGCTGTTCAGCGGATCTTGGATGGGTATGATTTGGGGTTATGGCAGTTAGCCCCGAACTCCTGGGTTAACGTACTCGGCTATGTGGCCGGGTGCGAACTGCACGGGGTGGAGCCGAACTTCGAGGCTTTCGCCCACATGAACTACCTCAGCCGGACCCCTAAGGCAGGCGGTACCGGCTGGTATCAATTGACGAGCCACAGGGGCTACCTCATGACGAGAGGTAAAGAAAACAAATGGAAGGACTGGCGGTGCACCTTCCTTATCATTGAGAGTTCAGACACAGAGCTGAACAAGCGCTTCAACAGGTGGAACAGGAATCCGCCCCTTCTTGCAGGCGGCCGCAGCATGCCGCCTGTTCCCCCCAAGGCTAAGAAAGAGATCCTAGATAAAGGACTCTTCAAATTAGAGTCGAGGGTGAACTCTACTTCAGGGGTACGAGAGCAAGTACCCCTGCACTGCGTCCCGAGCTTCAAATGGCTCTACGACGAGTACTTTTTGGCCGCCTGTGGCCTCAGCAGTCGGTGCTCAAGAGGTAGCCGGCCTGTCGAATACTCTGTTGTTCCATGCATTTCTTGTTATGACTTTTATTAACTTTGCTATTTGTTTTTGCAGCGGACACCATGAGCAAAATTACCGCCTCCAAGACTGCGGCGACCATGTTGCGGGCCTCCATCATGCAACAGTCTTCAACCGACTCCCCCAACAAGGGGGCACCCTTGGTGGGCTTCGAACCTTTCACCCTCTTTTTGGAGTTGTGGTTATGCATATACTGACTCTTTTCTTCTTTTTTAGACGGGCACTCCAAGAGCTTCTTCTTCCCAACAGCCGGACCCCAAGGCCCGGAGGACGACTGTTGCGAGCTCTCCTGGTTCTGCCAGGAAACATGAGGCGGTTGAGAAACAGCCGGCCACTTCTTCTAAAACTCCAGCTGGGCCACCTAGAAGTATGAAATTATCCTTGTAAATTTTAGACTTGCTCCCTTCTTTACTAGGTCTAATCCGTTTGTTTATGCTTGATGCAGCCGGCCTTCAGGAGCCTGACTTGGTCGAGGTGGCCAAGTCTATGATCAAGGCCGTTCCTCCAGCTGAAAGGGAGGCGGTCAGGGGTGTCGGCACCCTTGACCTAGACGGGATTGCAGGGGTCCTTGCTGAGGTATACTTAGCATATTTTTGAGTATTTGAATTCCAGGACGCCTGTTTTCTTTTTGTTTGGAAACTGACGCCTGTTCCCCCTTTTTACTTAGGCCCTGCTCCGAGTGAACGACCTTCGCAAGCCGCTTGACCGGAAGAACAAAGAGGTAAAGGCTACAAAAGCTATGGCCGCCTCTGACTGTGATAAGGCAATGTTTCAAATTGCCCAAAATGAAGTTCTGACCATTGATATTCTTTATTATCAGGCGCAGGCTACCGCCGCTATCCAGGCTCAGTTAGAGGCGGCCTAGAAGAGGAATAGCGAGCTGGAGGCGACCATCAACAACCTCAAGGCCGAGCTGAGACCTCTTCGCCAAAAGATGTCCTCATACGAAACCTTGGAGAAATCCTTGGCGAGCGTAAAGGTACGCCTGGTGACCCAGGAGAAGAGTCTTACTCAGGAGCTCTCGGAAAAGGCCGAGTAAGAAAAGAAAGAGCTGGTCCGGGAGATGATGGAAGACTCTGCTCAAATCCAGCGCATGACTTGGGGCCGCCTCTTCCCCAATGCCGACTTTGCCTCATGGGAAAAAACGTACCGCCAGTGTTCTGATAGATATAATCAAGAGATCCTGGCGGCTGCTGAGGAAGAGGCGTTGGAGGATGCGTTGGAGGAGAAACATCCGGTAGTGGCGCTTGTGCCGCTTGGGGGTAATGCATCAAAGGATGCAGCTGAAGCCGAGTCCAGCAAGAAGAGTGCTGACCAGGCGGCAGCTGCTAATATTGAAGATCTGCCCCCTTCTTAAGCTTTATGTCTTCTTTCCATGGCCTGCGTGCCGTTTGTTTGTATTTACCCGGCCAGGGGGCCGGGGCTCTGAATATTTTGCCGGTCTTTAATGACCGGCTTCTTTTTAATGAATTTTTTTGTTTTGCTTCAAATTTGTTCAAGTATTGAATATTCTGATATCCAGTTGTACACTATACCGACTGTTTTACATGGCCGATAGTTGCAGATAGGTACGGATAGTTAGTCACGCCGCCTATGCCCCTGGACGACTGGTTGTCTGTTTCCAGGCTAGACGATCAGTCGGCTATTTATCCAATCGGTATTCGAACCATTTTAAAGACTGGATCCCCTTTAGGCAAGCGGTCCTGTCATTTGTAAAATTAACCAAGTAGGAAAGTGGTTTGACCAAGTAAACATGGTTGTTACCTAGTCGCCAAGTAACTGAGTAGTAGAGGTATCAAGCGGTTGGTACCGGTTGTTCCCCTTCATTCGCCAATGTTTGTTGGCTTTTAACTCATAGGTTGTTAACCTAGCAGGAGTAGTGGTTGAGAGCCCCTGTTTGCTAAAAACAGGCGGACGACTCATACCTTTTAGGCTCCATACTAAGTTTGAGAGAGTGACTAAGTTAACTTTGGAGTTACTCAGTCGCCGTCACTCCTGCTTGAGTAGTAAAGGTACCAGGCGGCGGAGGCCGGCTGAACCTTTTGATTCGCCAATGTTTGTTGGCTATTAACTCAAGAGGTACCCCCTGCATTTATCCCAAGTAATACAGGCGGTCATCTGACTCAGATGTCAACTGCTACCACTGGTTTGGTTAGTGATAGAGTTATCCTTGTCTCAAAAACGGCTACGTGGTTGCCCTTGGGGGCAGTCGTATAGGTGCCGTGTAATTAGTTTATAGAGCAATGTTCCACCCAAAAGGGAGCTGCTCTCTGCGACGAATTTCATCCGGAGGGATGCCGCCGGACGCCTGCTATGATGTTGGGACAGGTCGTATTAGTTTTGAAGATTGGATCAGTTGGCTTGGCGCCTGGTCTGATCATTCGGCTTGTGGCCTTGGTTAGTTCTTGGTGAACGTAGGTGCTAAGTAAAAGGAGGGTAGCCGCCTGTTTAGGCACAGGGTCGGCCAGGCCCTGATCATTTTTAGTTAAGTATAAGGGGGGTGGCTGTGTGTTTGGAACCAGTCGGCCCTCTTCTATGGAGAGTAGCCGACTATATGTCCAGACGGCATGCCCCTATGGTGATAGAGTAAAATATTCAATGGAGAGTAGCCGACTATAAAGGTACAGG